AGTCTCGGTGGTGTACGAGCCGAAGAAATTAATGGGGCGGCATAGGAGTTAGACAGGCATCGCAAGTTCACAACAGTTTGGGCAGCTTCAGGGATGTCGCTATCCACTCTGAAGCACCTACCGGTAGTTGTCTGGCCTACCTCATCACATGAATGGGCAAAGAGCTGGTTAAACATGCCCATGCCAATGTCAGACTTGCACTCGGGTACTGCACGCGTACAAGCCGCGTTGATAACTGTATCTCGTTGGAGGGACTCTCACCCTTTTCGCCAAGTTTTGCAGCAGTAATAAATGCGGTAAGGTTCGAGATAAACAAATATTACTGAGGCTTTCCATAACAGTGTCGTAGCAACTGGTACGGGTACTGACTCCGGACGAGGGGTTTGCTCATCCATGCAAGCCTTGGCATCGAACGCATTGTTTATTATAACATCTCAAGTTCTCATAATTCCATTATTTTGAAACATCAAAAATAATATGCGTTCCTTGGGCTTTGAAGTGACCCAATTAGCTAATCACCATGGCTCGTGCGAGCTTCGAGCTTCCTCTAATGACGCATAACGGCCGTCCTGATACATTACAAACAGCCCCCAAAGACAATCGAAATGCCCAAAAAGCTGGTGCAAATTGGAGAGATGCAGAACTTCAACCACTGCATACCGAGCCAGGCCTTAGTACAGTGACGGAAACCAAGATGGCAAGAGAAACAACGCCATTGACCACAGATGCTACATTCTCAGAGCGCGCACAGAATGGCCAATCGGGCGGAAGCAAATGGCGCCCATTTTGGCTACATTCGCGTGTTCTCTTGCTCTTTCTCGCGTTCTTCATTGGCTGCATGATCGCTTTGCCGGTCTTATTGTCGTACTCTTCCAAATACAAGGGCATCACAGAAGTGCAGCAAGGTTTCGAAAAGCCATGGAGATTTATTTCAATTGCTGGTTCGTCCTCCCGTCTATTCTAACCTTGAAGACAGCGCAGTATCTCATCAGATTCATAGTGCTCACACTGGTTGCCATATTTTGGAACCGAGTTGAGTTGCAGGTTTTGCGCTACGCTCCCTGGATTGCAGTACAGCCTAACCAACCACTCGATCGTGCAATGCTGGACCTGGATTATGTTTCAATGATGCCGCCCGTGGCACTTTTTCAGTCTTTGAAGAACAGACATTTCCTAGTCTTCACTGCTGTCCTTACATCCATCATCTGTAAGGCTCAGATTGTTTTGTCTCCCAGTTTGTTCTTTTCCGAAACTACGAGGTTCACATATCCTACTGAAATCCAACTGTTGGATTCTTTCGACACTTCCTTCGATGTACAGCAGGACATAAGAGAAGGGACCGGCAATACTGCCGAGAAAACAGGTCCCTATTATAACTCACGGGCCGTCCGAAAGTTCGACCTGGAGCTGCCATTCGGAGTCTCCCAAGATGCTGCCTATCAAACTTTCAGCTCGGGAGCAGATGGAACAGGCACACGAGGGACGACCCAGGCCCCCGTGACGGCGACAGTTGATGCGCTGTTCATGGATATTGAATGTCTCAAGCTAGAGAACTACACAGCTAGTCGAAATCGCACCGAGGAGGGTATCTTCTACGCCAACCTTGAGTTGAAATTCGAACAATGTGACCAGCCTTTGTCGGTTTCGTCATTATTTTTCTACATACAGGACTCTAATGTCACTACGCTGGTTCCGCCAAACTTCTGGGCCATTGAAACCTTGAGCGAGAACCATTGTTCCATCCTTCCGACACAATTCTCGCCCTTCATCTATTACGGGGCGCTGCCTAGGGGTAATATAACAGAGGATACCTCGACTATTGAAATGGAAGCATTCGGGGCCCTCATGTGCGCGCCCAAGTCGTGGATATCCGAGGTTCGAGTCACGGATAACGGCGTCAGTCCCATTGTGTCATCGTGGGAGTTTGAACAGCCAAGGCCTTTCAATGTGAGTCTATGGGATATCATACCGGGCTCATTATCGAACGATATGGGACATTGGTTTCCCAACCAGGCTCGAGGCAGCAGCGGTGCTATAGGACCTGTCAACGTCGAGTCTCGCTTATGGGGCAGGACTCCCGTGGCCAATGACACCTCGCTTTATCAAACCAACATCTTATATGAAGCAACCCGGAATATGACAAAGTATTTTGGGCCCATGGCTGCCCATTATAGACTGAAGTTGTCCAACGATTCGTCTTACGGTCACGGTTACACTACTGTTGCAAGACTGAGACTGAAGGCCAACCGCGGGGTGTGCATTGCGATGACAGTGCTATTTTCCTTATCTGCAACAGTCGCATTGTGGTCCATCGTCTCACTGCGCAGGAATTTGAAGCCTTGGCATAGAGATCCCGCAACAATACTGGGATCCATGATCTTCTTCGACCGGCAAAACGTTGACCAAGCTCCATCGATGGAATCGTTGCTGGATAAACCGGCATCCACTCTCCCCGAACAGAGTAACTCAACTTATACAATGCTGCCTCTTCGAACGTGGGTTCGTTCGACGTATCTTATTTATGTTATGGGACTTATAGTAGCCCTTGCTATTACTCTCCATATATCGCAGTCAGCCATCGGATTGACAACAATAGATCAAACGACGTCGCCTCTTTGGTTGGCGTCGCTCCCTGCTCTCGCGATGGCTATCGTCAGCTTATATGCCACTTCTTGCGATACAGCTGTGCGCGATATCGCTATTCTATCGAAACTATCGTCAACACCCTGCAACGCCATGGAGATTGACATGTCATTGTTGGATATGCTGGGTTTCACAGCCCTCTACTACTCACTTCGCCTCAGACTATACACAGTGACTGTCACACAACTTCTTGCCATTGTCTGTGGAGTTCTGGTGTCTTTGTCAGGAATTCTTTACAGTTCCCAGCATTCTCCGAAGAGCACTCCCATCAGTTTCGAACCAACTAGCTGGTTTGGCTATCGGACACCACTAGTTGATCCCGTCGAGACATATATGGACCTTCAGCCCAACGAATATGAGGTCACCCGGAACGATTTGAGCAGCCTGGTGCTCGCTCAGAATACTTCCACGATCAAGTACCCTCAATGGACCTATCGTGATCTCGTATTCCCGTCATTTGCCATAGATGAAGCGGTCCAATTCTGGGATAGCGGCACCTCCGTCAGGGTAACTCTACCAGCCGCGAGGCTGACACCTGATTGCATTCATATAAACAACACCGCGGTTGAGAAAACCATAACATGTCCAAATGGAACAGAGGTCTCTTACAACCTGACAAGTCTTTCCCGGAGTACTGGATATTATGCATCCATGGTATCTGGTGAGCGAACACCAGGCGTCATTCGGCTGGCGTGCGACCTTGAAGCGGATGAGTTGGATGATCGTACTTGGACCTACCTGGATCAGACTTATTCTTGGGGATGGATCTCCAACCCAGGCGCCAATCACTCCACCGAGTGGAGTTGTAACTACACTTGGGCTGAGGTGCCTACTGTAGTTACATTCCACTTTGTAGATGGGAAGGCTCAAATTGACTACGACAACCCTCCAACTGCAGCCTACGACCAAAGCAAGCCATATGATCCTCCTTTTAGTATTCCCATCTTCTCGCAAGCTTACACAGCTGTCTATGGTGCTGTATTTCCACAGTTCAACCTCCCAAATTCAGACGCACTACAAGTTGGATACGAGTTCGCCTATCTAGTAGAGCCATTCGGGTCTATTAAGCTGGAAGATCTGGCAGACGCGAACCAAGAGGAAAAGATTCTGGATGCCCTGCACTTTAGCCGAGCGCAGATAGCAGCTCAGCTAGCGAATCTGGAGCACCGATTAGCTCTCAACGAGACTTCAGGAGCGCAGCCTGCACAACATGGGAAGCTGCCTCTTATCGAGGGGAGTCTTACAGATGGCGACAGGTATCGGTTGATTCAGAGTTTCGAAATAACCATGGCACTCATAGTTTTGTTGTCCATCTTCTTCGTCGTCAATTTGTGGGCATTGATATCCGCGGCGTTGATGCATTTCCTAGCCAGCAAGTTCCCTCTCCTTCTTGATCTAGAGCTGAAAGGGAAAGGACACCACGGTCTCAACAGTATCAGGATGACTGATTCCCTCCTTTCTGAGTCGAACTACGCTGATTATCTCCCCAAAAACGCTGCGTTATTGTCGCTGAGGGAATTGTATAATCAGCTAGCAGGGGTTTCGTTTAGGATGGGACGGTTCTGGAGAAAGGATACGAAGACAGCTGTATATACAGTTGGTGTATTGGACAACAGTAACCTACAGCCATTGGATAAATGAGGAGAATATTGGCAAAGATTGTGGGAAATCACTTGGGGCAATGGGCAGATATCTCAGTAATGGCATGTCGATGCCGGCCGATCACGAGAAGATGATTTTCAGAGTCTACGTAATGAAATGTTGATTTATGCGTTCATAAACACGTTCCATTATCCGCACTAAGAAAACATCAGGTCCAAAGGCTCAAGAATCCATGTAAGTGGAGCTGAACTCTGCTACAATGTAGTCCTCGGCAGGTTCAATTCACTCAGGAGAGCTATAAGTGATATAACCACCTGAACAAAGACTCCTGATCTATCATATGCCTACCAAGTTACTATATTTCTTTCTGCTTTATAAATATAAAACGGGATGGGGTATTCTTACCAAATCACCTGCTATGCACCTTTGCGGCAGCTATAACTAGAATTATTCGGGAAGGCTTAAATTATTTCAAGGCCCTCCAAAAATAAAACAATTTTGCAGCCTTTGAAGTTATGATTTATCACCATTGGGGCCTGTATTGGAAAGTTGAAATAGACGAAACATCATTGTGGTCTCTGGCCTGGCGCTTGATGGATAAGATTTGATGGTCACATGATCAGATGCTCCTTCTCCAAGGACGCATTACGTAAATATGCAGCCCTTTTTGCCACCTGCTCAACCACAGACGAGTGCCATTCTTTTCAATCACTAAGACACAATCCATCGCAAGCTCAACTCAGCAGATTCTCTGCATGGAGAAACTCAGTGTCGAGATAATAAGGCTCGTCATTGACGAGCTGCAACTCAGTCTCCTCGACGGCGAGTGCCCAACGCCAATTTCAAGATCAAAGCCGCATCTTGCACCATATGCAGTAATATCAAAAACATGGCAGGCGTTGGTTGAAGACCGAAACTTTGCATTCCTCCAACTTGAGAGGAGCGAGCTAGAGACGTTTGCTGAAATCATCGCTGCGCAGCCTCACCGGCGGACATGTCTTCGTCGAATTCACCTGATTCTCTCAGAGCCCAATGGCGAATCTTTCCAATCTGGGATCCGGTTTCTAGCCCAACTGCTAGACGAATGGGATCAAGATGTCGTCGATGATCTCCTTCCGCAGCTCAAGGTTTCAATGACTGGCTGGGGCGAGACGCGATTCGACGAGGCCAGTCTATCGCAGATACCTCTTATGCGGCGGGTTACCTCTTTCTTTAGCCACTCAGGGATGCGCCATGGGACGATTTACCCCGATCTAGCACTCCAAATTGCGAGTCGCATGCCTCGTCTTGAGACGTTGGCCGTGCAATTCCAAGAACCGAGTCGGCCGCTTGAGCATCGGCGCCTTGCTCGATTTCAATATCGGCGTCAGTTGGGCGAAGCCCTGCTTCAGCTACAGCAAAAGGGCTGCCTCTCGAGACTGAAGCATTTCGGGCTCAACCGATTCGGCTACGGTCCTCTAAATCATAGCTTTGAGCTCGAAAATGTCTTGGACGAGGAGGGCGTTGATCGGCTGTGTGAGGCAGTCCGCATATTCGCACAGAGGTCAACGTCTCTGGAGAAGCTAGTCCTAATCAATATCTTAATATCGCCCGACCTGTTTCGAAATACCCGAACATTTGGTTTCGCCGAAGAGCCTGTGTGGCCAACGATCCAACACCTCTTTATCAAGAGCAACATTCTGACACCCAGCGGCGAATGGCTGTACACAGGATTGCCCGATTCCATTCAGCCAAGGTGGGTTCGCTATCGCCAAAACAGCGTTGTTGATTTCGATGAGTACAGTGAGGTGGATGATTCGGATGATGGCATGGAGGACCTTCTCGTGGCTACTGATATGAACCCCCATCATCTTTGGCGAACACAGCCAGATCCGCAAGTTCTCCAACCACTCTTGCTTGATCTGATTGGGGCGATGGATCGGATGCCAAAATTACGAGCTGGCCTCTTCCATCTCGCCCCAAATCGCAATGCCTTCCAAGGACTAATGTTCCAATGGGCTCAGCCAGGGGTGAGGTATATGGCAGAGAAGGATGGAAAGGTCAATGATACCCCTAAGAATTGTCGTAGATGCAAATTCACAATCGGAAATTTCACAGACTGGGAACCGTCAAAGAAGATCATGACCAATCTTCAGCGATGGGTTGGAGATGGCAGTGTGGATTTTGATCCATCCACAACAGTAATGACTTCCTATCGCAGTATAATATAGAGCTCGGAATGAGGCTCATAGCGTTAGATCTATAGAAACAAAAGTCTCCATAACCTGGAAAATGTTAGAGAGCACTTGGGGCTATTCCTTCATTGCTTGGAGAGTATAAGAGTGTGGCAATCTCCAGGGGCGATCCTTCAATCTAAATTCTCCTATGGCATGAGTTAATGGAAACGTTCTTGCATTATCGTAAGGCAGATAATACACGTACCATTTCCCATTTCTTCCATCTGTCCAGGTATAGCGTTCCAAGGCACGCTTTGATGCTCTATCAGTCCAGTAACACGAAGTCCTTCAGAAAGCAGCGCCTGTATGATTTCTCCCAAGCCATGGTTGAACGAGGCCGTCTTCGTCTCTTTGAGCTTTTGGCCGCCGGTCCCGACATAAGTGAACTCCTCGTCGAATATTGTAGCCTCCTCAAGCTCAAAATATGGGTACTCGATAGAAATGCCCGCTTTCTGTTCGTCTACTGCCCACAACATCGGATGGCCCTCGCGGATAAACAACCGCCCTCCCAGCTTCAATAAACCTGACACAACCTTTGCCCATTGCTTTACGCTTGGTATCCAGCATAGCGCCCCGATGCCAGTATAGACAAGGTCATATGTGCCTGGTTGCAGAACCTTGAGACTGTCATATATGGAGGCCTCCACAAAAGTGAGTTTTTCGCCGCCAGTTCCCAAGGTAGAGGCTGCAAGAGTTCTGGCCTCCTTGAGAGAAACGCCTGAGAAATCAAGGCCGGTGACTGACGAGGCACCGAGTCTCGCAAGACTTAGGGTGTCCGTGCCGATGTGACATTGAAGATGAACGCAGGTGAGACTTGATATATCGCCAAGAAGTGTCTGATCGAATTGGACAACTTCACTGATATAGCTCGGCGTATTGATTAAATCTTGGACGTTGTAGTCCGGTGAGGCTGCGTGCTATCATAAGAAACGTAATCTGTCAGTCAACCGCTGTTTGACTTATGGCAGGGCCATACTTACGAGGGGTGCTCGCTCGTCCCAGTTGCGCTTGTTGATAGTCTCGTAATCCATATCAAAGACCAGTCCTCGACTTGGGTTTCCCCTTTCTAAGTATGACGAGTTGATGATCTATGGACAGGGTTGATCCAAATCTCTGAGAGTCCCAGGCCAGTTCTTCTCATGGTATATATAATGAATTTAGGTAGTCTAGAATGCCACTAAATCGACCGATTATTGTCTCCACGCGAACTGTGTCAACCAGTCCAACACAGGATTAGAACCCCGCACCAATGCAGCTCCTTTCCCACGGTGTGACTCAGCCCCGAAAAGCTCCTCGGCGAGACGTATTAGGAAATTATTCAGGCATTCCGCAGGGTGCAAATAACAGGTAAACACTTATCATCAAAACCTATCACACTCAAATCAATTCACATCCTTGAAGTGGAGAAACTATTGTGTTTTAAGCGAGTAATCGCCCAAAACTTCGGATAGCGGATTTCACAAAAGCGGCCTTGTGTACAATGATGTTCGCTACACCCCTATACACTCTTAATCCTTCTTGTTTTCAATGACCTCGTCCTTGGATTCCCTCGTAGATAACTCAGCAATTGAAACAGGCTCAATGCCCGTTATTGGTTCCTGTGATACCAAATAGTGTTTGCGGGTATAACAAAACCAAACAATTATTGCAAATACTACGATACCGCCGATGAGCACGATGGAGTAGTTCCTGAAGAATGAACAGTCAGTGATATGCGGCCTCACTTTCTCGAGGGAAATGCATTTTGGGATTGGGATCAAGGGACCGTAGACCTACATGCTGACAGCTGTCACGGGCATTTGCGGCGGAAAGTCGAGGAAAACAATGAAGAAGCATCCAAAGGCGAGTGGCACAGAATCAATCACTGCGCCAAACTTCCCCAGGCTCCAGCGTGCACTTTCCTGTGGACAATACCGCCGGGAATAGAAGAGACGAGCCCCGATGGGAATGGCATATGACAGCTGAAAAGCGACAATTACTCCTGCCATTATTCCATAGAACGCAGTGCTGTTCCAGATATAGATCATGGTTACGAGGACAGCAGGCAGGAATGGTGCAAGGATACAAACGACCACAACTTGGTACGTAGGATGGAGTTGTGCAAAAATGGGCGGCAGAGCATTATCTCGTGCGAGAGACCACATGGCTCGCGCCGCCGCCCCCCAAAGATCCAAGCCTGAGACGAAAGCCACACAGGTGCCTGCACCATTTAGGATAATGGCCGCAGCAGGACTGTTCGTAGCGTTCAGGACGATTTGCGTAAAGGGACTGGTCATGCCCACGCTAGATTGCAACACCTCTAACGCGTCGCCGATGCAGAATAAGACTGTGATAGTAAAAGGGGTCGTGATGAAACTGTTCAGAGCGATTTGTGTCACCACTGTCACATGCTATTAGCTCATGTCGTGTGGCCTTTTTGCGTGGGTTACAGGGAGGAGGCCTGACACTTGCTTCTTTTGGAACCTGGAGTTCGGCATTTGGAATCTCCTCTGCAAAATTCGATGCGGTCGCCAGAGAAAAGTAGTCGAATAAAGCTGTCAACAGTCCAACACACCAGGCCACACCATCACTTTCCCATCCAGTATAGTTATTGAAGTCAGTGAAGACATACTTGGCATTATGCTTTTCCGGCGTACAAACAGCGAGTACTATAGCGATGGCAATAAAGAAAACAATATGAATTGCGATGGATGTGGGCTATGTTAGCTATGCGTAAAAGAGATGGGAGAACGATGGGCCACAACCTGAAGTTGTTCAAGTAATGCATTAGTTTCGTCGAAAAGATGTTGATGGCCATCCATAGAACAATGACAAGGATAACAATCTAAAAGTGTTTAGCAAATTAGACTGAAATTTCCTTATTTGATGCGAGTATTTTCTACCAAGAAGGCTTGCCACCTCTGGAAATCGTATGGCATCGTGATCGAAACATATGTCTGTGTCTGAACAACAACACCCAGAGCGCTCGAGATGGCACCCAACCACAGGCCGGCAAAGCTGAATCAAGCTGTGTACCAACTCTAAATGTGTGCTTTGTTAGCAACGGTCAAAACATTTAGGTACTGAGTGTTATTACCAAGAGGCGACCCAGCTCAGTCGGCATGCATTTTGCAACCCAGACGTATTATCCACCAGCCGATGGCCACAAGCTGCCAAGACATTAGCGCGTAGTCGACTTTGAGATACGAGACGAACCTGGCAAGCTCTGCCATTGATGAGGATATGAATGCGACCCGACAGATTCGACGATCCATCCATACAGAATCGTGGCAGGGCCGCCACCGAGAATTCCTTGCGCCAATGAAGCAATCCACCCTTCCCACTGCGACCGGGATTAGCAAAAAGTCGTAAAGTTGAATATGGTCCCTTACAGCTCCGCTACAGACAATTACGATTGCAAAACCGGTCCAAAAAGTGAATTTGTTATTCAACCTCTTCGCTGGGGCCTTGGAGACCGAGGCACCGCCACCTGCCTCGACGACTGTTGGCGTGATTGCCATGACGTTAAGATTTGGAGAGCATGGGAGAGAATATTTGCTGAATAGCTAGGCGCTGCAAAGATAATCTCTTTCTCTTCTACCTTGCCTTGGTTGCCTTATAGAAGGCATACCAACGAGAAGGTCTGCGCTCCCAAGTGAGGCGGACTAGCCAGGTGCCTCACTCGCCCAGTACTTCTACGGGAACAATTACTGAAGTGCATCTCGCGAAGGAACAAGATCTTGTAGGTCCCGATTCACTACTTGCCAACCACTTGGTGACTGAGTTGAGCCACCGGGTGAGTAGATCGCGGGTTGCCTGTAATTATCAGTAACTCTGCGATCCTGGTGGGACTTATCCAACGGAGCGTGACGAGCCAATGGAATCCTCTTGGTACTTGATTGTCGGTAATGTAAATCCGTGTGGGTATTGGCCGTCTTTCTCGGGATGCCAGATTCCTCCCAGCGCTGCCACTAATCACACGTCCTACATGACAAAGAAACTCAATCAAAGTTCGGGCTATCAGGTAGCCAAGTAAATCCGCCAATTTATCCTTGTGCTGCTATATCAAATCTGCCGTAAAGCCTTTCAGACTCACTTTTTCTAACAACCAAAATACCCTCATCATTGTATGCACTAGTTTCTAGACCAACGCCCTAACAATTAATACGTACCTCTGTTGCCTTCCAACACCATGGAGCCTGTTTCAAACACTGCTAGAACTGCGTCTGAGGCAGCGGCCAAGAAGAACGAGGCAATTACAACTCTGCCTTCATCCTGGTACCGTGAAGAAGAGTTCTATGAGCTGAAAAGACGTGCCATCTGGTCCAAGAATGGGATTCTGGCGGCACATGTCAGTCGCCTCGGGAACACTGGCGATTACATCAAGTTTGACGTCGCTGGATTCTCTTATTTCCTGATCAAGGACAAGGGCAATGACGTGAAAGGCTACCTCAATGTGTGTCGGCATACGGCGTACCGTACCCTATTGTCACAAAGCCAGAGGGTTCAGCAAGGATCTTGGCTTGCAAATACCATGGTATACTCTCTCTGTTTCGTCGATTTGACTTGTTGAAATAAAATACATCTAACCCAATGGTTGCCATACAGCCTAAGTGGCAAAATAGCCAAGGCCCCTCGATTTGACACGATTGAAGGGTTTGACAAAGACGACTTCTCTCTCTTCTCGATCCATACCCACGTCGATAGACGGGGCTTCATTTCGGCCAATCTTGATTCAAGCCCTGAGCCTACCATAAGTTGGGAGTGTCAGCTGGGCGGGACAGACAAGCAGCCAAGGCTGTGGTTGGACCGGGGTGAATCGAACGAAGATGAACCGACCTGGTCACTCGATATCCGGTCTGAATTGGGGCGAGACGACTGAAACTAAAGAACTGCAAGATAACTTGCTTGATTCGTTGAGGATACATCTTGTGTAGTATGTTTGACCGTCAAGGACAGGGTTGTCTTATCTCCTTGTGCCGGCCCATAATGCTGTAGCGGACATGTCTGCCACGATGGCCGGCCCGAGTGCAGATAACGTCCCGTTGACCCCGCAGCACACACTGACGAGATATTTGGGGCATGGTGTTGACAATGATGCTTGCAATCAAGCCCCTTTTGACTTGGTTTGCGACCTGTTGTTCTGCATATTCAAGGCCTGTCTCAAGATTGCATACTCATTGTCACTTTCTATCATGTTCCCCGAGCCACTTCAGTCAACTGCCCATCATACAGTACCTAACGCGAGGCAGAGGACATTACATCTGATTCCAAAATGTCTGCAGAACCAACACCACCAGCATCCATCAAACTTCCAGAGCACCGCTCAGAGGATCCATCTCTGTCGAGATGCCGAAACTCTTTGTGGACGCTATTGCTGTTTAAGTTAAGTGATTAGGCCTATAACGTGATCATGGCTCATAAGCAAATTAAATCTGTATGGGAAATGATCTGATGTTGGCAAACGCTTCACATATCGGATTCCTATAGTTTCAAAGCCGCTTACATTTATAAGGGATTTGCGGTGGAAATAACCACGGGTAAAATAAGGATGTGCGCGGCTTGGCACCCAGTGAGTAAGCGGCCCCGATAGATGTCAACACCGCACACACCAATAACTACTCGCTCATGTGGAACGGCACTTTGAATGAACCCGATACTCCGGCATCCCACTCGGGATACCACTATGGCTGCTTGTAAGGCACAACAGAGTTACGGTTCTGAGAATCGCCGGATGTCACAGCATCTGTCAGTTCCCCATCGATTGGCAATACGCAAGCAGTGGACCGTGGTACGCAACGTTCAATACAGCAAAGGCATCGGGATAAGGGCTCCAGAATACCGGCTCCAAAAAAGTATATAACTGAAGCCGAGCTCGCAACGTAAGTTTCTTTAAAAACGACACCAAAATTGATTACTTTACGCGTCTATACTCATCTCTAGCATTACAGACCTTGCGTACTATCATTACCCCGACTGCTTTCTATTGCCTTCCGCACATTTCTTCTTCTCCTTGACGAATCAGCTACACTCTCGACCTACCGCTTACATCATGACTGTGCCGCCCAAGAAAATCCCCGATAGCGTCTTGATCTTTGGTGCTGCTGGACACATTGGTTGGCCTCTTGCGGAGTATCTGCATCGCAAAGCTAGTTCGATCAAGCTTCGTCTGGCTACCAGCAGTCCGCACAAGCGCGAACATCTCCAGAAAGCCTTTCCTCACGCGGCTATCATTGACGCCAACTACAATGATGTTCAATCACTCAAGCTTGCCGCTCGCGACGTTGAAGCCATTTTTGTCATCACTCCAGGCGGCATGAATGAAAGGTTTGCTATGACAAATCTAGTGACAGCACTAAGGGAAGAAAACAGGCTTATCCAGATCATTCGTATGGTTGGAATATTCCCTGAATTGTCCCCGCAACGAGTCCCCAAGACTCTTGGCCCAGGCAGCCTTCCCTACGAGCACCCCATTGCGAAGCAAATCTTGGACGAGAGCGGGCTACCAGTTACCTATATCAATTGTGGAGCTAGCTTTATTGATAACCTCTGGTTACAAATTGCACCAGTGCTGGCCAAGAGAACCCTCATTTGGCCGGAACATCGCGTCCCTTTCATCGATCCTGTGGACATCGCTGAGGTAGCAGGGAGACTGCTGCTATCAGATAACGGAAAGCATATTGGCGCATTCCATACAATGAACAATGGCCATGACTGGCTTCAATTTCGGGAGGTCGCTGGGATCCTAAGTGATGTTCTAGGACAGGATATTGCATACAACGGAAGCTTCGAGGCTTTCTCTGACTTTTACCGCCCAAAGATGGGGGAATTGGTAGACAAGCTTTGGGCATTCTTCAAGTTTGAGGAAGCAAACGAGGAGATTTGGGCCCTGAACAACTTTGTTGAGCGAACGATCGGGAGGAAGCCAACAACTTTCAAAGATTGGGTGGTGAGGCATAAAGATGAGCTCCTTAGAGGAAGTAAATCACTTCCATATGCCGAGCGGGTGATATAGTTCTTACCACCAAGTTGTGGAAATCTAATCATCGAGCATGCTTTCATCCTCTAAAAGCAAAATTGTCCGTTTTTCATATACACAGAACACCGTGGTCTTGAACAGGTTTTATAAGCCAGCAAGCGCTCGTCTATATGAACAATATGACTCTAATGATAGCAAGTTGAAGAGGGCAGCTTTAGTAGTCATTCGACGCGCAGCTCGTCCTGACGGCAAGCGAGTCATCGGCATGAAGGTTTACAGAATTTTCTGCCGTATGACTGCAGCCTTGGGCTAGCAAAGCTTTTTTTTTTTCAAAAACCTTTCGTATTCATTGTGTTGAGTTGTTGGGTCTGACTTCTTCTTTTGTTTTAACTTTCTATCAAAACTCTCTCCGGGATGATAGCAAGTTGACCCAATCTTAAGCACTATGCAGAAGCAGGAGACGAAAGCTCCAACGAACGCCTTTTAAGTAGCTCAATTGGTAATTCAGTCGCCATCATGTTCGGAATCCTTTTGGAGCGGAGCAGGATCTCGATTCTGTCTCCGTTTGCCCTATCGGTATTATCAGGCTTCCACCTTAATATCTGGCTATAAAGTCCGCTATCAATACTATTATTCACGCAGTCTAGGCCTAGACTGCTAATACGCATGGCATACAACACGTTCATGCACATCGGCGGCCGAAGCTGACTCAAAAACAGGCCCAGACCAGGCTTGGATTTGCTCAAGAGCTTATAAATAAACTACTTGAATGGTGGATACGCGTTATTTTCATTGGTGAATCCACTATTGCCCGTGGCGAGGGCGAGGGAGAAATGGGTGGTTGTGCGGCCGTGTGAGCTGCAACTTCACCTTGGGTAGTCACTACAGATTCATTTTCAAACTAGCTACAATTGTGAATATATGTTGTTTAGATACACAAGTGTATTTCTATTCTAATTTTGGTAGTAGATAATTATGAAACCGCGAGTTTGAAGCGTTGCAAAGTGAAAAGAGGTGGTTACAAAAGTGTCGAATTTACAAGTCCTGTATGGAGCGGATAGCAGTATTCGCGCCTCCAACCATCTTGATCAACATATCACCGCCACATTGTAGCTTCCTAATTACCCGCACCAAGCCCAGTTCTTACCACTGTCATATTTGCAAGTGGTCCCACGCGCGCAATTAGCCTGAGTTTTCCACTTGCCACCAGAGCAAACGAGAATGGAAGTTTGACTATCAATGGTTAGTATATCTGCCACTTTAACGAGGGAGCAAATACAACTCACGGTTGGCCTTTTTGAGCGTAGCAGGTAACACTACCGGACTTGCTGCAAGAGTCTCCGGATTTCGCTCTGACGGACAGGTTGGGAGCGTCGGCCTCAACCTCGGAGGAGGGGAGGGCGTTGACCAGGCCGGTGACGGCGAGGAAGAGGGAGGCAATGGCGAACTTCATTTTCTCGTTGATAGTAGGTTTCTTGATGAAAAGCGGGAAGAGGGTTGACGATAGCGGTGATGTTCTTCAAAGTCGTGTCCCATCGATGGGGACGTGGTTGACCTTTTATACCCAGATCAGAGTGATATCCAAAGCCTCTGTTGATTCAGTCGAAAGGATTGAACCACTGGAAGTAATAATTTCAGTCAATGTGGCATACTAGCCCCAGTCTTCAGAGCCACCGCGTAATTTCTCTAGAGGCTCATGAGATATGAGCTTCGATTGTACTTTGGTGATTCCACTCCTGTTGCCTGCCATACATGACACCTGTAAGCTTGGCAACTCCACTTGCATTAGCAACGAAGCGAAGAAGGATCAGTTAGTTACCATTCTTAAGGACTAAGGTTTCGCAAACCGACACTCAAAGCAACTGAGTCTTGAGATATTACACCCCAGGCCTCTTAAACGACGCATATGCCTTGAGGCTCACCGCAAGATGAATACGAAGGCCTAATGGCAATGTAACGCTCTTGGCCACCAAAGTTCCAGCCCAGAGATACCAGGGGCACCTTCCTATGAGGGGTGAAGTGGTTTGATTTGGCTGAAATTGACCAATGTTGGCGGTCCGGTGGCTCGTCGGCAATTGCCTGATTCCGACTATTGGCACGAGATGATTTGATTGAGTTAGATAGTAGGACCACAGTAACAATACAGCACGGACGGTGGCCTTTCCAGCGAATCCCTCAAAACACTTAATAGGCGTTATGCTTCCATCCAGTGAAGATCTTACGAATCTTACACTTACAACTCTATTTCCATAGGCCATTATAATATAATACAGTAGGGTATTCCTTTTAGATACTACAATCTAGTTTCATAGGGGATATACGAAGTATCGACCACATATTTGTACCAGTCGAATGTTTGCCCTCCATGCTTAACTTTTCTCCCCTCTTCAGAGGATCCAGAGAGGGGTAATTAATAATATAGGCCCTTGGCAGGAGTATTTGGTTTGTCCAAAGAGGTCAGGTACTTTAACCAAACAAAAAAGAGGAGAAGAAAAAGAGAGAGAACTTGTGGCGCGCCTAGCAATCACTTCGAAAAACCCCAAACCGGGCCTTCTAATATCATTATGAAGCAAGTCATTTATCCACGTGGCAATCAATTTCAATTCGACATAACTAGACTTAAATTTCGAAAGAGCGTAATCGTTATCCCATCCGTGTTTCTGTTCCTCGGTGCACCTCAATCAAATCTCTGCAGATCTCCTCCCACAACATCTTGATTAATCGTCCTTCGTTTCCTCTCTCACCCCTTTCATTCTGCAATAGCTCTTGAAGTCTTAGAGAGCGGCGCGCTTGTTAGTCACAGGAGCACCAGGGATGTTGATGTTGAGGCCAGAGAGGCCGAGGCCGAGCGAGTTAAGAAGGTTGGTGATGTAGTTGGTGAGGGAGGTGGTGACATTAGCCAAGCCGGTGACGACAATGCCAACTCTAGCGGAGAAAAAAGTGACAGCACGAGCAAAGACGATAACAGGAGCGAGGAAGGGATTCAGAGCGGCACGGATAGCGTTGATCTCACTCTGGGCGAAGGTACGGAGCGGGGTGGTGAGGTCGGTGGCTTCAGCGGTGATGATGACATTGACCGCGGCGACGGCGTCGAGGGTATTCTGGACAGCCTGGGCAAGATCGTTGATCTGCTGCTGGGTCAGACCAGTAGCGGCGCCAATGATTCCACCAGCGGCTCCGGTAGTAGCACCGGTGATGGTGGTGCCGGCGGTCTTGAGGGCGGCGAGGATGGCGTTGAGATTGGCGCGAACTTGTGCCTGCACTTGGGCACTAACATTGCCAGTGACGCCATCAAGGGCAGTGCCTATTGTGGAGGGAAGAAAGTCAGATATATCTTCATATGTCAGTCATTTGGTCGGGTATCAGCTTACGAATTGCAGCAACGTTGGTGTTGACAGTGCTCTGAACAGTCTGTACAGACTGGGCCACAACACCAGTTACAGTCTGCTGCCTGACCTCAACCTCAACTGCTGGTGCAGCGAAGGCGAAGGAGGCGAACATGAGGACGTTGGAGAACTTCATTTTGATGAGATTAAAGTGCTGATGCTCTGGGAAAGTTTCGAGTTCGAGTGGTGATTCTGTTAGATTGTGGTTGTTGTGTCTGATGGTTTCTTCCAATATCAAAAGATAGGAGGAAACTGGACTAATTTATAGAAATCACGATCACATCGTGAGGGGTTATCCAGACCACTTGCCCGATCATCTATCTCGATCCAACCCAAGGTCTCGGCGGTGTGAACTCTCCGCACCCATCGAAGACATCCAAGAGGGCTTGGTGAGAAGCGTCTAGACAACATCGTTTCGTCCAAAGAGTAGCGGGACTGCATATCACCAGTCGCATGTCTCAGCCACTCCCCCCACGCAGTATTACTCTATATGTGAGAACGGGGCATTCCAGACCCAGGTCGGACGCACGTAAGAAATCCTCTCCCCGGAGATGCACAGTCTTAGGATCGCCAGTCAGATTAGGAATTTGAGGCACAGCAACAGACCTAGCCAGCAGCCACCGTGTGGGAGGCGTTGATAGTCTGACACAGCCTTCCGCAATGTCTCAGCTCAGCCGTAGCCTGATATCGAGCCAGTGAGAGCCAAGATCTTCCACAGCCTCAGCAGGATGCGGGATGGAACGTAGCTTAACGGGACTTCGAGGGCGGCTCGATCTTCAGGGCCCCTTTCCGTCGTCGGATGTGGGAGCCAATGACTGATTAGCAGAGTCTTGTGATCGGGTTTCTATCTGCCCGCTTGACGTGAAACACGGCAGAAACTGTGTCTTGGCGTGAGGTAATGAAAACGATCAGTCAAATAATAACATGCAAAACGCCCAAATCAGGAATGGAGGCGGGTTTTCCTCCCGCTGAGTGTGTTGGCCACGAGGATAACTGGTTGCTTCCAAGCGGTTTAGAATGCTTCTTGTGTGTGGCCGACCTTCTTCGGGATGTGCGAGTCGCCCAAATGGGATTTTCACACAGCCTCATAATAAATGTGAATGTTATTCGGCTGCTAAAACACTAATGGCAAGCCACTGGGATCACGGAGGCCGGTTCAACATCCACTAAAGGCCACAGTTCCTTCTATTAACCTGACATATCATATTAGCCTAACTCTCTAACAGAAGCTACTCGCTCATTAGCTCGGGGCCGGGCAGATCCCGCATCCGTAGCCTACTCGGCTCGTCCCTCGCGCCCAAATGGCTCTCCAGAATGGTAGCAAGGGGTAAGTCCCCTACTCTTTAGGCATAAGATCGTCAGCCATCGTTCAAATCCTGGAACTTGTCTATGATGAATATCCCTGCAGTGAATGGAGTGAAACTACGGGTAACATGGATCGCTGCAGACTACAGAATTCTCCCGTGAGTCTAGGAAGAGTCGGTGTCGCAGACAGGTTCATCAGATACATGCAATAAGCGCAGTTTGTCTACTATTAGTGCCATGCACGTCCATGCCCGACGAAGAAATGAGCGTGTCGCCATTGCTAGGCTACGACGTATCACTTGGAGTCGGTCTAGATCACTTCTTCTGCATGGGCCGGCCATCCAACTTCGAGTCATCTCATCAGACGGTTGCCAGCCTTTTAGTCTACATCCCCAAACAGTGTATCGTTGCAGAAGCCACCAATTCTCTGGATCCGTCTAGACACGCCTAGAGCCCTCTATTGTTGTATAGGGATGTGGTACGATCCAGGGTGCTGATCCAAATCCGTGTCACCGCCTCCATGTAGGGGAGTCACCAAACAGGATACCGGTCCAGAAGAATGCAAGTCTCAATCAAGTGGCGTCCACCTCAACCAGGTATCACAGCGCCTTGGTCTCGACCCAGTGCCATGTGCATTTTTAACTGGGTAGAAACACTCCAAGGTGAATGAACATCACGGAGGGACAGCACTCGAGACAAGGCAAGAAGTAGAAATAGATCGGCTCGAGACAATAAAAGAAGCAGAAATTGATCAGCCAAGATGATATCATGAGGGCGTAAGGGAAGGAGAAACGCAGATCAACTGGCACGGAGAATAAATCGAGACCTCATTAGCCCTCTTTGGTTCAAAAGATGATGCCATCGACGTCGGAACAGCCGATATGATACTTAGATTGATTTCGTATACACCCTCAAGATGATGGGATATTCTCAAAGCAGCAACACCCACGCAAGGAGATCAGCTCTCTCCGATCCTTCGCATCCTCTACATGAGATCTCCAAGATTGAGCAAAGGGTGTTGATCGTTCAATATGCAGTTTATTTCAGAGAGTACGCAAATATTATGTAGGGGTAAAATGTAAGGGCATTCCAAGTCCTGGCCGGTGCGTGAAACATGGCTTTTACGGGTTCTGCATCCTGCAAACTTGGCCTCCAAACACCCGAGATCGGAGAAACAGAAAGAGGCAGCCCAGCCCAGGACGAGGGGCAATCTTGTCCCCATTCAGCCCTCATGTCTCGACGAAAGGCGGCGCAGAATGCGACACGGCTTCCCAGGCAGTCTCGAGCGCCATGGGCAATACCGGAGCCCGATGATGCGATCTATCTTGGCTGCAATGTCGTCATCTGATGCCATAGCCTGAGCAAGGGCTCGACAGAGCAATGCGTGATGTTTGGCGGCCGTGTATCCAAGTATTATTCCATATCCGTGTCTATAGTCTATTCAAATCCTAATACGTTCCAGTGGACGCTCATACAAGAGCACCTGGAGTCTCCAGCCTCCAGAAGCTCCAGGCCACGGCGGCCGCAGCTTTGAGACCAGCAGAGGTCCAGAGCGCGGGCGCAAGCGAGCCACTGCCCTTGTAGCACCATCCACCGACGATGGCGCCAACGAGGAAGGCGACAACGGCGCCCATGCGCCTGTTCCGCTTGAGGTTCTTGGACGGCGTCGCGGTGAGCTTCGGGTCGGAGGAGATGTCGTAGTAGACGCTCGTTAGAACGGTGGTGGGGAGCTCGTTGAACCCGCAGCCTCGGCTGGCCGCCATCTGGCCGCCGGCCTGGAAGGCAAGCAGGAACAGGGGCACGAGGGGCAGCAGGAGGGTCTTCGTAGACGAGTTGACTTCGTGGGCGGAGGACACGACACGGGTCTCGAGGAGGACGGCGGCGACGATGATGCAGAGGGCCTGCACGGCGAAGGAGACGGAGAGGGTCAGGCGCTCGAGGTTGCGGCCCTGGGTGACCTTGGCGAAGATGAAGCTGCCGACGATGAAAGAGAAGATGGAGATGAGGGACTTGAGCCAGCCAAAGGGCTTGTCCACTGGCTGGTTGGATGCGCCGAGGCCCAGGAAGACGGTGTTACCTGGATGTCGCAGTTCGTTAGCAACACACACGTAGACGGTCGCGGTCGCAGGCCCACGTATGATCCAGGCCAGGCTCTGCTGCAGCGAGAGCAAAGCAAAGCAATAATAAATGCGATAGATGACATGACTTACCCGTCTGCATGCTCACGAAGCATGTCCAGGCGCTGTAGGCGCTGCTATCGAGCATGCCCGACACAAAGTAGCAGCCAATAAAGACAAGGTCGGCATATTGGAGATCGATCTTTGGCTTGGGAGCCTTCAATTTCGTAGGAGAGTCCATGCTGGGGAATGTCTACGGTCCCGATGTGGTGTTGCTTTGGATGTCGATGCGCGCAAAGTCGCAGCCGCTGAGCTGGATATGAGGACCTGCGACAGCCATTTTGATAAATTTTTTTCCCTCCTCGACCGGTCTAGACGATGACGAATACCGGCGATTGCGAATTATTTGATTCCCGCAGCCAAGCCAAGCTCCCAGGGGGGCCACTTGGTCCAAACGCTAGGAAATTAATCAACCGATTTCGGAGGCGGTCCTCGAGCTGAGCAGGCCAGTGCTCATCGTCGTGAATGCCTTTCGACGGCTCAGTAAATCCATCTACATGTGTCGCAGGAACTGGAAGGGCTCGACCATCATCGTAGGTGCACCATGTGCGTATAGCCTGGGGCCAGCCAGCCTTGGACGTGCGCAGCCAGGCAGCCGCCTTTTCTCCTCTCCCTTTATTTGGGCATTTGTTTTGCTTTGTCAGACAGTCGGAAGCCCTTGCCGGCTTGGCTGGACTCAGCTCATCGTTTTAGGGGCTTCGTCCGGTCTGGTATCAGGCCCGTCGGCAGGGCCACTCGCTCGAGGCAGTCGTCGTAATATGAAGCCATACCGATGGCGACATGAGGTGCAAGAGTAGAATGAAGTGAAGGAGGGAAAAGTCAGCGGCAGATCGAACGGCTAGCCCGGCTTTTTGCTTGTTGGGGTGGCCTGGCAGCACAGGCTTCTCCGCACCAGGGTAGCAATGAGGGAGTCCAAGGCACGGCACGGCACGCGCAGGCGGCAGGCAGAATTCAGGGGCTTGACGTCAAGTTGTGCCTTAGTTTGCCGGACAAGCTCTTCCTGAGAATGCGAATAGATTGAAAAGCATGGCTAATGGAAGCGGTGGGCTGTGTATGCTGTGTGCCTTACATGCGTCAAAGTCAACCCAAGAGCTAGTTGGTGGAAAAGAGCCATGTATCACAACTGTAGAATAGCCTGCAAGCCAAACAGTAATGAAACAGACATTTTGAAAGATGTGAGGTCACTCATCTGATAGAATATGATAAAAATAATATATGTATTAACGACCAATAGCGAAGCTGCGTCCCTTCTTCCACGTATCGCGAGCTGCATCGTCAACGTATAGGGTAGCCATATCGAGATGGTGAGCAACCGGCGACTCTGGGGAAAAGCTGGGGTTTTAACTTGTCCCGGTTAGACTCGCCGATAATGTGTTAGTAAAGGCAAAGCCTGATTGGGTCTCCATTCTTTCTTTCCTCTTTGCACCAATTTCGGCGAGCACCAGACCAGCAAATCCCCCTTCCCCTCATGCTCTTCTACTTCCCCAGTAATATCACTTCCCCGTCTCGACCTCACCTCATACCATGGTGTGGTTGTGGAGCGGCTAAATCGAATCATGCCGGTTCTTAAGAATCCATGTGTGATATGCAAAGGTGGGCCGCTCTCTGTTCATTACCGTCTTGAAAACCACAGTATGCTGACCGACTGGCCGCGGCACCTCGGTTCCGGCAGAGAAACATCTGAGGTGCAGCGATGACACACCGCAATGTAGCCGCTGCCGAAGTAAGGGCCTCGAGTGTATTCGCCCGGGGAGGAGGAAGCCCTTTCGACAAGGCTCTGCCGCCAACTTTGACTACCGCTTTCCTGATTCGCAGACGTGGCTGAGGAGCAACGCACGAGAATGTTAGTCCAACTCTCCTCTGGGCCTATTGATACCTGAATCCTTACGTACCCATCTGCTGCCCTCCTCAATGTGCCATTGCCTACACGCCAATGCCCCGGAACAGGCTCACCTAACCATACCCCACAGTCCGTCTTTACACAAGCTCCCGAGGGCGTGCCCAGCGTATACCCACCGAGGCCGACCCTAACCTCGAGGATGACGCTCTCGAAGTCCCTCCTGGTATGCAGGGCGCCTCTCCAGGCGCACCATTGGAGGCACCGACATCGCTCTCACCCATCTCGCAGGCCCATGAGAACCCTTCGAATGAATGGGTGAGCATGTCAACCCAAGCAACAACCCCTTCACACCAGTCAGATGCTTTCCAGTCGCCCATCAGCAGCCTGAACGCACCTGAATCAAATGAGGATCATAGTGGAGTGTTTAGGCCATCGTACAACCACGCTAGATTGGAGCATATACCATCACCACGCAAAGGTCAGGACCAACCTTCCTACTCCTCGACAGGTAGTCCAGTATAGCTGTCTGCCCTGGAGGCTGCTTTCATTGCCTGACGAGTAATAACCATTGCCAAAGGCGTAGATCATACTCAGGTGCACCAAGAAAAAGATCATTCGACTGAAGCTCGCCAAATCCGAGAGGCATGTCTCCTGGCTTACTATGTTGATGAACTCTCTCACTGGGTAAGTCCTTCTCTGTGATCTGCCATCTTTTGATTTACTGACGCATCACCCAGTTCGATATTGCGGACCCTTTAAGGAGCTTCGAGATTCTAGTTCCCGAAAGAGCAAAGCACTACCCTCCCCTACTTAACGCCATCTACGCTGTCTCTGCACGTCATATCTGCCGTCTGCGGCAGTACAGGACCCCCGATGGGCGTATAATGTATCGTGACCAGCTGCTTCATGACACCCACCCCGGCACAGCAGTCGAATACATGCTAAGGGCACTCCCTGCTCTGCGCGAATTTCACACGACCTACGACGAAGACACTCGTGGGCTCATGGTCGCCACAGCCATCATCCTACGCCAGTTTGAAGAGATGGAAGATGACCATGATGATGACGAAGAAGAGGCGAAGCGAGCAGATCCTGACTCCCCTAATACACCTCCTCAAAGGGTCAATTTCCTGTCCATTATTAGTACTGTCCTCAAGAGCTCCAATACGGAGGAATGGTCGAACCATTCTAGTCTCTTGAAAGCATCGTATTGGATTGCGCTTAGACAAGAGATTTACTACGGCCTCCTGAAGGGCCACCCTCCGGATTTTGTACAGACACCCCAGATTTATGCCAATGCATCTCCCACAAACCGACTGATCATACATGCTAGTCATGTTACGGCATGGCACTTTGACGGTAGATCAGAGCAAGAATGGTGTAAGTTTTCTCTTTCACTTTGCCGACACGGATGATGAATAGCTGACTTATCAACGCGCTGTAGTGATACTGAAACAACAAGAAGAAACTCTCGAGGAGACCGTGGTGAAGCAATTCGAGCCCATACTATCACTTCCACCTAAAAAGGAAGATGGCCATGTTTTCCCCATAATATGGTATCACTCGGCCATCGGACTTACTGCAATGCAACACTTCTTGCTCGCAAAGATGATCCTTCTGGCCGAGTCGCCTTTGCTAGTGTGAGCATTACCCTACTTCGTGTTTTTTAATGCCATTTTTATTAGCTATACTGATTGATGAAATAGACAATCATCCGATGCAAGGTCGGCGTTTAGAGAGGCAGAACTGCGAGTTCGCTCCATCGCGCTGGATATCTGCGGTATCGCCATTCAACACCCGAAGACCCCCCCTGCTCTGGTGAATGCGGCGTTGGCCATACATCTGTATGGCCATTTCTTTGTGGATCACTACGAACGACAGGCACTCAAGGGTGTCATCGGTCGGTTTCGTGATGCGTGTGCTTGGCCAGTACCAAGGCCACTGCAGCAGTTCGAGTGAAGGGTGTGGTGTCAGTATGATAGATGATCAGTGCGGGTTTAAAGAAGCCGTCTTAATGAGGGCATGGATTTTAGGCTCATCTAAATAACTTTGTTCAATAGTTTTCCACCTTAGCAAAAGTAATATTATTCTGTTTCATGGTATCTCGATACCACTTCAAAGGGTTCTCATAGTTCCCCGTAGTCTGAAAATTATTTCAGCTCGCTTCCAAAGTATGCAAAATATAGTCTATGGATGGCAAACATGCGAAACTTGGCGGTAATGCCTCGTTTGAGATTTTCTCAGCTCTACCTTAGAAGACCCTTATAACAGCACTCGAATGGCTGTCCGAACATCAAGCCCCCCTTGTTTAGTACGTATAACGAAGCCCCTTGCGCTTCAACACACGGTCGTTGCCAAAATAGTACTGCAGATTCGCCAACGCCGAAAGGAAAACACCAATCGCACTAAGAGCCACAATGATAGAGAAGCCTCTTGGATAATGGGGTGCATCGTCCTCCCGGAACAGTGCTTTGCCAACAATACCCGAACAGTTGGCGGCCATGATGTGCAGTGCCATGGTGATGGATCGCTCGCCAGGTGTTCTGGCGTTGAGTGACAACCAAGAACCATTTACCGCGTCTGTCGGGATACTTTGTTAGCGAATTTAGCCTTAAATTTAGGTGAAGGAGAGAAGCTTACGCCAGGGCCAGGAGAAAACAATGGAGGTTATCAGGATGGCAAACTTCGTCTGTGCGCTGGAAGAGGTGACGGCGATTTTGTTTCCAATCTATAAAAAACGTTAGAGCATTCCATGGTGCGAAAGACAACTCTGATACGTACGTTAAAACCCAATCCGAGGATGAAACCGAGGAGGACCATAGGACCACGAACACCTAGACGGTCGCTTGATATAATAGGTTAGCTGTCATATCGACAAAAAATCCAGGCAGATCAACTGAACGTACCAAGCCCAACCCCAAAGTAGGTTGCAGAAAAGGAGACCCCAGTAGCCAATGGATACCATGGCGTTGGATTGAAGACCGCTGTACCCGAAGCTTGTGATCAGAGTTGGAGCATATGAGCCCATGACCTGTGGTGGCGCCATGCCAGCAATGGTGAAGCCAATGTGAGGGAGAATACGCCAGTTGGTGAACTACATGACATTGGTCAGTCACGAACATAGCTGAGGTAAAAGTTCTCGTTGGAGTACATACCGTGCTCTTGAAGTCCTCCAGCGTGATGTGTGTTCCCACCTGTTTCTTGGAGGGATCATCACGGATTACTCTGTGATAGAGAATCTGGGCCTCCCGCTCGGTGAAATAGCACAAGCCTAGGAGTGACTTGGGGTTTGTGACTTGGTCTGGGAAGAATAGAAGAAATGTGAAACCAATTAAAACGGTGAAAATGCCCTCAAGGATGAAGAGCCACTGCCATCCGCTCAGACCGGCGATTCCTCGCATGCGGAGACTTCACCTTAATGTCAGCTTAGTTTCTAAGTTGGTGAAGGAGTAATTAGGGCCAATCACATTCCAAAGGCAATGATGCCTGACATCGCTGACGCGACAAGATTTCCCATGAAGAACCACGAGAAACGTTTGCTGATTTCGTCTCGCTTATACCACCGGGACATGGTGAACAGACAAGCTGGGATAAAACCCGCTTCGCAGAGTCTATTGAGAATCAGCTGCCATGATACAACATAGTTGGTTTGTAGATAAACATACCCTAGAAGCAGTCGAGTGATTACATATACTGTATAGCCCTTCTGGAAAGCTTGAAATGTGGCGACAAGCCCCCTGATCTTTCATTAGTTGCTTGAACGAGATAAGATAGGTCGAGAAGCGAAGCGCCCCCAAGATCGATCTAATCTTAGAGTGCTTACCATGCAATGATTTGGCCTCCGATCCACAGTGTAGGCCCGACCCTGTACAGGATCATGTTGCTAGGAATCTGGTGAAGGGTATATGTGTTAATAAGGGGCATTTTAAGGCAGAGTGAGCGACACCTACTTCGAGAACAATGATACCCAGGGACAAGAGCTGTTGGCCTGTGTTGAACTGATTTTGCGTGATGCCCACATCTTTGAAGAAGCCATCAGTTAATGCGTTGCCACTGATACAAGGATTAGTTTCTCCGAGCTCCTTTAGATAGATGTGGTAGAGACCCTCACATGTTTCCTCTATCAAGCTGTAGTGCGAAAAATCCAAGGATCATGGTCGGCATAAGCAAAATGTCAACCCTTCAGAGAGGTGAGTTAGTCAAACACTCCAGTCTTCTCCATCGTCGCGGGCAGACAAACCTCCGAAGAAGGGTAGCCTCCTCCTCCTCTGTCCAGAAAAGATCATCGTGTTCCTCTTCGTGCTTTCTGTCACTGCCACTTGAAGAGGCTCGAGCCACCTGTTGCTCGCTGATCTCCTTGTCGGCTGCCATTGTGATACAATCGAGCTGGACAACCCGGACCTCGGCTCGGAACTATTGAATTTCGCTTGTCGGTCTGCAATTATTAAGGACCGAGTAAAATCATCGGGCCGCCCAGGGTTTTATGGAAAAGAATCTGATTAATGAGACTGAAACTGACGCGTCCGTGGTCTCACAAACTGGTCCGTTCATGCTTTGAAAACCACGAACCCTCTGCGGGTCGGCTGTGCACCGAGCCGACGCAGTTTGGTGGAGCATTTCACATCAAATACCCTCGTGGGCTCGGATGGATTCTTCAGTGACAGCTGTAGTGGAATTGCTCTTCCAGCCGAGCTCGATTGCAGCCCTCAGTTCGAGCAACGAGGTTGCGATTCTCGCTTTCGCCCCACTGCTGTCAGGGGTTTTGGTGTTGACGCTATCAAGCTAATGGATTGCGTGCTTGAAACTGTCTGCGGATTGCGCAATCTCGACCCAATCTTGATCCCCGTTGAATGAACTTGTCCCTTGATTGACCAATAAAAAGCTTATGTGTGATAGGGTTGTGTTCGTGTAGCTCCGGCATGATGCTAGAATCGGGGTCAGTCCGATATCAATGCACCTCATTTATTATTATGTAGATTCGTATTTGTGTCATGTTAGCTTGAGAACGAACGTAATATAGGTTGATAATTTCTTCCAGAAAAGCGGAACGTACGGTAGAAGTTCGCTTTGATATCGGTGTAGTTCTGAGAAGCAGTGATGGTCACAGCTTGTTAATTCATCACTGTATCATTGATTGGTGACCCAATATTGCCACGATTCCGAGAAGAGCACCAGTCTGAAGTAGTCATATTCCCTTCGCAATGAGGATCCAGGCAACCGCAGCTGTTGCCGTGGCTAACTACCTGGCAGCGCAAGTAGTTGCAGCAGGACTGTTGGATGAGCAAATCCCTTTGAGCCAGCCTGGCAATCCTAAGCCCTCAGACCGGCCTAACATCATCTTTGTGCTCACCGATGACCAGGATCTGCACATGGACTCGCTCAATTACCTGCCAAAGATTAAAGAGAAATTGATTGACCAAGGGACACTCTACAAACGTCACTACTGTACCACAGCAGTTTGTTGTCCTTCCCGGGCATCCATCTTCACGGGAAAGCTGGCGCATAACACTAATGTTACCGACTTAAATCCTCCTTACGGTGTGTAGTTGGATCAAATATGCCCCATTATACAATATTAACCCCGGATAGGTGGCTTCCCGATCTTTGTCAAGAATGGCCATAATGAGAACTACTTGCCTCTGTGGCTGCAAGGCGCCGGATACAATACCTTTTACACGGGGAAAATGTTCAACGCACACACCGTTTGGAACTACGATAGCCCGCACCTGAAGGGCTGGAATGGATCGGTATGTTCCATCGAATAATATACCCCGTTGAACAACGGCTTGGACTAACACTGGCAGGATTTCCTCCTTGATCCTAATACTTACGACTACTGGAATGCGACCTTCCAGCGGAATCACAATGCACCGGTCAACTACCTTGGCGATTATTCTACAGACGTGCTGGCTGAAAAGGCATATGGTTTCCTTGACGACGCTATTTCTGCAAAGAAACCGTTCTTCCTCGGGATTGCCCCCATCGCCCCTCATAGCAACGTGAACAGCACAGTGTTAAACCCAGTCAAGGGCCCGGATGATGATGTTCCCGTGTCAGACGACACCTTCCGAGTTTCAATTCCTAGAAGCGCTAAGCGACACGAGCATCTGTTCCCCGATGCCAAAGTCCCCAGAACTGATAATTTCAACCCAGACGTTGAGTCGGGGGCGGACTGGATCCGCAGACAGCCAAAGCTGACACAAGAAAATGTTGAGTACAATGACCGTCACTACCGTGGTCGTTTACAGGCTCTCCAGTCAGTGGATGAACTTGTTGAAGGACTGGTAGAGAGGCTGGAACAGCACGGTATTCTCGATAACACCTACATCTTCTACACCACTGATAACGGCTATCATATCGGACAGCATCGCCTGCCCGCCGGAAAGGAATGCGGATATGAGACTGATATCAACGTCCCGCTGATCATCCGCGGACCTGGTGTTCCCAAAGGCAGAATTTCAGATTCGGTCACTGCTCATGTCGACTTGGCACCTACTTTCCTCTCCCTGACTGGCGCAAATCTGCGGGCCGATTTTGATGGGACACCAATCCCTCTGTCGGAAAAGGAGATCGACCTTGCTCCCTCCACACGTGAGCATGTCAACGTGGAGTACTGGGGCTGGGCCATTTCCGAGAGCAACTTTGGCTTCAATGGGGGGGACGACAAGAGGATATACAACAACACTTATAAAGCGCTGCGTGTCATTGGTGAGGATTACAACCTATACTACTCGGTGTGGTGCACGAATGAGCATGAACTCTACGAGATGAACGTAAGTTGAAGTCTTCCTAGTCGAGTGAGGATGACGATCTCGCTAACGAAGACTTAATAGTCTGACCCTGGCCAGCTCAAGAATTTACTTCACAGAGATGAGGCACTCTTGGCGGCACAGACCACCGTTCTGGGTTATTCTTTAGAGAAGCTCATCCCCAGACTCGATGCTCTCCTGTTAGTTCTAAAGTCTTGCAAGGGGGCGAGTTGCTCGCAGCCCTGGACGTCATTGCACCCCCATGGCAACGTTGTCACCCTCCACGATGCTCTTTCCCCCAGATATGACGAGTTTTACGAACAGCAAGTTCGCGTTGAATATACATGGTGTGACTCGGGGTATATTGTGCCGGCAGAAGGCCCGCAGTTTGAGAAGGATGGCGTGGTGTATTGGGAAGGTTCCAACTGGAGTGACTGGACTTGAGTTTTGAATATTAGGTCAGGATATAGTTGAGATATTTTTCAGGCCGAAAATAAATGCATTGTCTAGGAATTTATCTGTGGAATTTAATATCATTCCATTAGCTACCATCTCGAATTCAAATGTCAAAAACAAGCTATTCTTGTGCGCTACTGATTATACTGACAACTATGACTTAAATCTAAATCTATATGCTAAGGACAGGAAAGCTTGCAATCAGTTGTTTGATTGGGAGTCTTTTCTGGTATCTCCCACTCTGGGTCGTCCAAAAGAAGTCTTGCAAGACCGAGCTCGCTGTCCACACTCAAGGCTTGACGAGGCAAGAAAAGCTGCTCGTGCCAGGCACCACCGAGATTCAAGAGTAGAGACGTGATTTCCCGTTGGCCAATTCCTTGCGCCGCCCACCAACGTCCGCCCAGAAGCTTCAAAAATATCAGGTAATGGGCTAAGATGACCAAAGCCCGAGGTTGAAACGTGCGACAAAGCTCAACAAAGGGTGTAGGAATAACAGTAAGCCAGGTAAGTGTACGAAGGACCAACAGTGATCCTATGCCGCGTGAAAGTTCTGCGAACAGCGAGCCGAGATATTGCAAACCGACGTAGTAAGTGTTTGCATCGGCATATTCTGGATCGTCTGGCCCAATTGAGAAAACCATCTGAATCAGGCAGTCTGGGATGTAAGACCCGGACTGTATGAGATCGATATCGGGCCTCATGAAAGGTTCAACCACTCCGAGTTGCCGCAGCTTATCGGATGTGACTACGCCGATGAGGGTGTTGATTCCCCTCCATATCATCATCCAGTCGACAATACATATCTCATGGACCTCTTTATCGCGGAACATATCGGTTGAGATGTTTGCGATTAGTATGGAGCAGAGAGCAAGAGCAGGAGTGGTCTGTTCGCTTGGCTCAAGAATGGCCCGTCGATACCCCTCTATTCCACGTGCGCGATACTGGAGGGCACGAGAGGTGCTGACATCTTGATCGAGCAACCTGAGTTGAAGTGCTGCAGTGGCCAGCACGCAGTCCATCAAAAAGGGGTTCTCGAAGGCTAATTGGGGGAGTTTGATCTTGAGAACATTGTCGAGCCGGTCTGCTCTCTCCCCTGACTGAGGTCCTATGGGAAGGTTGTAACTGCTGGTGGTGTAAAACCAAAGCAATCTCAGGTCGGCGGAGTCCCTTCCAGTGCCAGCGCATAGAAAGGGGCTCAGGAGGGAATCAGAAGAAGCAGGGCTGCTGCTCCCCGGCGAAAGGGAAGAGCCCCGGCTTTCAGGGGACTGCCCGCCGGTACGGGAAGGACGTGCTATCGATGATGTGGTTGTAGGGGGATAGACACACTCGGCCTCGCGAACAAAACATCGGCGGCACGTTGGCTGGGCCTCATCACACTTGACCTTCCGGGCCTTGCAAGATAGGCAACCCTTTCGAGATTTGAAATGGGTCCTTTTGCTATGGTAGGGCTTCTGTAGGCTTGCTACTAGTGTCTTGGGTCCCACGACACCCAATTCAGAAACCGAGGGCTTCTCATTCGCGGGGAGGAGGATCGGAAGCTTCCCACCTGAATCGTACATGTTGGGCGGCGAAGTCGACATGGCACACATGCACAGTGGGCGAAAAATCCGACGGAGACAATCTGAGAGCAGGAGTGGTTGATTTGTTTGACTCTTAATCTTACGCTTATTCATTCACAGCCACAAATCATGACGATTACATTGCACGGCCCACACTGTTGTCTGACTTCAGGAGTTAGACTGACAGGGGGCTCGCATTCGCTAGACTGCCAATAGGCCAATGGGAGCTTTTTGGTTGACAGGGTCCCTAAATTAGCTCAAACAGGCGAATGCGAGGAGAAAGATCACTGGCTGGATCTTTAAGAAGTCTACGTTGAGACGGGGTACGATAGCCTTATAGATATTTCGCACTAGGGTGTTTTGTGGCATGCATCGCCGTGTAACCAATATGGCAAGATTCAGATCAATCTTCGTTTGGGGAGGGAAGAGTTTGAGTATATACGATGTGAGTATAAGAGGATTTCAGGGCCCTCCGATGTTTCCACTGTCGAGAGAAGCAACGCAGAAGTTCCCATAGCCACGGTTCCCATACGAAAACCAATTCTTTTACGGCAGTCTGCTTTTGTTATCACCTATATCCATAAACTTCAACATGAATGCCGAAACTGTAAAGCAAGCTGGCATCCCCCCCGAATACCTGCATCAACTGTCCAATGGATCTTACGTTCACCGAGGGATGTTTAACACTTTTGGTCCAAACGCGAATTGCACGTTGGATCTCTGTTCTATCGAATGGTCTTTGTTTAGATACCGACCAAGTCTCCCCGCCAATTCTGTTTTCCTCGCTCTGTTCGGCCTTGCCTTGCTCGTTCACATATACCTCGGAATCCGTTGGCGTACATGGGGTTTTCTAACTTTTATGGTCTTGGGTTGCTCGATGGTTATGCTTGGGTATGGCGGTCGTATCATGCTTTGGGTCAACCCTTGGTCCTTCGCGGGCTTCATGCTGCAGATTATTCTTGTCGGCAGCGGCCCTGTTTGGTTTTCGGCTGCTATCTATGTGACCCTTTCGCGAGCGTAAGTTTCTTCATTGACTTTCGAGAATCCATTGTTTTATCCAATACGAGCTAGATATGCTAACTATAGTTTCATGTCTAGTATTCGGTTCCTTTCTCCGGAAATCGCTCGTTTGCCCCCCAAGGTTTTTTACTGGCTATTCATCTGCTCCGATTTCATATGTCTCATTCTTCAGGCCATTGGAGGTGCACTTTCGACAACGTCAAAAGGAGTCTCTCAGGTTGGAGTTGATCTCGCGAGGGCTGGACTGATCATTCAAGTCGTTATTCTCATCGTCTTCTGTGGCCTTTTTGCGGACCATCTGATTCGATTTCACATGCTACGCAAGTCTAAGCCCGATGAGCTTAAGACACCTTTTGGCATTCGCCAGAAAGTATTTTTTGGGGGCCTTGCATCGGCCGTGGTTTTGATCTTGGCGCGATGCGCATACCGTGTGGAGGAACTCAGCGAAGGATACAGCAACTCGTCCAAGCTGGCAGATGAAGGCCTGTTTATTGGCCTTGAAGGAGTGTAAGTCGCTCTCAGCCCTTTTACTCGAGAAGATGTTCTAACTTTGACGAAGACTCATCATTGTGGCTGTAATTTGCCTCTTCTTCGGGCACCCTGGCCTCGGCTTCGGAGACCTCGAGGATAGGACAGAGCACTTAGAGTTGAGCAGCCTAGAAAAGTGATCCTATCTTTGGTTATAAGGTCCTGGGTCTTTCAGATAACAGGATACCTGAAAGTCTAGGAATATGGGTTTGCACTATTGAACCTTTTCACCGCACTACACTAAACGTCGCTCATTAGACGCAGGAAGCCAGCCCTGTCACTGGAGCAACATCGCCATATCAGTGCATATATAGGACAATCTCCTGCAAATTAGCTCTTGAATGGATTCACCCCTTCCCTCAGCTTGATCTCACTACGTACCACACTTACAAGATCGAGTTCTAAGAATGTAAAACTCGACTCATTGGTCGCCGATTCGCTCGATTTCCTTTGTCTAAATATTCAATTTAATTCTTTCACTCCAATTTAGCTCAGACTCCACAACTCCTTAATGGGAATTGAGACCTGTTAGATTTCCTTATGTAATGTATCTATAGAAGGTGGTAGCCTCTAGTTTAGTTTCTTAAGTTGTAGTGACAATTGCTAGTGGCAATATGGCGATGGCCTATGTAGCTGTTTGAATACCTTAGAGGCCAATCCCTTGTAGGTAAAGTAACTAAATATTAGTTGGATACACTCAGCCTGGTGATGAACTTCGACCGCCTTTCTCTTCCATCCCCGAAGAGCATGCCTACAAGTACTGAAACCTCCTTGGGAAGGAAATCATCTTTCCTCTGGGCACACGTTCTTCTAGCTCTCACTCAGTCGGTGCATAAACTCGCTGAGAGCACTTTACTTAATTAAATCACTCACTTTAAAGAGAGGATAAATTTATTTACAAATATATGATGATTATTTCTTTTAATGTCGCTTCACTCAGTTATAAAGGGATGCTTTCATAAATCAATCTTATGACTCAATTTTATGCAGGCACGTAACACTTGGCGTGTTTCTAACTACATGTACGTTAGGTAATTGTAACCTCCCTGTTGCTATTCACGCTTGGTGCATTCTTGTCTTATTGCGACACTTTCTTAAACCGACCTTGTCATTTCATTTCATTATAATTATGTCATTTCAATCACCTGCTGCCGAAGTCGAACCGCCGCTAAAACGGAGAAAGATACGAAAGGGCACAACCAGTTGCTGGGAATGTAAGATTACAAGAGTGACCTGCGCGTGAATTGCAGGATAGTCCAACGCTCCCAGCTCTTGATACTGACATGCCTAGGTAAGAAAAGAAAAGTACGCTGCCACTTCGTCTCTCCGACGAACAAGGTCTGCGTTGGCTGCTCACGACGGCTCACGCCATGCTTGAGCCAAGAGTACGATGCTGCGGGCGAGGATCTCAACGGACTAGATGGCAACGAATTCGGTCAAGAAGCTGGTGCCTCTTTGACACAGAATCGGCAATTGGGACAAGAAAGTCATGCCTCGTCACCGAGGCATGTAGGAGATCTATTAGAGGACGTTCTCATGACATCCCCAACAGTTATTTCAAGAAATGCCTCTGGGGCTAACATCCAGCTTTTTGACTGCGCCCTCATAAGTGCGCCCTGCTAGAACATTCACGCAGGAGTTGCTTGTCTCTCCGCTAACTACCAGCGTGGAAGATCGGGTCAGAGAATCCAGAGAGTCAACAAAAGCCTTCTTCGACTCAGAGTAGGCGCTACAGAAGAATCTCCCGTGACTTACACGCCGCCTTACCATCACAGCGTGATGCTGACCTCATCATTGCGGCAGGGAACACACCCTGCTTCCTGCAATTCTTCACCCGGCCTTACAAGGACCTCTTCTGTGGCAACATGCAGCCACCGTCTAGCCTCTCTGCTCTACCTAGTCCTTCCAGCCACCCAGTCCTCCTCGCCCGGACTCTGCTCTATCTCGCCCATAGAATTCAAAATCTACACCCGTCCACTTTCAACACTGAGCAGCTAAGCCTTATATCTCATACTAAAGCTATACAAGGATTCTTACACATAACATCTGCACTAGTTATTAGTAATATCAAGATACTTAACTCTCTCGAAGGACTAGAGTATCTTATTCTTGAAGGAGTATACTATATTAATACCGGAGACCTGCGTCATACATAGTCAGTATTCCGGTAAGCTATTACTCTCGCTCAGCTTCTGGGCTTACCCAAAGAAGACACCAGCAGCCTATTTATTCTAGATCCTCAGTCAATAGCATACCCTTCGTTCATATAGTATCGAATCATCCATCAAGACAGATACCTATCTCTTATACTAGATCTACCTCCCGGAACTAATAAAGCCGCCATCACAGTCCCAGAAAGTCTAGAGCTGGACGATTATCCATCTAGATATCTCGAGCGTATTCACTGCATCTTAACAGGACGAATAGTTACCTGTAACAAGATCAATAAAGAGAGCCTTACAGAATATTCAGAAATATCAATTATTAATAAAGAATTGCAAAAAGCTGCTGAACATATAGAGCCTGAGTAGTAGCTGTTACTAAGTACAAAACAACAGGCTAACGGTGCTATTACTGGAAATAACAAGCTTGAAGATATATTACGAATCCTGGTCCACATCACGTATTTCCAGCTTCTCATCCTCCTTCACCTGCCGTACATGCTTCTTCCTTCTCCGGAACGCCCATATAACTACAATGAGGTCGCTTGCGTGAATGCAAGCCGTGAGTGTCTGAACCGCTACATACGATTTCGGTGCATGGACAAAGTCCCTTTTTGATGCCGAGCCATCGACTTTGCGGCCTTCATCGCCTGTCTTGCCCTTCTTCTGGCCCATCTTGACAGGTCCTGTCGCAGCCCGAAAACAACATGTGTTCTTGCACATCATCGCCTCAGCGATCGTGCCATGGTTGAAGAGGTGCTTGAGTTTATGAAGGCATTGGATCGGGAAAGTAATGATGAGGATGATGTTCTGCTGCGCCAGTCCTGACGCACTTGTCCTCCATCACAGCGGATGCCGCGAACCGGACGAATGGCAATTTGATGGATGACCCGGCAAGCACTGGCACAGATTTTTCAAGTCATTGTCTTCGGCTCGCGATACCGTGCTTTGGCAGAGCAAGCATTACTAGGGATGGCATCCGCAAAGAGAAGCGGTCGGATGAGAGCTGCCATGCCGTGGATGAAGCATCGCCCTCACTTCCCTCCTCTGTCAGGCTTACATTACGGCAAGAGGAGTCATCGGGGGCCATTTCGCAAGGCGGTTTGTTGACAGGAAGTTTCATGCAGATGTATACCCAGGAACTTTCCATAGATCAATTTGCAGAATCCGACTGGGCTCAACAAGAATTTAACCCCTCGTCTTTCGAAGAGCCATTGGTAACTTCATACGATTATGGTATGGGAACTGATTTGTTTCTACCTTCCAAGCAACAGTCCGACCAACGACCTGGGATGAACGCGATCCAGGGCATACATTTTCAGGCCTGAATTAATATACTCGAGCTCACAAAGGCCGTGATCGAGATATAAAAGCGAAAGAGTTTCCAAAGAGAAACTACATTGACGGAGTATGACGACCTCATTCTTATAATCATACTTGGATAGGATCGTAGTAAATTTCTAAGAAATCTCTACAAGCCTAAAGTCACAAGGGAGGAAGTCTCTATATTTATTAGTCAAAGGAAAACCTCATACTTAGATAACTTATTCACCATCGTGTAAGTCTTTCATCGCTAAATGAATACGTCACTGTATAGTCTTCCTTATTTCTGTCCAAGTCCCAGTCAAAATTTCAACCGCATGCACACAGACATTGTTCGAGCTTCAGCAAGACTGTATTTGCGCGAGTGCCAGTAAGCTCTTCGCCTTAACAACTTAGTCTCCCTTAAATATAGGCTTCAAACTTGGTGAAAGCGAAGAAGATGAGTTTCATCGAAAGAAGCTTGTTAATGCGCTCTTGGTGGTTAGGATCATTAAATTGGCTTGATGATTACGGTGCTCCCTCCCCGACAGGGAGGTTGACGCCATTTACATCCAGCGCCGCCTCGCTCAATAACCACGCAATGCTTCGCGCTACATCCGCTGGATCCAACAATTTGGTGTTGATGCCTGCCTTGCCGAGCTGCTTCTCGGTTTCCTCTTTCGACATATGACCGAAAAACTCACTCGTTATGGCCGTGAATGTGTTTCCTAGATGTTGTCAGCAAGCGCGAATTGTACCTATTTCTGTCCTTATAATTTCTATGACTTGGTATTCTTCTTCTTCCAATTTCCTAGTGTGCTCGTCTCATAAAATTATGGGATGGAACTTACCGGGAGAAACAGCATTGGCACGAATGCCCAGAGGATATACATCCTTGGCAACACAAGCTGTGAAATGCGCACACGCGACTTTGGAAGCCCCATATGCAAAAGCACTGGGTCCTCGGATCAACGACGCCATGCTCGACACATTGACAATGGCCAGGTGGCTCCCCTTGGGCATTTCCGCCATGACGCGAACTTGGGCACGAGTACAGTACATGATTCCGTTGAAATTAACTCCCAAGACGCGATCCCAATCTTCGTTCGTCTGCTCGAGGATTGCCGGATGGGTGGATGAAAACGCAGGTTGGCTCACACCTGCAACGTTGGCAGCGCCGTGGAGGGCGCCGGACTTGACTTTGATGGTAGCGATCCAGTCATCGACCTGCTTCGGGTCCGAAACATCAACGACGTTGGTGTAGATTTGGGTGATTGGGTTGATCTCGGTGACCTCGGCCTTAATCTTGGACAGGGCTTCACGGTTAACGTCTGCTATCCAGATTGCGCCCGCGCCATGATGGGCGAGGAGGCAAACGGTGGCAGCGCCCATGCCGGAGGCGCCCCCTGTGACGCAAAAGACGCGAGACCCGAGTGAGACACTGAGTGATGGCAGATGAGTCATGATTGCTGATGGACTTCTGTTTGGTTCTAAGTGAGCTGAGATGGGATAGTTTGATGATCTTTCGAGTGGGTGACAAGAGACCTGGTATGGGGTAAATTTATGTGTTGGTAGCTTTTTATAGATTTAAGGGGCCATGGAGGTACAAAATGTACTCCGATTCTATGCCAAAGCTATATCGGCGGACAGACTTTCAATCCTAGAAGCACATGCTGAGATTTCCGCCGGCCATGCCTTTGGTAATTGCTCATCCATGGCTACAGGTATAGGCTCCTGGAAGCTAGATGTCTCTGTAGTAGCTTAATTCCGCCGACATTTTGAGTTGTCGACCAATCAGTTTGTTCCGCCGAAATTGCAAGCTTTTCCCCTATGTTCTCTTCTTCCGAATGCTTCCTCCGAACTCTTCTACCGACTGTACGACCCACTCAAATCTCGGATGACCTTCAATCCATGACACGGAATATACTTCCTACCTGAAGTGGGGGATTATAGCCTCGGCGGAGAGATAGTCTCGACGTCCAGCTTAACTTCTAGGCAACAGCTAATTCTTATTAAAGCGATCATCCGCCGTTGGTTCAAGAACACTCTTCAATTGTCTACTCACTTTTAAATTCAGTCATCTATTGAACATAACAATATTCATCTTTGCCCGTCCTTGTCACTTGTTCTAAGCTTTCTCAGTATCCGACCTGTGTAATAGATTTTCAGGTCCCCCAACTCGACTTGTCCCAAATGAATTTCCTCTACAGGCCTTCATAGGCGGCAAATTTGTCGACAGTACGGGCAACGACAAACGGACTCTTAAATCTGCCGTCAACGATGAAATTGTCACAAAAGGTTGTCCCGTTATGGCTGCAATTACATTAAATCTTCTAACAAAACTCAGAGCTCCAGTGGTCCAATTCTCAGGATGTCGATCTGGCAGTCGAAGCTGCAGAGAAGGGTTTGCAGCAGTGGAAGTCTATGAGCAGGGTAAGCCCTATGTAATGTGTGACGTGATATATATGTGCTAATAGAGGATGTAGGAATAACGGCGAGATATGCTTGTCAGGTTTGGCGCCCTTATCAAAGAGAATCGACAACAGCTACATTGGCTCGAAGCCGTATTGGTTGGGAAAGACGCTCGCTTTAGCAATTTCGAGATAGGGGCTGCCGCTGACCTCTTCATCTGTAAGATTTTCTGTTCTTGCTTGTGTCATCGGCTTTGAGACTGTTGTTGAATTGAACATGCTGACATGAGTACGATGATAGACTATGGCAACATGATTGACAAATTCAGTACTGAAGTTTTGCACGCGGAGGACGATACAATGAGGGTATGATGCAAACCAGATGGCCGGATATTCCCACTCCCCTTTGTGACTATCCAGCGCTCATAAGAAGAATATGCAGTATACTCTCCGACAGTCGTGGGGTGTTTGCGCCGGCATCTGTCCCTTCAATGCCCCTCTTATTACACTCGCGATGAAAGCTGCCCCCGCGTTAGCTTGCGGAAACACCATCATCATCAAGACCAGTGAGACAAACCCCTTCTCAACCTTGTTCATGGCGTCCCTCTCCTGTCAGGCTGGCCTACCACCTGGCGCCCTCAATTGCCTCGTTGGTGGTGCTGAAGTGGGGGAATGCTCTGGCGTCGCATATGCGAATCCGCAAAGTCAGCTTCACTGGAAGCGTGGGCGTTGGAAAACTAGTCCATATCGCGGCTGCGAGATCGAATCTCAAGAGCGTGACCACTGAGCTTGGTGGAAAGTCTCCCATCATCGTATTTCCTGATGCCGATCTACATGGGGCACTGAAGTCGGCAACCATGTTTCTTATGATGAATGGATAAGGATGTGCCCTCGGAACCCGACTTTACTTGCATGAGTCTATTGCCGATGCATTCGTGGATAAACTTTCAAGTGTCATTCAGGCACACGCGAAGGGTCTGGGCTGGGACCCCATGTCACAGACAACCTTGTCTTCGCCGCTTTATCACCACCGGCAGAAAGCGACTGTCATGTCATTCCTCGAGGATGGGCAGAATGAAGCTACACTCCTGTGGGGTGGTAGAGCTCTTGGAGAGAAAGGCTGCTACATCGAACCTGCGCTCTTCATTGATCCTTCTCCAGACGCTCGAATTCTCAAGGAAGAAATCTTTGGTCCTATCCTTGTAGTCTCAAGGTTCTCGTCGGACGATGAGGTCCTCAAAATGGCCAACGATACCGAATTCGGGCTCGCCGCCTATGTTTGGACCAAGGACCTCGGACGGGCCTTGAGATTTGCACAGCAGCTGGAAGCTGGAACTGTCAGCGTGAATGGGGCTGGAGGGGTCAGCCCCGATGTGCCTATGGGAGGTTGGAAACATAAGTTTTGCCAATTTTAATGCTCTTTCTAACCTTTGGGAACGACTATGGCATTTTTTTTTACTTTGAACTAACCTCCTTGTCCTTTTTCAGAAAGTGGCCAGGGACTTGAGAATGGGAAGGATGCAATGTTGGACTGGACACAGTCAAAATCGGTGGCAATTACCAGTTGAAAGGTCTTCTTCTCAAGGCTTAAACCAAATCATTGCTTCAACAACGTGTTTTAGTCTTCATTTGAAAGTCCTGAAATGATCTCTCCTCTCTCTGTTGCGAGAACGCCTTCTTTTACGTTGCCATATTTTTGCTCTTTATATTACACAGTCGATAGAAGAATCTACATAAGACACAGCGACCAATCTATTTAGACCTTTTTCACACATTGCCTCTTTCTGCTAGGGTTAGCACGATATTATGGGACTCAAGTGGATAGAGTAACGAGGACTGACTCATTTAAAACTGGCAGCATTCTCTTTAGATTGGTTTGATTTTCGGCTTGTTGAATACTATTTATCTTCTCTAAATTTCTTAGACGAAAGACATGGTACTTAGCCCCTTTCTGATGGAAGCTCTTTGGAAAAGGTTTTCAGGTAGGTCTAAGCTACTGAACTAATCCAAACTGGAAATTATAGAAGACACAGCTTCTTAGACTCACCATGTCAACCAGATCCATGAGCCTATTAGCCCTAGCCCCAAAACCCGAGCAATATTACCAGCCAGTAGGATATTGATCTTGTAAAAGACCAAAGCCTTCCTTCGGGATCGCGTAGAGAGTGGCATTGTTATTGTAAAGCTGGAAGTCCACGCCTTCACGAGCAACATTATTCCCCCACCATGAAAACTCCACACCCTGACCAGCACCAAATCCGAACACGAGCGTTGTGATCAGACCAGCAATGGCCACACCAACGCTGAGACCGGCCCAGATCAAATAGGCGTACTTGCCCCACCAGGCCGTGTAGTGTCGCTTAAGATACCACTGGAAGACGAAGGCCAGGTACATCTGAAGCGTGGCGTAACTCAGGTTCTGGTTTCCTGCCCACTTCAGGGCACCGGAGAGAGCGATGGCCGGATTAAGGCAGGCCATGGTGCTGGCAGCAGGTTCCCAGAAGTATTTGTCGAAAAGGGCAAAGGATTCTGATTCGGTCCGGCTCTTGAAATGAAGGCGGACGCGGGGGAGGACCTTCTCGCCGACGATCCAGGCAACGCCTAGGATGGCGCCGAGAAGGAAGCACCAAGGCAGAATGGGGTACAGCTTGAACATGTTGTTGGTGCCAAAGGCACCGAAGAGAATAGTTGACGACCAGATGGAGTGAGCGTACTGGCAGACCATGTACTGGCGGTTGTTCCATGTGCAGAACGTGCTGTCTGTGTTAGCGTACCACATGAGAAGCTCAATGATACCACAGTAGATTAGACAATTGAAAATGACAGAAGAAACGTGACCACGGAACACGGCGCGAGGAGGGATGCCGGCGTAATGGGCCTTCTTCAAATCAGCACTGAAGCCACCGGCCATCTGCTCAAAGGCGGCACCAAGCATGAGAAGAATAAGCTGAGGCAACGGCTGACCAGGGAACCAAACGCCGGGCAACACTTGCCAGATGATATTGAGATCAATGCCAGTGCTGGAAATGGACTCAATGACGACCCAGGGGATTGTGAGCAGGGCACCGATGCCAGTAACGCCAAGAATTGACCACCATGGAGTCTGTGTCGGCCAAGCGGTCAAGCTGATAATAGACACGGCAAAACCGAATGCGAAGACGATGCCGTACCACCATTCAGGAACCTCTTTGTACCTGCGCATCATACGTGTCTGACCGTCCACAAAGCCGGTGTAAATGCTGCGTCGCTTATAGGCGTTGACAATGATACCGACAAAGGCCTTTTTGATGGCAGCCCAATACTTGGTGAACACATAGACAATTGAAAACGTGTAGTACACGAAATTGCAGCCGGTGACAAACAAATTGGCTATGGCGTAGTACGGAGGACCATACTCGAGGTACCTGTCCATGTCGATACGCTGGGTCCCGTCGCCGAGGACACGAGTAATATTGTACGCCTGACCTTGATTATCAAAGGCACCGTTTGAGTTGATGGGCATGTAGGCACCCCAGAAGGCGTTCTTGTAGTACATGATGAGGATAATGACACCACCAAACAGACGCATAACGTACTGCTGCAGTTGAGCAAAGAACGGCGAGTTCATGGTCTCCATACCGGACACATTAGGGTCGAAGCTAGAAATAGGGTTGAAACCCATACCGCCGTACGAGCCTGTGACAACAGCTAGGTTGAAGTTGTTGGGTGCAATCCACGTCATCCAGTTAAAGAGGCGAAGTGACACGAAGAACTGGTTAGGAATCCAGAAGTAGACAAGGAAGATGACCGAGCACACCAAGAACATCCTATAACGCGATATTTTCCAGCCATTAACAGTCTCGCGCTTGTTGTCCTGGTTAATCAGCGTGCGGTTGAGGGCAAGAACAGGCAAGACCTTGGGCCAGACTGCTTCGACAGGGTAAACACTGAGACGGCGGAGAATACCAGCCATGCCGAGACCATAGACCTGATTAGCGAGTGCGAGCATGATATTGAAGCCGAAGGTGGCCCAGCGCTGGTTGAAAAAGACAGGCATGCGGAGCACGAGGAGACCAGTGAAGTTACCGATGCTGGAGGCGCCAGTAAAGATGATGGTGGAGAATAGCTGCTCCTTTGCCGTCCATGGTCCTGGGTTGAGAGTGTACCGTGTGCCGCGGATAGTGACGCCCCAATCTGGGAGAGCCCAAGCTGCAAAGCGGCCCATTGGCACTAAGAGAAGCTGGACAACGGAGCCTGGAATGGAGATGCCGGGTTGGCGAGGTGCAAAGACTGTATATCATTGTTAATATTTCCCAGCCTCGTGAACTTCAGAGGTGTAAGAGATATTGAGATGACTCACAGGCATTGACAGCAGTGCAGACACAGACCCAGAAGTATCCAAGAGCATAGGCTCGGATACTCTCACATGATTCCTCGTGGTCATCATAAGGCAGTGTCACAGCGCGCACTTCAGTGTATGGCGACCAATTATGGCACAAACCAGCACGCTTGCACACCTCATATTCCCATTCTCCCTGCTCCATCTCACAGGCTTTGTGGCCCTGTAGCAGCTGACGAAAACGACCTAGCATCTGCTGGTCAATTGTATAGTCATTCTTTTGACTCTCAAGAAGCGTCTCTAGAGTATCGAGGGACTCATCCACGGTGAGGGTCAGGACCGACACCGCCATCCGGTCGGGATCGCAGCCAGCAGGCAGTGTCTCACCGTCATGCTGACCAGTGTAGTCCGCCTTGATACGCTCAAGCCATTCCAGAGGCGGGAACAGAGGGGTGGTGGAGTCAATTGGTTGCTTTTTCTCTTCAGAAACGCTTGTAATCTCAGGCTCGCTGGAAGGCAAGGCCTCGACGACATGATCGCTAGACATGATGCCACTTGCTGGAAACAAAGTGCTGCATAGAGGTGAATCTAGGTAGTATTGTTTTAACGTTAGAGTGATTAGGAGGTTGGGGACCACGGGGCTGGGGAGACCATTATACACTCCGCCGGACAGATACCGGGGGGCGACTATTTAGCTCAAAAGAAAAAGGTGTACTGAAGCTGCCAAGCAGGCTCATGGGATCAGTTTCGAGCGGGGTTATCGTGCTACGTAGTACAGTCCTATACTTCATCCAATTCATATCTCCACTTTCATCCCCTTGGTTGTGGTGGCGAGGATCGACCAAGAGGGGGTGATACGGGAGGCCCAATAGTCTGTCGAGCACAATTCTGAAGCCACCCAGAAGAATTGATCCTTGCGGTCAAGGATTGCGTAGAATGGGTGTTGGTTGACCTGGTGTAACAATGGCGTAGGCCAATAAGAGGCAATTTAATCAATGAAACGCACATCAAGTATTCAGGCCAACAACAGTTCGGACACTCACGTGGTAAATGCCGAAGAACCCTGTAACACACACCAGCTTTCCATTGAGAGCACAGAAGCTGCTCATTCACAAAAGCGAGCCAGACAACTCTCGGCGCTGCCATTTCCGGAATTAAACAAGGACAGATAAGGACATGCTCATGGGGATCATAATCTGGGGTCCTTTTCATGCCAAGCGTACTTTGCGAATGTACCCCGCAACAATATCAATACCCGTCCTGCCTGTTAAGGTTAAAGTCGATAAAGACAGTGCTAGAAAAGCGATAGATAGTCTTCAACCATATTGATCATCTGCCAAGAAAAATTCATCTGATGCAAGAGCATGCTGAATCTGTACATTATAATGTATACCTCATTTTCTCGCTTTCAATCGAGGGGATTGTTGATAGCGTTCCGGGCAAAAGCTTGACTACTCTACCAAAAAGATCCCTCCGAAGGGGCTAAGTCTTTATTGTGGGGGTATGAAATGATAGTTGATGACCTCCCCCTGGGCATAACCATTTAGAAAGGCCAGGATAAATCAATTGCTACTTCTAAATAAGGGAGCCGACCCAACTGCCCCAAATAGACTTATTTGAATGCTTTAGTATGAACCAACACAATTCAATCTAATAATCATTTGGACAAAGATGAAGGGTCTCAAATAAGACCAACATCGAATGCCTTGCTTAATATGGATGAACATATTAGCCGCTGTACTCCTTCTAAGAGACAACAATACTCTTATCATCCAAATGAAGATCTATCCATTGGGGAAGGAGTCAAATCTAACTCGCAACATAACAGATAAAGCATTGAAAAGCGAGAACAACGTCGTGTCAAGATTGATCCAATGGAACCCTAACACGATGCTCTAGGAATCTCGCAGTGTCCACTTCACCCAAGGGCCAGATCTTCTGTATGAAGTATTGGGTGGCGTCACTTTTGCAATCACACCTCATTGCTCATCCGGCCGTGGCTAGAATAGGTTGATAGAGTGAGAGTAGGTGAAGAAATTTGCAGCCAAGTGCTTGTCGAAAAGAAAATATTGACGTAAAATAAACAACCCCTGGATATTTTCGGAGATTTGATAGAATCACTTCGACGTGGACAACAGGGCCCTTAATTAAGCATCAAAGGTCTTCGATAAAGCTTAGGCAAGTGAGTGACGGCCGCGAGGTAATTGCAGCTGCGAAAGTTGCGGAGCGAACCTTCTCTTAACCTCTCGGGACGATTCTTGGTGCTTGTTTTAAAGTATATAACTACCTTACCTATATCAAATGGCTAAGTCAGATGTGGCCCAAAACAGCCTTTTCTATTGGCTGTTTGGGTTATTCTTGCTTTATTTCTTTCATAACACCGCATCAGAACACTTCGGAAGGCTGGGAGGCTGACACTATAGCGCGTTCGGGAGATTCAGGGTCGGCCGAGAAATGGTCACACAGCCGCCCCTGATCGGCCAACGAATCTGCCGGGTTAGGGCCTCGACAATCTATGTAACAGGAACATCGGGAGGCAGCGAGCGGTATTAATAACGCAAGTGGTGTCCTGACGAAGTGGGGATGCTGGAAAGGTTGGGAGCCACTGTTGTGCTGCAATGCTGCATGTTATGCATAAGGGCGGCGTTAAACGATGGTTCTGGCCGAATGGCGTGGCAGGCGGAATTGTCTTCGATAAAATATCAATTGGCCCAGAACGTTCGATTTTGTCAATTAAAAATGAGGCCACAATGAAGAAACGTCGAGCGCACAGCCAACCTCAGACGGCGTTATGCCAACGGATGAAGGTGCTCAGCCGGAGCTGGCCTTGAGGGAGATTCTGAAGCATAAACCACATAAGAAGGTGCCTATTGGATTGGCCACTCACCTGCAAGTATGGGTTGGCGCATTGATGCTGTCCCACAACCAGAGGCGCAAGGCCTGCGGAGGATCTGCAGTTCATTCGTTCGTTCATTCATCGAGCATTGACGAGGCGGATCCGCAATCAAGCATCCCCCGACCGTGAGGCGCGTAAGTAAGCCCCGACGCGACGGCCGATGAGCTGGCGATGCATCGGTTTGTCTGGACTATCATGCCCCCGACACACTCCGCGTTTGCATTTCCGTCGGGAGATTGTGAATGGTACGATTGTTTGCATCCGATGGGCCCGGCGGCTGCGCTGTCGAGATCAGATTCGTCTGTCTCCTTGGGGCATGAATGGCTGGAGATCAATTGGTTTGGAGAAGTTTGATTTCATGCAGGAGCATTGCAGTGCTCCATTGGGCGCGTGAGTTGGCATGCGGGAAAAGGAAGTCTTCATTCATCCTGATGTTGTATTCTCCGTACATCGAAGAGTGTACTCAAAAGAGATAAAAGGCCACTATGATCCTCGAATAACTCCCTTTTCCTCTCTCCTCATCGCCCTCTTCTCTCGAATACAACTCAACAGAACCAACAACCTTTCAACCCTTCTCAACCTTCAACATGTCCGCGTGAGTATTCCTCACCCATACTACCCTATCCAACATAGAAAGGAGCCAGTTTCTAATATAAATTCATAGCACCGCCGATAAGCAGTTCACTGTCCCTCTCCCCACCGCCACTGGTCTTTCGACCCCTGCTGGTAAGTTCTAAAACTTTCTTCCATCTCTCAGACCATTATAATATACTGACGGTTTTTGAACGACAGGCCAGCTCATCAAGGGTGCTACCCAGGATGATGGCAAGCTCCGTGATGCTGCCCTTCTCCTAGGTATCAAGCTCGACCTTGAGGCCGAGGTCCACCTGACTGCCCGTGTCAAGGGTGATGTCGTTGTTGGTCTGTACTAGATGTACTATTGGTGAGAGAGAGCGGTAGTAAGGCCTAGAGGCTCCCCATGGTGAGTGGCTAGATCAAGTCGTCAGCCACCTCCATTTATATCAGCCAGCGAGTCGGTTTAGCTTCGGGTCAACAAATAAAAACATCTTATTCTTTCAAGTCTCGGTACATTTTACTCGTGAACTTGGCTAAGTAATGTGTGACATATGAATGCATCTACCACACTTGAATCCCGGTAGCTCTAGAGCCATGGAGTGTTCTCCGGGCTTGACCCACCGGGTCAGATAGTGTTCAGGAATATCGAAGGCATAGAATATCGGTTCTATAATAGAACCATGCATTAATCGTACTTTAAAGGTGCATTGAACCACGAACCTCCCAATTTCACTAAATGCGTTCAGGTGACTGACACATGCATATGCATGTAAAAGCAACCATATTATCTATCCAATGCCTCAACAGAAATACACTGTCAGACCCAATCGACGACTCAATTGGTTCTGTCGAGCCCATTGCCCTCTAGCCTCACTCCTACATTGTACATCATAGGAAGCTCATCTTGTTTGGCAGGGAGAAAGTACAAACAAGCTCCAGTAAGTTCAAGATAAAGTGGTGTATAAATATCGAACCTTCTAGTTTGCAAATCAAAATTGATAAACAAATATGAATCATTTTCCTCTTCCCGGTCCAAGCACCCCAGCAACAGAGGATCAAATGAGGTCGTCACTAATACTAGCATCATATTGTAAACTAACGAACCTGAGTCATCAAGTAAGGCAACGTGCCAGAGTGGTTAATGGGTAGCACTCGAATCATCTTAGTGATGCTATGACTTCGGTCGCGCATGTTCGAATCATGCCGTTGTCGAAATGTTTTTTTTTTTTTGTTTATCGCTGCTGGATGACTAATCTTTTTTTGAACTTACAAATACCTACTCAATGCTTAAATATGCAAAAGATTCATACTTCCGTTCTCTTCTCCATTACATTTCTCAAAAAATGGTTTATTTAGAAACGGGATTGAATGCCCTACCCTTTAATAAAAAATCTCCATTCACTCACCCTTCTTCCCTGATCTCACTGATCAAAATGTGGCTGGGCGTAAATCGACGTGACTCTATAGGGTAGCCATTTGATTGTAACAGTGCTGAGGTTGGCTTAGGCGGGAGCTATAGGACGAAGACAACATTTTAGTTCGATCTATCTAAAGATGGAATGATCAAATTAAGAACAAATAAGATTCTAGTGAGGTGGCTTATTGTACTTTATAGAGCAATATCGATCTGAAGGAATCAAGGCGTAGGGGGCTAGGTGGATGGCTAGACATGTTCCATATAGAACAATGGCTCTAGAGGGCACTCACAAAGGAAATGTACAGCCCAGAATTGAAGCCCAAAGAGAGCTTCGAGCCTTTCCAAATTAATTACTCGATGAATGCTCAGTATAACCTCTAAAGAGCAATACTTAAATATTATTCAAGTCTTGGAGAGTCTTCGTAAGATTCATCGTTACCCGCGCGGCTAATGTTTCTTGCTAGCTGCCTTGATGGTCTCCTCTTTGGTTTTTTTCTTCTGAGCAGCAAGGTGGTGCTTCAAATTTCCCGTTGGCTTTTTAAGGTTCTTCAGTCGAGCCTAGGCGCAGGAATAGAACAGTTAGCTGCTGCATGGCTGAACTAATAGCCAACTTCGAAACATGGAGTTGATTTAAAGGTATTCGTTCTGAAAGGCTCCTTACCTCAGCCTCCGACTTTCGATCTCGGAGGTAAAGACTTCGAGGTCTGTGCTTGCTAGCAGCCTTTATTGTCTCTTCTTTCGACCTATGCTTCTGAGCAGCAAGCTGTGGTTTTATGTTGCCAGCCGGCTTTGACAGCTTCTTCAAGCGCTCCTTCATAAGTAGCCAAGTTAGAAATCACCTTACTTTATTTGTCATATTGGTGAAAGAGAGGATCTCAATAGCTAGGGAATTTCGAACAGATTAGCGTACCTCGGCAGCACTCGCTCGGTTGCGAGAGTATAGACCTCTCAGGAGGAGTTCTTCAACAGCTCCTCGATCAGCCCGCGAAAGAATGTTGGCGAGGTCGGCCCCACGGGCTGTAAGGTCCTGCACTTGACTATCACCATCGAGAAGGCTTCGAATTTCACGCGCAAAAATCTCAGCGCCGTTGTTGGAACGGGTGTTGCGTAAGGAATAGTGACTCTCTCCATGGAATACGGCGCGAGTTGGTGTGAGGCCAAGCGCTGTAGTAAGAAGGAATGCCTTGAGAGAGGCCATTCTGAGATGTAACTGAGCTGCGAGAAAATAAAAATTGCAAGCGAGAGAATTTAGAGAAAGGAGGAATAAATATCAACTTTGCAATTGAAATGTTTGTTAGTTGACATGGTATCGGAATCTCCAGGGAGTGAACCTCCTTTAATAAAGATGTCCCGTCAATCGACTTATTAATTATCTAAAATTAGGTTACAGCATTCCGGATTTTAATACCGAAGACACTCGGAACTTAGGTGTTAAGGAAATTGGAGGTGGAATGCAAAACAGCCAACTTATCCTAGACGAGTAGACGCGCGGGTCGGCAAACCATCATCTCACCACCCTGGCTCATCTGCCACGCCGAGACTTGCGAAGGACTCCAGGCCAAATGTTATCAGTTGATCTCTCCAGACATCTTTCATCCTCCACCATTGCTAGACGGCATTTATTTAAATCGAACTCCTGGTAGATCTCTGGTGCTTTCCTGTCTGAAATATTGAATTCTCTTAGTCTCACGCATCACTGGTCTTTATAATCATTAGACGAGAAGATATGGTAAGAAAAAAAAACAGAACCATGGTAGGTAATGTTGCCAAATATATCTCTATCATAACTTTGAACTTCCTCCTGATTTTTACTTAGCTCTGCCAACGATCGCGATCTCGTCATCCGACAAGCGGCCCTGTTCGACCTGCATGCCGTACGTTTTCTGCACGTAAATCTGCCCATCCTTCTGGTTGCTCTTGTGTATATCATCAAGCGGAATGGACTCAGCGACCATGACGGACCTCGACCTGTTAGGCACCAACCCGTCTGGTCCCCGGCTCACTGAACCGTCTCCACCATACTTGTGACTGAGTCCAGAACGCTGACTCGACTTCTTTCCAGTGTAGTTCCTGATATTCCGTGTAAGCAGCGCTTTGAGTGGCAGCAAGGATCCCACAATAACCGCCGTCATGGTCTCGATGGCACCCCAGATGGCCAGGCCAATCATGTCCACCGTCTGGCCAATTAGAATCTGGCTCATGCGGACGAGCGCAACCGCAATGATGATGAAGCCGATGCTGAATGCGATGCCCAGGCCAATTTTTTTCTTTCGGTTGAGTTGGAGGGATGGGAGAACGGCGATGGGGAGTGCCATGATCATTACGTCGGATGCGATGTCGACGGAAGTGGAATAGATAATGTTGAATCGAGACATCCACTTCTCGAAAGGTTCGTCACAGTTCCCTGAGAGTGACGTGTTATCAAATTGCAACTGGAAGAGAACGGAAATGAAGCAAAATTAGTCAAAAGACTACATGGAGATGCGTACCTGGTATAAAGTAGTCACCGGGGTTCGTGCAAGTCAAGGTACTTGCAAGCCAGCATCCAATGTATGCTATGGTCGTAAACGCGACTACTATGAACCAACATATCCGAATCCACTTGGTTGGCTTCACAAGAGGATAAAAGGCAGCCAAGAAACTGGCTTTGACCGACCACAGAACTGTCCAGAAGAGCTTGATGACTGGGAACTGAAACCGTAACATTTGCGACATCTGAGGAAAAACTTGAGGGTCGTTGGCGGCGATCCTTCCGGAGGTGAGGTAAGTAAAGAACCATAGCGAGCTTGTCTGTACGGTCTGCAAGATCGCCATTGTCGTCACGCAGAGCCAAGCCCATACCATCCAGTAGTCGTCGAACAATAGGCGGCCGTTCTGGCGCCAGCGCACAGTGAGGCGGAGGGTTACGAAGAGGGAAGCAACGGAATAGCATGTCCAGATGATGGCTAAGAGACCGGTGTGGTTGACGTGTGCGGCAATTCCCCTCAACGGCGCGTCAGGATAGGCCTGAGGGACCTCTGTTGACGGCCCCGAGGACGACATCTCGTTGATGGAGAGACAATGAATCAGGCAGAGACAAAGAATCCCGACGAGTAAATAGAGATCATGTGCCGTTGATCTTCATTACATGATGAAGAAAGAACGAGTGAAGGATGCCCCGGACGGCAGATGGGGGTGGAGGCAAGACGTAGATCAAATGGGATCACGACTGAAACAGGTATCGAGACTCTTCATGCTGTACTTTTATTAGATGCATCGAGTCCCCTAAAGGAAATACGTAAAATGGACACCACCGCTCTTCTCCAACCGGGGAACTACTAACCCTGATTCTGGGTGTGCAGTAGCACCCGGTGGGTGCATCGTAGACGCAAAAGCGAGGCCTCTCGGTCACTCTATCCCTATCAAGAAAGAAGAAAAAACAAACTGCTGCTATACAATACCCAAAATCCTTAACACTTGCCCCTGACTACCTCGTTTATGCCTATCAGGCTTTGTGTTGTATTACTGGACGGGTTATTTGATGTGAGTTACCCCCACCCTTGCCTGGCCTGGGCTTCATCCGACCCTCACCTGCGGCATCCGAATTCAGATAGGATGTAAGACATTGCCTGTGCTTTTGGCCACTGCAGGATCGCTCTAGCCAAGCCGGCGGTATTTGGCGCTCCTGAGTGGATTATTAGTGATCCTGGTACATTCGATGAGGGCCCGAACACTAGGTAGGGGCCTACGTTAACCAAGAGAGTTGGTTCATCTTTGCTTTTTGCCAGCCCAAACTGACACAGCCGCAATAATTGCTGAATAGCCGATACGAGAGTCCACCGTAGGCGTGAACGCTCCGAGTCTACTTGGGAATTTTCACGTGTGACGAGCTGGAAGGATGGCAAGGTGTGTGCGCCACAGGTGAGAAAACAAATTTCATCACACTTACCTGACTGTGCCTTTCCTGCTAAAGACGGTTAATTACTCAAGCTGTTGGTTGTTGCATGCATGCATGATCCTGCACACGAAACCGACACTAATGCATCGGGACATTAGCTTGGGAAAAGATCATCTCCGAATGTCACTAGGTTGTCGTCCTCTCTCACTCTACATGAGAGCTCACATATGGTGAGACAATTATTTCATGTAGGGTTGTGAGGGTGGCGGGGCGCGTTCTTTCGTTTCTTTTTCTCATGTGCGTCAATCTCCTTCGTGATTGCCTCTTAGCCTTGATGATCTCGCGAGATAATGACCCATCCCTGGTGCTCGTTCCGGATCTGCCTCACTAAAAAGCTCGCTTGATAATCATCACTTAGTGCCCGTCCACAAGTGGCGGACGGCTCGGCATTTTTGGCCATCCGGGCCATGATCCCTAATATGTTAGGTATTTACCTTGGCAGATTGAAAACATGGTTAGATACATACATGGGACCCTAGCCATTGTTAATCTGGAAACCTTGGACCAACCTGCATGAGCCAAGTGTGATGACCGCTCCCCAGAAAAAGCAAAGATGCCCAGCCCCATTCCGGCCCCTGGGTCCTTTCAGCCGGTACGTGATAGGAAAGGTGTGATAAACCGAATGTGCTCAGACGTTCTATTGTCTACTTGGGCTAAGAGGGGATTGGTTCGGGTCGTGAGGGGCTGAGGAGGTATTTTGCTCTCCCTTGCTTCTAGCTCTGCAGCTGAGTTTGCTCGTAGCCGGTCCTTCATCAGCCGAACGACTAATCCGGTGGAGGTCTAGCCGACCAGACATCATTACGCTCAGCCTTTTTGGACACCAAGGGAGGCCTCTACGGCTTGGTTCATGCAACTAGGGCCAACTTGTTTACAGCTGGAGCTTGGACATGGCAGCCAACAACAGTACCAATCAGTTATGAGCTTGTTAATGGGAGGGGCCGGCCGACCTTGGCTCCAATAATTGAGGGTGGGGTGCATCAATAGACCGAGGAGCAGTTCATCATTTCATACCACGAGCGACCAACATCATGACTGACTGTTCGCGAACAGTCAGCAGCAAGGGTCCAAGCGAGCAGGACGGACCCTGGCAGGTTTGTCCGTCTTGCTTGGTTCCTGTGACTGTGTCTCTGATGGGCGCGAGGGATCACGCATCTAATGGGCCGCAATTTCTCGACTGCTTCTTTGCTTTGTTGATCGTCGTCGCAGCACTTTGCCCAGTGTAGATCACAACGAATCGAAAACACTCTACACGATGTGGTCTAAATCACTGGCGCTTTTCTTCGCAAGCGTCCTAGCTTCTGGACTTGTGCAGCCAGCTAATGCTGGATCAAACACAGGATGTCGCTGTGTATGTTTCACCCTCCATCCCTCGACGCATGTCGCGTCCACTAACCGCCAATCTGCCCAATACAGGTCCCAGGAGACAAGTGCTGGCCGTCGACTGTTGGATGGAAGGCCATCAACCTGCTCTTGGGCAACACGTTGATCAAGACGGAGCCAATTGCCCAATCCTGCTACGATGGCCCTGCCAAAGACCTCGACCACTGCAGCTATGTCACCGACATGTGGACAGACCAAGACTTCCAAGGCAGCGATCCCATCGGACGCGCGTACCCTTACAATATCACTTGTCCCACGGTCGACTACGATGCGGGCGAGGTCCCCGAGAAGCAATGCATCCTCGGCCAGCTGCCCACATACGCCGTTCGCGCTACGAACCGATTGCATATCTACGGTGCTCTCCTTGTCGCGCGACTGTATAACATCCGCTTGACTGTATCGAGCACCGGACATGACCTGCTGGGTCGCGGCGACGGCTACGGCAGCCTCGCGCTCTGGCTGCGCCATTACAGAAACGATATCAAGTTCCAGGCACAGTTCCAGTCTGCCAGTCGCTGCGCAAAGTCTGACTGGACAGGCAGCGCCATCCACATTGACGGCGCATACCAGTGGCGCGACGTCTACAAGGTCGCGCAAGACAACAATGTCATCGTCGTCGGCGGCGGCTCACCCACGCCTGGTGCCATCGGAGGATGGCCATCAGGAGGTGGTCACGGTCCTGCGACGCGCAACTACGGCCTCGGCGCAGACCAGATCCTCGAGCTCGAGGTGCTCCTAGCTGACGGGCGCATCGTCATGGCTAACCACTGCCAGTATACGGATCTCTTCCGCGCCATTCGGGGCGGCGGTCCAGGATACGGCATCGTGCTGAGCAGCACTGTCAAGGCGTACCCGAATGTCGACACCGTCACCGCCCACCACCTTACCATTGTGCCCAAGAAACACAGCCACGAGAATAAGGATCTTCTTGATGCCGTGTCCACTCTCATGCAGCTGTATCCCGATCTCAGTGACGCGGGCTTCGCTGGCTATGCCTTTTGGTTTCGCAACTACCCTGGCAACTTCATTGGCGACAGCCCGTCGGGTTATCAGCATGGCTTTTGGACAATTGGGAAGGGCCAAGATGCCGCAGAGAAGGGCTATGCACCTGTGCGACAGGCACTAGACAAGTACAAGGATGCTTTGACTTTCAACGAGACCTGGGCAACCTACAGCGACTACTGGTCTTTCTACAAGGCAGAGTCTGGTCTCTACGACCCTGTCGGCCAGACTTCCATCCTCACATCTCGCTTGATTGACCGTGAGTCGGTCAAGGACTTTGAGGCTGTACGCGGCGCAGTTGAGGTTCTAGGCGGTGGACAGGAGGAGATCGTCTCCAACGTCGTGCTCCTCGTCTCTGGCGGCAAGGTATTTGAGGATGCCAAAGACACAACTTCGGGCCTTCATCCTGCGTGGCGCAAATCCTCATACGCTATCATCACTGGATCAGGCGTGCCGAAAACAGCCTCAAATGAGCTTCGCAAAGCGCAGAACGACAACATCACTTTCATCAAGGGTGCTGCGACAAAGAAGCTGGCACCCAACACTGGCGGATACATGAACGAAGGTGACAGGAATGATCCTGATTATATCAACACTTTTTACGGACCCAACTATGAAAGCCACCTGGCCGCCAAGAACAAGTATGATCCGGACAACATCTTTTTCTGTGCATCTTGTGTGGGCGCGGAGCAGATGGTAGAGAGAGTTGACGGGCCGTTGTGTTATGCCTAGAATTTTTAAAGGCAGACGCGCCATGTAATGTAGGGGGGGGGGAAGAGGAGGGTCTGGATAAACTTCTAGATACATATTCAATTCGGTTAGCAATAACCTGCGTCAATAGGCAGAATTTATTAATTTTTCGAGTTATTGCGATGGAGCTAAACCAGCTATTAAACACGGGCGTCTTCCTACTGTCCTAGTTCCTTTGACTGATCTAAATTTCCATCGCGAGATGAGGCTTGAATCATATTCACCTGGCCGAGCATGGAGCGATGGCATTTGACTTACTGATATATACCTCTCAGAACGTTGGAACCAAGGACAGGTTCATTTCGATGGACGTGGACAGACACTCATGATTCCCATGACATAAGCTGACGAGTTACAAGTACGACCATTGACGCTTAGCCAGCGTCGGGGATTGACATGACTCCTTAGCCCCGACGGCTACACATTTCTTGATTACCTCTTTTAACAGCCAGCTTAAATTTGCTTTTATTATGCTCTAGAGCCAGAAATCTATTTCCTTAGATAAGACTAAAGCAATCAAGAACAATAGATGGATCTCATAAGCAAAAGCCATAGGGGCAAGGAGAGCTGAGTTGGGAGGAGCGAAAGTCGAGCTATTCAAGTCGGCCACTAGTTTAGGCCAAATGCTTGAGCTACATTCTTTTCTGAGTGCACTATAAAAGCTGCATGAAGAGATAAATATGACAAATACCGCTTCGAAAATGGGACAACATGTGAGCATTTGACCACAGTAGCGCACCATCACTATCCCGACCAGCGGAGTATGGCATAAACCTTCTTTTGCATGAAGGCGGGAAAACCAGGACTGCAAACTCGCTCGCTCAAGACATCAGACAAAAGGAACTATCATATCAAGTTCCTACTAGAGTGACAATCACCTATCGTAGCATTGCGACAACGTTAGACTAGCCCTTCTCACCCATGATACTTGTAGCGAAGCCGACGTTTACTGTCCATGGCGGGCCGAGATGTTTCTGAAGTCATAGTCAATAACACCCTATGCCACACGAGAAGTTATCCACGAAGCAGAGATCACCGGGACTTGGTTTCACGGAACATGTTGGACGACTCCATGCTCTTGGAGAAGAAAAAGAAGACACTCTTAGGAAACACAGTATAGTCGAGATTTGATTTTAGAGAAAGAGTGGCGTAAAGATGAAAAGAACAAGATAGCCGAGATTTCGCCGGTCAACCAACGATGTTTTTCTAGGAGCTGCGTATCGTAGAGGACGTGGCTATTTGAGGCAAAGGGTGATCTGTGGGCGGCTTGTCACGTTTTGCCTCGAAATGATTGCGAAAGAGGTCAAGGACGACGCTTGGAGAGCGTGTTTGATTCTAAGATAGCAGCATCATTCCTAGATGGAGATTGAAAATAGCCAGCAAATCAGAGTTGACATTAACGAGCCCTGGTTTAGTGGGAAGTTGGTACCTTCGGGACCCAGGACTTGATCTCGTGGATAATGCACTCGTGTTGAATACCCTTTTAATTATCTCGACGATAGCAACATGCAAGCCATCCATGTTATTCAATGTTATTGCGCATTTGATACTTATTATTAGACACCAGTTTTAACAGACCTGTTCGTAGCGTAGGCTCCGACGAACTGAGTCGTTCATTTATCGTATCAATTGAGATGACTTCGACATGAGTAGAATTCCCCTGGAAGCTGAACCAAGTGGCAGCATCTTGATGCTAATTGTCTTTGAGAGAGTGCTACTATCAAACAAGTCTTCCCCGTTTTGGCAGACTAGGGTAAGACCGTCTCACTTGCAAAACTTGGGGAGAAGCTAAGGAGAGTCGGGAATTGCGTGAGGCCGTCTATGGGATTGGCTGAAGGTACACCGCCATTCGACTGAAACAAATTATAGCGCACCAAAATTCTTATCATTAAAGTAAGAAATCTGATTTTTATTGATGACATTGAACATAACAACTATAAAGCAGCAAGCTTCCTTTTTTATGGTATTTGGCTTAATACTGTGCTAACTGCTTCCATATCGTGGAAATTCAACAGCGACTCGGCACATATCACCCATTTAACCATTAATTAACCCCTTACATTGATTAGTTATTGGGTGTTTGCCTAAGGTCTCTACGAGGTAGGGCCTCCTAAGAGAGCATTGGCAGTGTCGCAAATTCGAGCCGCTATGATAGCACCTTGCAAATAAGCAAACCATCCATCCCGGTTCATCCCCTAGCGTGTTCCTACGTCAGACTCGCGCGCGGCGTTCGGATTAACTAACCAGCCCCTGTTGTTTCTGAAAACATTTTTGCCCAAAGAGGAAGAATAGCTAATAACTGCCCCCTCGCGAGAGGTAGCGACAGACGGACCCGCCGGAGAGTAAGCTCATCGCCAGGGGCAGATTTTTGCCAGCTCCTTATAACTGCCGACCCAGACCTCTGCCCGCTTGAGATTTGCCGAAGCTCTCGTCTGTAGTGTCGTGTCTCCTTTGGACGTCAAGCGGCCCAACATGTTTGCCCGGATCGTGCTAATTGGCGCGGTTCTGATCGCCTCCCTCGCGTACTTCCTGTCGAGCGGTGAGGCCGCTCCACGCGCGCCCTATATCCAGGGCAGGAACAAAACGGTTCTGTTCCTTGCCAATAAGGAGCACGGCCTCTCGAATGTGCACCTGTCGACAACATACGCTCTTCTAGAGGGCTTTCCGGACCTCGAGGTGCATTATGCCACTTTCCCTGGAGTTCGTAGCAAGGTGGACAAAATATCCAAGTTTGCCCGGGCTCAGACGCCGGCAGCTCGCGACGTGATCTATCATGATCTGAAGGGTGCCTCTCTGGCCGAGGCGTGCGAGATGGAGAAGGAGCTCAGATACCCAGGCATGGACTTCCAGGATACCATGATGGGTCCGCCTGGTGCAGCTGGAATTGCCAACCTAGCCAAGGATATCCAGTGGTGGATCTCACCGTGGAATGCCGAGGACCACATGACGGTGTATGAGGAGATATCCGATCTCATTGACGAGGTTGACCCGGCTGTCGTCGTGCTTGACACGCTCTTCAGGCCGGCCATTGACGCCACAAGAGACAAGAACCGTCTGCACGCGATTGTCACCCCAAACCTCCTGACGGACAACTTTCTCGGGGACCAGCCTCACGGGAGTATGTTTTGGAAATACCCAGCGTAAGTTTCGGTGGTATCAAGCAAGATACAAACAGGAGATTTAACACTCGTGCGTGGCAGATTGGGATCCGGCTTCAAGTTCCCCGTCCCGTGGCATAAGATACCCGAGAACATTTATTTGAACATTCGAATGATCAACGCCCTCTTGCTGACACCCGGACTTTCCGCCAAGAAGGCCGTCCTGCGAGACAGGGGCATCAAGGAGCCCATCAATCTCTTGGGTATGCACCGAAACGACGTGCCGTGGATTACGATGAATACCGAGGGCGCATCCGTCCCCGTCGACTACGTCCCTCCCAACGTGACCAGCGTAGGCCCCATGTTGATGGATTCTGCGCCTGCGGCTGAGCAGGACCCGGAGCTTGCACAATGGCTCAAGAAGGCTCCGACCATTATTTTCAATCCGGGCAGCCACTTCCTCGTAAGTGTAGACCCTGCTACCTGTGGCATCACAAGTAGTTGAGCGCAATAAGATATGGGGAGTATCTGACGTGGTCTTTTTAGGTCTCAGAACCGCGAGCCAAAGCCGTTGCGGCCGCCCTCGCCAAGGTCATGGCTGAAAGCAACGTCCAGATTGTATGGAAGCTGAAGAGGCAGGGCGAATATTCCGATGAGTTCCTGGAGCCTCTGCGGCCTTACCTCGCAGCAGACCGGATAAAGGTGTCGGAGTGGCTGTCGGCAGATATCTATTCCTTGCTTCAAACCGGCGATGTCATTGCATCCGTTCACCATGGAGGATCCAACTGCTACCATGAAGCGATCGCGTAAGCTGCTCTCTGTTCTCCGAGATCTTGGGGCTAGTTGCTAATCATCGCCCTTAGTTCTGGTGTTGCCCAGGTTGTCCTGCCAATGTGGATTGACTTGTACAACTTCGCTGCTCTTGCCGAGAACATCGGTGTTGGAGTTTGGGGCTGTAGGGAGACAAGTCCCGACTGGACGGCGGACTGTCTAAGCAGCTCTCTTCTCAGGGTCATTGCTGATAATGAGGAGGGCGCGAAGATGCGTGAGAAAGCGAAGCAACTTGGAGAGAAGGTTAGGTCAGGCGAGAAGGGCCGTGATCTCTCTGCGCGTGAAATTGCAAAGCTGGCATATGTGAAATAGACAGTTGATACACGAGGTTACGTTGCAGAAGGTGATTTGGCACAAGAAAACAAGACAAAGGCACACCGATACTAGAACTAGAAGATAATTTTGCATAGAATATTACTAGATATTGCTTAATTGTGGTACATCTTGACGATTTGTGCTGTGCTATGTATATTAAGATCGATAACTCCACGAACCTAAAATATCTTTGTTGAAATTAGGAGACACTATTCGGATCTAACTGAGGCTTCAACCGTGATAAACGTGAGTTCAACCCAACATAATAAGAATTGCAGAGATGATGGTCAACCCGGACATCAACAACGCAATTCGCCTAAACCAGAAGTCCGTCATGCTTGCCCAATGGTCGTATTAGACCACCAGTACATTCCCAGATATTATCTCATCTCCGCCACTCAATGCTCTGCATATCATCCACACCTTTAACCGGAGACATCGAAGTAATCAACTAATCGAGAATGTATGAAAAAGACAGCAGATTAGCGAGGTCACTTCCTGTCTACAGTTGAATGAAGCTTGTGCTGCCGGATGGGAAGTAGGAAAATCGAGCTCAAGAATGCCATGCCGAGCAAAATAAGCCACACAGCTCGGAATGCTTCCGGGAACGAAGCCAAGGTGCCTTCGTACCAGCCTTCTGGTAGCCGTTTCGAATTCATTGAGATCGTTGATGATCAGATCAATTTACCGTTTCGCATTTGGTTGATTTGCCAAATATCCCCGAGAGCCGCTATCTCAATGTGTTCTGATACGCAGCAGACACGATAGCTAACATCAGGGTGCTGCCGATGCTTTTAGCCATGCCTGAGGGCGTTATTATCATCAGATTCCATCGTCTAAGCAGATGCTTAGCTAGAATTCACTTACAGATCGCAGATGTCATGACTGCTTGCTGGGAGCGGTCCACGGCCGTGATGCACGCAACCTGAGTAGTCGTTACCGTTGCGTTGTAGCCCCCTACGACAAAGAACAGTGCAAGAATTGCTAGCCAGGTAGAGCTGTCAGAGCTTTGGAAGGTAAACAGACTGACCCCAGAGGTAAATGCCAGCATGCTGGTATATGCAAGCCCATAATACTTGCCTGTTCTGGCCATCAGGAGCCCGGCACCAAATGACGGTATCAAAACAGCAAGGGAAGAAGAAAGAAGAAAGAAGCTTCACGTCGGCAGTGGTAGCAGAGTCACCTAAGACTTGTAGGTACAATGGAATCTAGAACATAGATGTCATGAATATCATGACCGTAAGCAAGCTCGTGAGGCAGGACACGAGCACTCATCAAGCAGTAGCCTGACCGGGATAATTGGTTGCGGAGTTGTTATCTCCCAAAAGATAATTGCGATGAGAAGGACAACAACCAGTGATATCGTTGTCAGTGTCACTGGCTGTGTGTCCATGAGAGCACAGTCCCTTCAAAAAGGCATGAATATCCTCAGCCTTGACGACCGATGTTTCAATGTTGCCCCTTTTGACCAGCTAGGGCCGGGAAAGGCTGGATACATGTGATGGCGGAGCTATGATACTAAAGGTCATTTCTATTCTCAGCAGTTCTCGCGCGGATAGCCTGTGATGCTCGCCATCTACGGTTGTGCCTTGTTCAAGACATGGTGTTCAAGTAGGCCCTTATTTCGCGGCAGCTGGACAAGGCGTTCTCTGAGTAGACTGAAGGTATAGTATAAAGCTCAATCCTCGTCGCTCTACTAATGGTCGTGATGGATGAAGAGGGAAGGTGCTTACAATTCCATTGACAATCATGACCCTAATAATTAATTGATACCCAACTTTCCTAGAATAATCATCGTTATATTATCGTGGTTTTTCTGCTTGTCTTTCTTTTTGATATTCTATCCCTGGTCGTATTCATTGTGTTGAGTTGTCGGGCCCTGGCAGCTTCATTGTTGTTAAACCCTATTCTCCTTCTCTTCCGTATTCTATCCCTGGATTAAACGATCTTTTTCGCCTTGACGCTATCCTTATTATAGGGGAGTTGATGCATAGATCATTGTCACATTCGAAAATACCACCATTTACGGAATCAATGCAGTATCGATCCAACTACTAGACTTAACCGATCACGTAAAGCTCTATTTGGCCCGACCAATCACTTACCGCAAGTATTAACCATGACACGTAGCAAAGGAGTCGATCACGGTCGTCCGGAAGTTCCAACTGAGTGGTGGACCCTCGGTTGCGCATGGAGAAGTAATGGCTTAGGACCCATAGATAACTGGCATTGAAGTAGGGGGATCCTAGTCGCAATGATTCAGCGCTCGCTAGCTCCGTCAGATTGATGGATATAAGACGTGGGAGAGCAATGCCAGGCTCGAGACTCCTGGCGATCCCCGTTTTGAGGGATTATTGTGCACAATGCAATTTGGGAGTAATTCATCGGTCAGCCATACCTACGATAAGACTACAGGAAGAGCCTGATTTGAAGAAGACACGCTGGAGTCACAGTGTCATTGCAATCTTGAATGAAGAGGCGTGTGAAATGCGAGAGAATGCGTTTCAGTTACCCCTCAGTGGTATGCTAAGAGAGATTTAAAAGTGATAGACTCAATATCATTGCTAAGAAGTCAAGTGACCAATGCCAACGGATTTGATTTTGATTGCATTCATGGATTTGAATTTCTACGAGAGGATTCGTGGAGTGAGTGAGTGGGGATGAAGCGGAATGGTGCCATCGCTCAATCAGCCAGGGCTCAGGCCAATGGGCGCTTCATGATCTGAGATGACATCGATCTATTCATGTCTGCTCTGCAAATACAAAAGAGATATATTTCTTTTCTTTCTTCTTCGAAGATCTCAAGACGCTCACCGAATAGCGTTCATGTATAGGCATGAGGATAGCTACACGATTGTAGAAAGCTTGCATTGACAAGAGAAAATCATATCCTGTAACAAAAACGCGTGATCGGGCCTGAGGAAGTAAATTGCTTGTAGATATGGCTTTCTCACCACAAGGGTCCAGCCGATAACCCACTTCTAACACCACCAACCCCAGTTATCCCACCTGGCACATGGTCCCAATGGAATGTACCTGCGAGATGTCTGTGACATGCAATGCAAGTTAAAATTTGAGCTTCTTCCAATTTGTGTTTGAAGGCCACAAAACTATAACATGTATTGGTTGCATCAGGTTGCCTAGATGTGGGAGTATAACACAACACTGAGATGCTTCACCCCCTGCAATTAAGAACCAACTCCTCGCTTGAGCAAGATCCGACATTATTATGTCATATGATCTGATGAAACAGGGTGGCACCACCTGCTGCATAGCGTGACGACCGAAGAACTTAGTATAAATGGGTCTATAGCCAGCTCTCGCGTCACCGCTTCACATACCAACCATCATACCTAACTCATCATTAGCAAATACTGAATCTCAATTGAACGATGAGCGGCCTCATGAGAACCGGCATGTTCCGGGCAGTACGCCCAGCCGCACGCAGCGCGACATTCGTGGCACGTCCAGTAGTAGCAGCGTCCCTCGCCAGCCGTCGAAACTTCACATCAAGCCAGCGATGCCTGTGTTCAGGCTGCACGGGCTCATCGGGTCATAAATGCTCCCGCCATACCGCAAGAGCCGCCGCCAACCTCACAGCCAGTGTCAATGCCAAGAAGAGCATAGGCAAGGCAGCGCCATATGCCACATCAAGTGGCCCTGACATCCCGACCGAGCAATGGGCACAAGTGCTGGAGGAGACGGGTGGCCGTAAGTATCCATTGAAAGCTCAATTCCCCTCAATATGACAATAGCCAGCGCTGACCCTTATGAACAGGCGTGGTCTACAAGAAGATCCCTGTTCCGACACCCGCTTCAGACGAGGTGCTCATCAACATCAAATACAGCGGTGTTTGCCACACCGACTTGCACGCCGTGAATGGTGACTGGCCGCTGGCTTCCAAGATCCCTCTTGTGGGAGGGCATGAGGGCGCAGGTGTTGTGGTTGCGCGAGGCGAACTGGTCCAGGATGTTCAGATTGGTGATTACGCCGGCATCAAGTGGCTGCATGGCTCGTGCATGAGCTGTGAGCAGTGCCGCCAGTCCAACGAATCTCTCTGCTCTGAAGCCTCGCTGTCCGGCTATACCGTCGACGGATCATTCCAACAATACGCCGTGGCCAAGGCTGCCCACGTGGCACGAATCCCTAAGGACTGTGACCTCAAGGAGGTGGCGCCTATTCTCTGCGCCGGATTGACCGTCTATAAGGCGCTCAAATCGTCCAACGTCCGACCTGGACAGACCGTCGCTATCGCCGGAGCGGGCGGTGGCCTTGGAGTCTTCGCTATTCAATATGCCAAAGCTATGGGCCTACACGTCATTGCCATTGATGGGGGTGAAGAGAAGCGCAAGGTCTGCCTGGAGCTGGGCGCCGATACCTTTGTTGACTTCAAGACAACACAGAATTCCGTCGCTGACATCCGAGACGCGTCGGGCGGACTGGGCCCTGACGCGGTATTGCTTCTGGCGGCCAGCGAGAAGCCCTTCCAAGAAGCAAGCCAGTATGTTAAGAGCAAGGGCTCTATTGTGTGTGTCGGCCTACCAGCCGATGCATTTGTCAAGGCGCCCGTCTTTGATACCGTCGTTCGGTATGAGATTCCTATTGTAACCTATGTAAGCGACCATAATAACTAACAAGTTTACAGAGAAATCAGCATCAAGGGAAGCTACGTCGGTAATCGACAAGATACTGCGGAAGCCATTGAATTCTTCAGGCGAGGGCTCATCAAGGCACCAATTGAGTAAGTTTCGCACAATCGGGCTTCAAGACACAACTAACTGTTTATTTTAGGGTCGTTGGCTTGTCAGAACTCCAGAAGGTGTATGACTTGATGCAGAAAGGAGCAGTTACCGGTCGCTATGTTGTTGACACAAGCCGGTAACAGTTTATATTTTCCTAAAGAAATAGTTATCTGGCGCTTGGGTGGTCGTTGAATATGGGGACTTGCTCAAGACGTGTATCTGATTCTGGCTGAGCAATGATGATATCTTATCCGAAAATACATATTTCATATTCTTGGTGATCAAATGGGCATCTCTTACAACCAGCCTCAGTGAATTTTGTGGAAAGACGCTGGTCTTGATAAATATGCCCACCCACCCCTACTCGTTTTTCCTCAATGAAAAACTCATATTCTTAAGAGCAAGGATGTATATGTTAGCATTATCTGAGCTCACGACAAAACCAGCGATGCAGCATGACTCATGCTTCTTGTAGACCGGCTAGTCAGATGATGCAAATGCAACAACGATGTTTCGGGCCAGTTCTGGTGCTCTACCTATGAACGGCGAACAGCGGTAAAATGGTTCTAAACGGGAGCTTTAAAATAGCTTAATGTATGTCCTTTGTCAGGCATGCTTTATAAGTAATCTCGAAGCATTGAGCAATGTAGTTCGCAAATACCAGGCCAGATGAAGGCTTGGATTCGATTAATACTGGAAAGTATAGGCCGAAGAGATCTCTGCGAGCTAAGTCGGGGCAAACCTTCCGATCGGCTTCTTACTGTTGGGAAGGGAAACATGTCATGTCACATCGACTTCCTACAATAATACCCAGTAAGCTGCATATGTTCTTTGAGTACCAATTCAGGTCAGGTGGCCACCCTCACGCTTGCTGAACAAGGTGCATCTTTGTAGAGTCAGCCACTCGCGGGCACCATCCGGATTCTAGATGCATAAATGCACCGATGGCTATGCTTGGGCCTGCATTATATTGAAGCAGTCACAAGTCTTATTGCTTTTCCAGGTCGTTTTTGTCCACATTTGTACAAGATTAACACGTCCTGAGACAAAACGCGGTCCAAAAGCGCCCAGCTGAGCCACCAGGCTCAATTCCGCCTCGTATTCATGCATACTAAAAACGCCAAGGAGCATTTTCACCGCGAAACTAGCGACGGTCGGCTGATGGGCTCTCTGGGGCTGAATGCAGCTTTCAGCTTGCCCCTCGGCATCATGCAGGCGGTCTTAGGTGCATGAAGCTCCGTAAGAGTTGCAACTACGGTGAACGGTCCCTCAGTTAATGGTATCATTTGATTTCATTTCTGAATACTGTTGCTACTTTTCGTCACCATCATCAGTGACCCAATGATGTACGATCTAGCTACAGCTCATGACTTTTATTTGCTCATTCGCCGTCCAATTTCAAACATGCTACCTCTTTGCACAAACTCCAACAGGACGTCCCCAAAACTGGCAAGAATAGCCAATACAACAATAGACTGGCTGAGTGCCAGGAGGGATCGCACCCCCGCAGATGCCTAAAGATATTTCTGTTAGTACCGCAGGTCCCTATGAGGCTGTTAACAGCAGCAACGAAGAAGTACGCATACCGGCTTTCGAGCACTCTCTCTTCTCGAGGGGAGAGGCTTCTTCGGCAGCAGCAGAAATGTCAACGACAGGGGAGGCTGCCACGGAAGCAACGAGCCATGCAAGGGTAAAGGAAGTAATGGGAACTCTCATGTTGGATAATCTTGGTGAGATGGTGGCTATCAAGTAAGATATCTAGGTATGAAGTTAGAGGAAACAAAACATGCCAACGCTTTGGGAAGGGACATGGTATATATAGGTATCTAGTCTGAGTAGAAGACGGAAAAGATTATATCCCGTCTTACCGACAGCCGATACAGCGGACCGCGGAGTCTCGAACGTTCGCATGGTGTGGAACGAAGCCAATGCACAGCTGATAGTCTTGGTAGACCCTGTCTGCGCTTGAGAGTTCAAAACATATCCGGACTTTCGTCAATATCACCGATGCAAATCATAGGTAATGGTAAAGGAATATAAGACCATTTGAAGTGTTCAACAAAGTCTACATAGATTAGTATATCTTAGATCCAGGGGCAAATCATATCCTTTGGTAGATCTAGCCTCCCAAGCAATGGCGGAAATTGTACTAGCCACACCCTTAATGTTGTAAGCAAGTATGTACCCCTCATAAGTTATTCCAATTATGCAAGTCAGCGAGACTGTTCGAGCCCAATCCTACGCTGACAATTTGTGAGCTTCAGCTGGGCTCCAGCTGCCCTCGATCCCACCCTTTTGCTCTGTGCATCTCTTCGCCCAATTTCCCTTTTCCTTCTCCATATCAATTCCATCAATACGTCATCTTGTCTCTAATATTAACGGTCCACAGCCCTGCCGGCCACTGTCGGTAACGAACGGAGGTCATCCCTCGCTGGCGTAATATTCTAACTCTCATCTTCGTGGCTGAGCATTAGGCAGGGACCTCCGCATCGCTGCCTCAGACGTCCCAAACCTTCTCCCTTTGACACTCTTTGGAACTCCTTCGAGGGTCGCAGACATACGACCCCGGAGGAATGTAGTTGAACCGCAACTCACCGTGGTCGCCGAAGAACATATCATTTCCCGACCCCCGTCTACAGGGTCCAAACCTGATCATCAGAATGGATGCTCTCATTGTCATCACGTCCATAATCGCCGACATTCAAGCCATCTCTTCGATATATGAGTCGATCCAACAACACAGAAGCCTTCCAGTTGAGTTCTACGAAGTGAGCAGGAATCTCGCTCTCGCGCAAGACACTCTGCGTCTAGCCCGTCAGCAGCTCCAAGGTCTGTCCTTGGATGAATCATCTGCAAAGGCCCTCCAGCCTACGGTCAGCGACTGCAAAGAGAAGTCCAAAGCACTACTATCAATGTTTGAGGGATTTGAAAAAGAGTTGGCCTACTATCACACCTTTCTACTCCACTTAAGCGAAGCAGATTCCCTCATAGGAGATTTTTTAAGAGACTTGGATGCATTATCTAAGCTTTTCAGCTATGAATTTACATCAAAGGATGGCCAAAAAGCTCGGGTTGATATCCTCCGGACCCTCTATACCTCACCGTATCTAGACGGAAAGGACAGGAATCTAGGTTGGCTCCCAGGGATGTGTGAGTGGTTCGTAGGTCACCATGACTTTCAGCGGTGGCGAGAAAGTAAGTCGTCAAGCATGATCTGGGTGTCCGCAAGTCCCGGGTCCGGAAAGTCCGTCCTGGCAAAACAGCTGGTGGACTCTGAGCTCAGAACTACGGAATCTAGGACGACCTGCTACTTCTTCTTCAGGTACGGGTTTGAGGATCAGAGGAGTGCGAAAAGCGCTCTCAGCTGCATCCTACACCAGCTCTTCACACAAAGGCAGGACCTTTTCTCTGACGAGATTGTCAAGCGGCTCGAAGTCTATAGGTCAGATTTCACCAGTTCGTTCTATGAACTCTGGGAGATCCTGGTTATGGCTTCGCAGGACAAGAATGCCGGTGAGCTAGTCTGTATTCTTGACGCATTTGATGAATGCGAAGACCAAGAGCGGCTCGAAATTGCCCAAGCCCTGTGCAACTTCTATGACATGGAAAACGAGACAAAGGGAAACGCCAGCCTAAAATTTCTCGTAACAAGTCGGTCCTCTGACAAAGATGGGCGGGGTTTCCAGTCTCTAAATATCCCGGAGCTGACTGTCATCGACCTGAATTGCGAAAGCGACCTCAGCGTCCATAACCAGTTTACCATTTACCAGATCACTTCCTCAATTCCACAAACAGTTGATGCCGCGTACGAGATGATTCTATCGAAGAGTAAAAACCACGAAGAGGCCAAGAAACTCCTACATATTATCGTCGCGGCGGCACGACCCTTGACTCTGGCAGAAATGAACCTCGCGTTGGCTCTTCGAAAAAATCATAGGTCCTACGAAGATCTAGAAGTCATGCCAGAGACGCACTTTCGCCAGTATGTCAGAGACCTCTGTGACCTCTTCGTAACCGTCAGAGACTCGAAGATCTATCTCGTTCACCAGACCGCAAAAGAATTCTTGGTCCACAGGGACGACCCGAATCTTCCAAGGGACCACGACAATCGGCTCATGTGGACATCCTCACTCCTGCCACAAGAGTCCCATCGTATTCTTTGCCATATTTGTATGTGGCACCTTCTCTTAGATGAGTTTGAAATCCACCGCCTGGATGAAAATCTAGAAGAAGATCCGAACGGAGAACTATCTCACTACCTTCGTGATCATGTCTTCCTTGACTACTCTGCTACAAACTGGGCTGTCCACTTCCGAGCGTCAGATATCGAAGAGGATGCAGTGATAGAAACACTGTGGCGACTCTGTGATGCAAACTCAAGACGTTGTCAGACTTGGTTCAGGATCTACTGGGCGAGTACGCAAATGGAATTTCCTCGGAACTTCACGAGCCTCATGATTGCCTCATATTTCGGTCTTGAGAAACTTGCAAAACTTCTGCTTAGAATGGATAATGTTGAGGTAAATGCTAGAGATGGCACCTATCGGCGTTCGGCGCTCTCTTGGGCTTCAGAAAACGGATTTGATGGTACTGTGAAGCTGTTGATCATGGATCCTAAGATTCACTTGAAAAACATCACTACACAATCGTCTCCGAAAAGGGCGGAAGTCGACACAAAAGATCTATACGGTCGAACCCCGCTATCATACGCCGCTTGGAATGGCCACATGGCCGTCGTAGAGCGGTTAACCAAGGCAGGAGCCCGTGTTGACTTAAAGGATGAAATTGGGGGGACACCATTTTCCTATGCCCTTTGCTGCGGACAAGAGGCTGTAGCCAACCGACTGATGAAGGGAGCCCCAGTCGATTCAGCGGATAAAATTCGCCAGGAACTACTCTTATCCGCTGCTGAGAATGGTCACAAACCCATTGTCGAACGACTACTCGAAGTCGGTGCTGCCATAGAGGCGGTAGACAGTACTGGTCGGACGCCGCTCTCAAAGGCTGCTGGGGGCGGGCACGTGGCTATCGTTAAGCTTCTAATCGACAGGGGCGCCATCATCGAGGCGATGGATAGCACTGGCCGGACATCACTGTCGTATGCCGCTGAGGGTAGTCACGTAGCCGTTGCGCGGCTGTTGCTAGACAATGGCGCAATCGTCAAAGCGATAGATAGCATTGATGCCGTGGAGAATGCGCACGAGGCTATCGTCCAACTATTGGTTGCGACTAGCAAACTTGATCGCCACGGCCAGAGGGCTCTCATTAACCCTGGCAGCTCAGATTCAGGCGGTGCAACTGAGATGTCCTCAAAACCCGACTCTGGATATGCAAGTCTTGAAAGCAGAGTACACTCAACCAAGCATGATAATGATAATGCTTCGATATACTCGGTCGGCTCAGTTATTCCTCAAAGTTTGCAAGACACTTACGTCAATAAATTTTCTCAACAACTCTCAGATGAGCTCCAAAAACTTTCAATAGTCGAAGAGTTACCTGATGGATTTTATGGGGTTCTTCTTCCCGAATTACTGAAAAGCTTCTCTCGAAGGCTTCACGGAGAATCTACTAAAAGATCCCAGCGAGAAGCTTCAGTTTTCTTTCATCGTCACAGAAGGTACGTAGCATCGACTTTTGTGGGTTCTTCACTAATGTTTCGTATAGAGATATCGTCAAATCTGTTGCTCAAACATTTCCCAGACAAGCTCGCAGTGAAAGCAGTGGCAACGACATACTAGGGAGGGAAACAGGAACAAGCGGATCAGCATCAACAGATGATGCTGACGATGAGAAAGTTCTACCGCCTCGGAAGCCGTTCAAGAAGGATCCCAACGACGTTGAGCACTGGGTGTCCTCACTCCAGAGTCATATTTCATCAGAGCCATCAGGCGGGCTTGGCAACATTAAGAGCCAAACTCAGTTTATTGAGGCATCACGCGCATATCAGTGGCTTTTATCATCATTGCAGAAGCACTTGCAATTGGACATGCCGGATCCAAACTTGATGTATGAAATCGGTGAATCTGTCCGGAGCAAGCTCTTGGAAGTGGAGACGATAAGAAAGTTGAGCCGGAGGCAGGCTCAACCCTCAGTCAAGATGAGATTTGACTTGGAATGGGACCTAAGGAAGTTTGTTATTGACCAGGAGTACGTCAATTCCGGCCCAACCATTCTAGACCACATTCTTTGTGTTACCGGCACCCGACAACGTGCCCAAGCAACAACCGTCCAGCAGTATTTTGAGCAGACTTGGCCTGGCTTATATCATCCTCTCGTCTCTCTTTTGAATAAGTTTATATCATCTACCCAGTACGCTTCATGCGATCGTAAGTTCAGTTAACACATTGACTACATTCAAATCGCTGCTTACTGAATACTTCTTAGTCGAACTGCCAAACGGAGAATCGTTGACCATAACACAAGACCAATCACACTGCTTCGTCGTTGTGAGAGGATCTTTCGAGTTTGTCGCCGAGATTGGCGAGCAACTTGGATGGCTAGGTTCTGCTTTACGTCCATCAGAGCTCCCTGAGGGTGTAGTCGCTTGCTTACCCCGGATCTTGTCAGTTAATGTCCATGGCCACAGCGTCCACAACGGCGACATCACAATATATTCAACCTGTCGGATTTCTTTCTTGATAAGTAGAATGGACGACTTGAACCCTTTATTGTCAGGATTCTGTTGGGCGAATATGTTCCGAAATCCTGTGATCGTCGGAGGCTATCCGATTCACCATCGCGACCAGGGAGACACTGGCCTTGAAACTCCGCTGGAAGTCATGGCGGAACTGGTGCAATCTAACCAAGTGTTCAATATAGGTGGAAACATCATGCTGAAAGGGTTTTGATCACTTCTAATTGTGACAGCTATTGAGGCAGACACAATCATTTGGCATTTCTTGTTCAACGCGGATGGCGAACGAATCTCGTATTGCGACACACGGCTGGAGGGACTCGAAGGAATGCAGATTGTCACGCCCAAGGGCTTGGAACTTAAAGATCTCGAAGCCCGTCGGCACGTCGTTGGATGGTGCTCACACGTCCGAGAGTTCACAGGTAAGCATGTTGAAAAAACCTTATCTTTTGTTCAGCATCCTAATTCGCTTCTTGTATAGGACACCCTCAAGCGGGGTTTGGCATACAACGCTCTATTCTACCCTTTTTTGCAACCTCTTTCGTGATCGACAAGTTGAATGTTCAAAGTGGTTTTGGCATGCACGGCGGCATTTCTTTGTCACTTGGCAGACGCGATAAACCTCTTCGCCTGGCCAGAGCAAAGGGCCTTTCAAAAATGCTAGCCTGGGTCTATGCTCAGTCCTTTGTCTTACTGGACGTTGACGATCGAAGAGCGTGGTTGGTTGATGGGGCATCCGGTCTGTTGCACTTAGTTCGAGCCTCTATTGAGCAAGACAGGAACCACCCAGCATATAAGTCCAAGTGGAAGTTTTCAGGAGCGCTCAAGCTTGAAGGAGATGATTGTCTGGGGTTGGCCGGGGATCTTGGGGTGACCGCTGTTGAAATATTGGGAAATCCCAACAACCTGAACATTGAGCTGTACATTGATGATGTGGAGCCTAATGCGACTGGAGAATTGGTTGAAGTCCCCTACCGCCTACGAAACAGGGTTCAAGAGGTTATACCTCAGCTCGAAGCACTAGTAGACAAGCAAGCCGAAGTTGCTGCCCAAGACGGTTACTGGTATCATCCAACCAGCAAACCGTTTGAGAAAAGTCTCGCAGGGTGGGATTTCTGGGATATCGCAGGTCCGTTCGGTCCGGTTCAGCGGAGAATTTACCATTTGCAAGCAAGTGGCCGTGGGTGGGTTGATTACATCCGGTCTATCAAAGCCGTCACCATCTTCGGGAGAGGGTTTGGAGAGTTGCTCGAGCCCGAAGAGCAGAATCTTTGCCCAAACTGGGTGACTGTTCCCAAAAACAATGATTACTTGGGCTGTTCAATTGCAACATTGAAAAATATCCATACATCGACTAATGTCCGGCCCCTGGATCCGGGGTTGATCACTGCGGACATAACGTGGTCATCACAGGCTACGCTCTTCTCACCGTGTGCTTGTTTGGATCCGGATGGAGAAACACCCTCGCACCACCATGATCCAGTCCAGCTACTTTTACCAAAGGGACGAAATCCTCACCTTGATATTCCTAGCACTTGCTTGGGTATTACTATAGGAAGCATTGAGTGCAATGGGGCGGTTGTGTTCGGGCATACGCCGTACAGGTGGCAGTGGTCAAAGAGCCATCAGGCGGATGGCCAAATCGATAGCGAGTCTACTGAACCGCCTCCATCTGCTTCAAACAGCAGCCAGCCCAGAGTTGGTCGCTCGGATGACTCAGGACTATTGGAGATGTCTTCGTCATCTTCACGTGCACAGACTACCTCGGCTAGTCGTCCAGTGAGGTTGAATGACCCCGCAAAGGCCAAGGTGAAGGAGAAATGGTCTTGGTTTAAAAGGTTCAGTCACTAGTTGTCCTAAGCTACCAATGTTATAGGCTGAGCCCAAAACATGAAATTTTATTTCTAAGGCATGGCGGCATGGCTTCCTGGCGAGGAATGACTAACGCTGATATTGAGGGCGTCTTGCGCGTTGCGTCTGAGATCCATCCCGACCTCCCAGAGAGCGCCAGTGTCTTTGCTGAGCGCCTTTCAATATTTCCCGATGGCTGCCTCGTCCTAGCCCTAGGAGACGACATCTGTGGCTACGCCGTTTCGCACCCTATCCGTACAGGCCATCCGCCGGCTCTGGATCATCAGATTGGGGAGATCGCACCCGACGCAGACCAGTACTACATTCACGACCTGGCCATTCTGCCTCGCGTTCGGACCCGCGGCCTTGGCGCACAGTGCATTGAGAAACTCCTCCTCGTGGCTGACGGGTATCAAACAACTTGTCTCATCTCGGTGTACAACTCGGCATCTTTCTGGGGCCGGTTTGGGTTCATTCCTGAGCCGACTGACACAGTTCTGGCGGCCAAAATACGAGGATACGGGCAATATGCTGTATATCTGGTTAGACGGAACATTTAGTCAAGGCCTACAACTATGTATTGAGCCTTACTTTGATAGATGACGGAAAGAAACGATGTCTCCAACACCCGAGGAAGTAGTCATCTAATGCTAATCGGTGTACTATAGTACATCATGTGAGTTGTTCTTTACAACAAAGGCAACAGCAAAATTTGGACAGCCCACTTGAACTGGCGCGGTCTCTCAGATTTGTTACAGTAGCTACAATAATGACAGAATCAAGACATGCTATGAATATGAATTGAAGAAGAAGGAATATAGGTTATAGCTTCTGGATCTGAGAAGATGCAAAGGGGACGTCATACCACTAGCTATCCAAATATAGGTTTTTGGGGAAATTTCCCCATCCAGGATCTTCGGACAGAACAACTCGGGAGAAGATATCAGGTGACATCTGTAGTGGCTGCAGATATAAAGTGCCGTCCCCGCAAACTATCTCGTGTCAAAAAAGCGCGCTCCGGAATATAAATTAATTCCATCATGGCCCACGTCTCTTGTTTCTGTGGCGGCGTCACCCAGAATGTCAGACCAAAGAATCCAACAGCTTCCGACAATATAGTATTGTCTCTATGCCATTGCAACACTTGCCGACACACCACAGGGCTGCTTTGCACCTCGTATCTCCCCATTCAAGAGCCAGAAATATCGGCTAATCTACGAGTTTTCCGCACATCGGGCAAGTCGGCGAGATATTTCTGCCGTATATGCGGATGCCATGTTTTCCGCAACGAGGAAAATAGCAAAGGCGAGGCAGAATGGGGAGTGGCCACCGGTGTGGTCTCAAGGACTGATAATGATGTGATTGGGGAGGTGAAGTTTAAAGGCCACAAGCACGTGTCCGATACCAAGGATAATGGAATTGCAAAATGGATCCCATTCGGGAGCAAAGAACGGGTTTCAGAAGAAGCAGACAGATCGGAGATTGACTCAGCACAATCAGAGTCTCTCGAAGCTGCTTGCGCGTGTGGCACTGTCAAGTTCCATCTCACACGCCCGGATGCCGCCAGCCTAGTTCCAAGACGCAATTATCCCGACCTCACACACGCATATTGTGAGACTTCTACATCCATCTTATCGAATGTCTCCGATGAGAAATGGTGGGTTCGAGGAAGGAAATACCTCGCAGGGACCTGCACATGCCAATCCTGCCGTTTGGCCTCAGGTTTTGAGATTCAGACCTGGGCATTTGTTCCGCGAGCCAATATATTTATCCAGATACCAGATGGAGAGAAAGAAGTGGCAAATATCCCACTCGATTTTGATTCTCTCCCTTCCGGCATACTGCAGAGTTATAGGTCGTCACCAGCAGTGACTCGAGAGTTTTGCGGGACATGTGGTGCCACAGTATTCTGGCATGAAACTGAAGATACTGAGGTCATTGATGTGAGTGTGGGGCTACTAAGAGGTAGCGATGGAGCATGCGCAGGAAGCTGGCTAGAATGGTGGAAAGATCGAGTCAGTTTCGTTGAGGAAGTTCAGTCTGGCCGTAATGGACCGTTCGCAACTGCGGCGAGGAACCTCATTGACACATTGTCCATTGGAATGAAGGGATAACTGTAGAATAAATCTTCTATTCCAATATTACAGTTTCCTCGATGTTGTTTCCGAGATTAGCAAGGCTTTGCCGCTCCCCTTGCCCTATGCTTGAAGGTAGGTTAACATGGATGAGAGTTCGAGAATGAAGTTAAAAACAGAAATGAAAGATTCCACGCCCGACATATTAACACAATGAATACAAAAGGCAATTATAGGCTTCACTAGCCCAATGCTTTGGTCATGCGGCAAAAAAACTCTGTAAACCTTCAGAAGATACTTAGGTTATTATGCAATTTCTCACCCTTGGCCCAGTACATGATGGTTCCTTGCTCCATTGATTTTTCGGTTACTAGATACGATACTATGTTCTTTTTTTTGGAATTCGGAGATGCACTTTAAGGAAATCCATTTGTCTCTTGCATAGAATAATTAGCAACTATCTTTATGAGCCCAAGAGGGCAATAGTAGCCAGCATCTAGGATCAACATCCATCTCTATCATCTCAAGAATTTATAGCTTGCGAGCTTAACCTTCCAGCCATATTCCATCTTATCAATCAAATGTTTCCTGCTGTTTCTTCCACCTATTAGCATGTAGCCAGCGCCGAGCCTGCGCCTCCAGAAACCCATTCCTCAAGTTCTTTGTAGGCCTCATCAAGATTTGTATTCACGATGATGATATCGTGAAACCCCGGGACTTTGGCACGCTCCATCTCAACTTTGGCCAGTTCCAACCTCCGCTCGATGCTCTTCGCCGATTCCGTGCCGCGTCTGTGCAGCCTCTCCTCGAGAACTTGAAGACTCGGTGGAGAAATAAAGGCAAATCTCATGTCCAGAGCTTTGTTCATCTTGATTTGCGTGATCCCGCTCATCTCGATCTCCAGGACAGGTATTTTGCCCTTGGCCTGCTGGTCCTTGATCGTTTGTCGGCTAGTTCCGTAGTAATTGCCGGAGAAAAAGGTATATTCCACAAAGGCATTAGATTTAATGAGGGACTCGAACTCTCGTATGCTGACGAAATGATAATCTTCGTGGTTCACTTCACCAGGTCTCGGCTGGCGTGTTGTGTGCGAGACGGTGGTGGCCAGGGTGTCGGCATAGCGCTCCAGGAGCCTTCCGATTAGTGTTCCTTTTCCAACACCTGATGGGCCAGATATAACGATCGGTCGACGGTCTTGATATGATTTTAGAGTTAGGTCCAGATCTGTAGGGTGAGTGTCAAGTTCAGACGAACCGAGGGCCATTGCGCTCCTTCTTGAGTCGACGTGTCACGAGTGACTTGTAGGATATAGTGGTTTGGGGTCACAAAAAGCGATTGACTTGAAGAGTTGCTTCAAACATGCGGGGTCGGGGGTGGTCATGATTTATACAAAAACCAAGGGATGTCGCATGACTCACTGTCACACCATGGACGACGTAAAGTCCAGTCAAGCCAACATAAAGTAGCCAACCATAATATTTAAACATTGGTGGCTGAAACTCTAGATATCACCAGGCACGCGGCAAAATTTACAAGACTAGTCACCGACTTGGGTACATTCAATGCTCAATCCTACTGCTGATAGGTCTACTTGATTGTTCCTCCCGTCACTATCAAGTAAGAATATGAATGCTTCTCACATCCACTCATCCAACCCAGATTTCTTCTCGTCGCAAATCAATACTTCGCGACTAAAGCCTCATAAGACTGAGTTTGTGCCCAGTAGGTACTAATTCAGGCACATCACGGACGTTTGTGTGACTTGACTCAAACCACTCACGGGCCGGGCTCGCCTATAAATTTCAGACAGAAGCAGCCATGAGATCGAAATTTTGCAATCTAAGATTTTTTTCCAGCTACCATCAATCCCATTCTGCAAATTCTCACGCCATTAATTACAGACAAAAAATTCACCATGTGCGATCGACTCTACGAAGTCTGCACCCGATGCAGCAGGGCCCTCGGCCCAACCACTGCCCGACCGTGTGGTCAACCCCAGATCTGTGGTGGGCCACGGCCTTGCCCATACACAAACAATCGCTTCTGTTTTGGATGCTTGGAGCAAGTACAAAATCGGTAGTGTTAAAGGCCCCTCGAGCCGCCGATCCTAGGCCCAATGGCTCGGAGGAGGGCGAAGTATCTGGGAGCCCAGACAACCGTTCCGTTGAAACCACCTTCGGTTCTAATTACCTGCACCAGTTCTCAGATTATGAGAGCCTCCAAGATCTAGTTCTATTAGGCTAGAAAACATATAAAAAATCTCACGAGATATAAGTGCCGATACATTGATGGAAAGTGCAGTGAACTTTTGTATTGTATCCCCAGAATTATAGGCCGTCACCATTGAATTCTGGCTGTTCCAGGTTCAAGGAATCCAGATCAATGCCCCCAACAGCCCATTCAGGATAGACCCATCCAAACATCGATCTGAGGTCGCCCGATTCAGCCGTTTGGAAATCCGAGGCTGCCTCGAAATTCATCGGCGTCGGGTAGTTCAAGTACTCGGAGGGCGCGGGTGTACCGATCTGCGGATCGGAGATATACTCCATGCTAGGAATTGAGGTTGTTTCCGAAGCACCCTAACAAGATCAATAATCAGTTGAGATTTTCTCTCCAATTATTTCTAAGAAGATGATCGCTTTCTTTACCATTTGGAAAGCCCCGTCTGGTGCAATAAACGCTTGTTGCTGCGGTAGCTGGTTCATACCTTGCGTCACCGTTGACTCCGGAATCGTCACCGGCAGGCTGGGAGGATCCATCGGCATCTGTGACGATTGAAGCTTGGCTTGCTGACTCTTCCAGTAGTATTCTCTTGCAATCTCTGCAAACTCCGACATAATGGTACTTGGCATCGCTCGATCAGATGCAAGGGAAACGAGGCTGAAGTACCCCGCCGCTGAGTCCAGCAAGGATAAGTTCGTCCTTGATTCACGGTGATACGGATTATGGATGACGAAGTCAAAGAGGATGAATACTCCCGCCAAAGGCAGGACCGTCAGAATGCTTGTATCGTGAGTCAGCTCGTGCTCATCCTCGCGGAGTTTGGCATGGTGTTACTCACAAAATAGGAACATAAGGCTGCACATCAATATGCTTTGTCAACTCAATAATCGTTCTTGCTGTATTCATCAACCTCTGCTTGCTCATTTGTCCCTTGTCGCCCTGCTCGAGTTCAAGGTGCAGAGTAAGACGCTCGAGGGCAATTATGATATGATAGTAGCTATAGTGAACCTGGAGCGCGATGAGTGAAATGCTCACAGTCGTCGGAGACGCCGGAAAGCTTGCTGAATCTCCGGGCCGGTAGTCGGCGGGTATTGACTGGCGCCAGTCCTCGAGAATACGGCGGATATGGCTCATAGCAATTTGATAGGATTCTTTGGACCTCAGCGACGCACTAATCGAGAAGAGTGAGTTGTACACGATAGAGCTGATCCGCCCAATGCGAATAAAAGCGACAAACCAATTGAAGGTCCCAACCTGTGCCTCCGGAAATGGTGGGACTACACAAGCAATATCCTCGTCAGGAATAAGCTTGGTCATGTTGATTAGCAACATGAGGTGTTAGGTGAGTGGAAGAATCAAGTTGTAGAAATCACTTACAGAGCATGTTCGTCCATGGATAGCTTGTTGTTTTTCGAGGGCATAAATCACCCAAAACACTCTTAAGTGTTTGGGTTCTGAGACGATATCCTTATGATAGCGAAGGGTGACAGCCATCCTAGCAGCCTGTGAAATGAGGGTGTCTGAGATCTGGAGGCCACAGAGATTCATGGAAAATATAGACTGCAAAGATCAGACAGCTTCTCCTCCAAGATACATGGCATCACTCACCATTGCGGCTAAAGCCTATGAAAGACACTTTTGTAAGCTAAGATATAAAACGTTTGGAATCAGGGAAGTGGCAAGCAAACCTGAACGCTTTCGATGGACTCTCGAGGGAGAATGATATCTGACATGTGACCCAGGGCCAACTGAAAATATTCCCATGATTTTCCATTACCAGGTTCAAATGTTCCACACTGAAGGTATTGACTACCCAGGGCCAAGATACTATGGTACAGAGCCGAAAATGCCGGGCTTTGCTTCAATAATTCGTCTAGATTTGGACTGAATGCCTGGCTTTCAAACTCTTCCTGGTCAAGGAAGGGATATACTGGATGAAGATTGACGAAGTACGCTTTCTAATGTTACCATATAGATCTTCTTATTGGTCTAAGGCGCACCATTCTCACCTTGAATATAGGAGCGAGTCTCGTTAGGTGTGGGTCGGTCTTTTTGCTCTGGTTTGTCAAAGTTGATAGGTGGCCAGATTGGTTCATCGGTAAGCCCAAGACGAGAAGCAATGTAGTCATCTAGTTTCTTGACGATATCTTGAAGACGAGTGTTGCCAATCCGTTGAGTCAAAGATGTTACCTTTTGCTCAGAGAAGAAAGCCAAGCCGGAACTCAAGACTACGAGATCAGTATGGTTTCAATACGGCATGCATAACTTACTCTAGTGCTCACCTTGCTCATCAGGCGCCTACACAGAATGGTGGAGTCAATCAATTATACAGAGGTAGCGTCGATACAGAAATTTTGGATGGACAAACCTACCGTCAAAACGCTTGTCTCATCTGGAAGGATGACGCTCTGAGGCCCGTATTGAAGCAGACGATCAACAAGAAGCTCATCAGGGGCCAGTTCACCAGAATATTGGGAGTGGGAGAAGGAATCGGGGACTGAGTCCTGAAGCTTAGCATGAATACTTTCAAGCGGATTAAACAGAATACAAATGACCAGAGGATTGTCCAGATGTGATGAGATAGCTACAGGGTATGCTGGTTTACCTTGGATGCGGACTTTGCGGCGGAAGATGCTAAAGTGGCAGGGTTGGCCACGTTTCTGTGCAGTAGAGCGCGATGTCAGCTAAGTTGACGCGTGGGACCGGCTATGTTACTCACTGTACAATAGATGCAAGTTGGCGGCGTGCCAGGCGGAGTGTCGGGCACTGGGCGATGGACGAGGGTCTGGTCAGGTCATGTCACTGATGGCAAGTGATTCCCCGCACTCCAAACGGAGCGGGAGGCTCGGAGCGCGTCTCACCGATGCACCGGATCTTGCGATGTCTGCATTGGTCGCAGGTCTTGTTCATTTTGAAGGCCAGGCGGCCCTGGCTGCTGGACGCCATGGTGCTGGAGTTCAGATCTGGTCAAACCTGATCACGATCCGCTGTTGGACTCGCCTCAGACTCACTCAGCCAAGCCACGGAGAGCGTCATCTTGCCTTCACAGGAGAGAAAACTGGTTATGTAAGCGTGATGGCTGGTGCCGGGGACGTCCTTGTGTAAGCCCGCAGATTCAGCCAAGCTTGTCCCTGTCGTGTCCCGTGCACGCGCAACAACATTGCTTCTCATTGATTCACTTACGAACACGACGCATGAATGCTAGGGGCCTAGGGCTGACCAGAGAACTGCCCCAGAGGCTAGCCAGCGTTGTTTGCTGACGCCAGGCGTTTGTGATCTCCCCCTGTAGCCTCAAATATGGAGGCTTGAGCAAGGGGTAGTCAATTAAATTGAAGTTTCAGGATGTGCTCCATTTCAACGGACCCGAAAACGTTCCGAGCTATCAAGAAATTATTAATGAATAATAGGATTAACTAATGAGATGTATAAAGAAATGTGAATGTATTTCTGAGCACAGCCACCGACTTACATAGAAAGGACGAATCGCCAATTCTATACTCTTCTTAGGAGTTAAGCAATTATCTATGCACCATTGACAGCCAAAGACCAACCTCAGAATCAGACAAAGAAATGAGCACGAGATTCGGTGTACAGTCTGCCCCAGTAGTACCATCACTAGACGAGTATGATCACCAGCATGACACCCCTGTTGAGTATTGGAAATAAGGTGAGTGAGATAAACGAGCCTAGATTTGGCCCATGAGAGATCGCGGGAGAAGCAGCCTTATGTGGAGGCGAATCGTCCGAACAGTGACACCGGCCGATGAGCCTTGGCCCAGACGAGCCTAAATGTGTATTTTGGTCTTTTGTATTGGAGAAATTCCAAAATAGGTAGATTCGATACGATCAATTACGGGCTACAGGCGACTGTATGCGTCTGACTTGCATTCCCCAGGTCTTGGGTTACATCTGATCGGCACCAACGCCTGACTTCTGATTACCACAAATTTCACGACAAAAGGATTTGACTTCTGAGAATGCATATTTATGATTGAGAAAATATTCACAATAATTTTACGCTTGATAAATATGCAAAAATTGTACACAAGATAGATATCCAAGCGATAGACGCCACACCGTATCCAACCTGACCTACATGCGCATTACACGAGCCGCGGGGCAGACAAAATCTAAGCGGTGTTGTAGTACATGTCGATGGACTTGATCTTGAAGACGGCATCGGCGGTAGGGGGGCCGGCAGACCAGCCCTTGTCGCCGTTGGACCAGTTGTTCCAGACCCAGGGGCCGGGGACGCTGGGGACGTCCTTGGTGGTCTCGGCGACCTGGACGCCGTCGACGAACCACTGGACGCGGCCCTGGGTCCAGTCGATGCGGTACTCGTGCTCGGTGGTGGTGGGGTTGGAGGGAGGGGCGACGGAGAAGACGGTCTTCTGGCCGTCGCCGTCGTTCTCCTGGTTGGTGAGCCAGAGGTGGTTGACGCCGTTGTCGGAGGTGTTGTTGGGGTCGGAGAGCCACTCGATATCCGTCTCCTGGGAGTCGGACTTGTAGAAGAAGATGCCTATTCATAGATGTTAGTAGGGGGATCACAAATAGTTCGATATGAAGATGAGAACGTACCGTTGCAGACACCAGGGGTCTGGGAGAAGATGGCGACGGTGCGCACACTGCCGTACAGGATGTTTCCGACGGTGGTGTCGACCTCGGCAGACTTGTAAGGCTTGGATTGGCCTCCGGGAACAGTGAGCACGAGGTATCCGTCCTTGACGGCGACGTTCTCGCGGTTCACGCTCCAGTTCTCATCAATGCCCCAGTCGGCGGCATACAGACCGTCCGGCAGGCTGCTGCCCTCGAATGTGAACTGCTTGTGGTTGCTGAACTGGGCAGTGTCGCTAACAACGTAGACACCGTTGTCGAAGGTGGGCTCGGCAGAGCGCTTGCTGCAAGTTGGGACAGACCTGGCAGCCGAGAGGCCGGCCATGGCCGCAATAAGAGCTGACTTGGAAAAGTACATGGTGAATGAATGAATGCCGGATTCAACGAAAGAGTGAACGAATTGACAAAGAAGATTCCAACACCTCAACAAGAATCAACTCCTGCAACAATTCCAGGCCATGAAGATCCTATATACCTCCTGGTCTCTTTAGACGCCCTTGGCACCTAGTGGAGCATGTAAGCAAAATGATCACCAGTTGCGGGATAGCTCAGAGCTGAAACAGGGGCATCCTTCCAAAATAGCCCAGCTGGGTTTCTCGTCTCCTCTAGCATCATGCTAGTGAGCCGAGTTAGGTTCTATGAGCCGTGGCCCCAAACCCTGCCTGAGCTATTCTTACGTTACATTCGTCATTTGTTTCTTGTGGTGGGTTTCCATTGCTTCAGCAGGACTGCCGTGATGTTTGTCACCCTAAGCTCGGAACCCACTCTCCAAATGATGAAATAAGAGCTCCTCCACAACTACCGGGCTAAACTTCTCGACTTGATTGTGGGAATTGGAACCCTGACTCTTGCGCCCCGGCAGTTTCGGGCCCATTATGTTAGTACAATTGTTATTTTCAATCCGAGAAGATGTCACCGGATTCGGCCCACTTAGTCCGAGGGCATTCCAAGCGCGAATGAGTTTGAAATGAAGCTTTGTTTCTAACGATGGATGCAGAATTGCGGCGTTGTTGTGAGCTGATTATCGCCCCTTGGGTGGTGAAACCAGCTAGGATGATCCCTCCTCACCCAGATCTCGGGATTCGGTTGAGCGTATGCCTTTGCCGTACGAAGCACTAGTCATTTAGTCACGGTATGTGCCGTAAACACGACGCGTCTCTGTTGATTTGCCGTCGATCTGCTGGGAGTGTTCATCTCTTACTATATCCTGTATATCATGTGAAGGGCCGCGGGATAAGGATTCAAAGTGTAACCACAGAGGCACGCCATGTAGATCCTCAGGTGGCATCATTGAGTACCGGGACTTGCTGGGCCGCTCGGTATTGACGAGAGCACCCCACAAAGGATCAGGCGTAAGATGAAACAGCTGGCACCCTAGCTAACACTTTGCCGCAGCCAGCTCTTACAATTATAGCAACAGCATGCGTCGAGCTAGTATTGGCCGGCTATAGTAAATCTTCCAGGTTAGGAATTTGAGTTGATTTCCAACCAAGCAATTCTTTTCTCCGACCCATGGACATCCGGCGTATAGGGAGTGGCTGATATTATTCTGGTAGATTAGGCTCCGGGCACATGATTTCTCAACCCAGGCTTATGTATCGACAACATATTATATGCTCATGGGCACCACCGCGCGCCAATGACGCAGTAAGGGAAATCTTCGCTTGATCATCTTGACTGAGCTCTATTGTAGAATGTACGTTTTGGAGTTGACCTCGCCCTTGAGCGCCTCACCATGCATCACCCCATACAGGAATGTTTCACCCACGAAGCTATATCCTTCGCCTTCCTTCTCTGGCCGAACCATGTATGGAGTCTTGCCTCCGTAGAAGATGCATACCTCGTCGCCTTCTTGCATGTGTGATGGCCCCAAGCCCACAAAGCCCGTACTCGTCAAGAAGGGGCGACGAGAAAAGAGGTAGTGAATCGCCCGAACCAGCCAGTCATTGTCACTTGGTGTCTTGTCCTCTTGCTGGTTCCCATCCTCTCCTATCGGGTTGACCAGCTTCACCAGCCTGTCGTATGCCCAGATGAACTCCGCAATATAGTTGACAATAAGTTGGCCACTCACGTCCTCCTCCCCGTACTGCGCCCCGTCCGATGTGGCAACTCGCACGGCATCGAGCAGCTCCTCGTTCGCTCGTACTCGCGGTGACAGTTCGCACAGCTCCTTGGTGTCATCAATGAACGCAAGAGCCGCCTCCCGGTCCAACGGCTTCTCCCAGTCCGGGTCCCAAACTTTGCCGTACTTCTTCACTGTGTCCACCGCGAACCCCTTTATGCTCAGCCGCCCACGGCTGACCTCCTGCACCTCCTGCTTCTCATCCGAGTCGCCCGAGGCGGAGAACTTGCTGTACCATGGCCCCTGGTTGCACGGGTTTTTCACAGGCATGCACCAGTCCGGCACCCACGTCGGCAGACCCTCGATCTCCCTCGGGAACTGGCTATATGCCAGAACATCTACATTGCCCTGCTTGAGCAGCGCCAGCGCCGTATCGTAGTATACCTCCGCACACGTCTTGGAGTAGTCCACGATCCCCTTGATCTCGTCAACGTCGGCAGCGAGGTACAGCAGCGAGAACACCCGGTCTCGGGGGTCCGACGTCTGCGGGATGTTGTAGTCCCTCTCCAGCACCAGACAGGTCGTGAGCACCTGGAAGAACAGATCGCCCTCGTAGTCCTCGGCGCGGAACCTCGCCCTGCGCGTCACGACGCTGTCCATGAAACTCCGGAACGGGGAGGCGTAGTTGGCATACAACCTTTCCAGCAGGAGGTCCCTCCCGGGAGTCTGGCGTTTCCCGACCTCTTCACTCAGCCTGTTGGCCGACTGCTGGACGGCCAGCAGGAGGTCGTAGGGAAGCACGCACGACCCGCACATGACGGACACGTGCGAAGCGATGGCAAATTCCTGGAGAATCCACAGCCTCTTCCAGTAGCTCCGCCTACAGAGGGTGTCGTACGCCTTCCTCATCCACCTCAGGTGCTCTTCGTCGTCATGCAGCATCTCCAGGCCGTCCCAGTCGCGGTTCTTCACCCCGTTGCCCATCCTCCGCAGGTGAGTAAACAGCGCCTCGCACCCCTCAAACGACGGGCCCAGCCAGGCGATGACGGAGTGCGCGTCGCTGTAGATGTGCCGCATCTGCAGGACCTGCTCCTTCTTCTCCTCATTGTCGCGCTGGTTGATGCAGATCTGGTCGACCCAGAGGTAGCGGACGTCGCTGCGGCGGCAGATCTCCCTGAGGGCCTGGTCGACGGTGGGGCTCACCCGGCACGCCTTGTCGTTGACGGTGAGGGGGCGGGTGCTCGCCTCGGAGCCCCAGGTGTAGGAGAGGGCCACGTACTCCGGACAGGTCGTCCGGGTGAATGTCTCGAGCGCGCAGGCGAGGGGGAGGTCGGCTGCTGGCGCGGGGGGCAGGCGGACGAGGCGGATCTGGCGGCGGTCCACGCTCAGGGCCTCGTAGTCGATGCCGTTGTCCATGTTTCAACCTCGCTACAGAACTCTGTTCAGTTGTGAGTGTTCGGTTTGGACTTTGAGAGAGAAGTCGGCGCTTTGAGGCCACATAAGAAGGATCCGTACAGGGGTCTTGATGACGCTAATGGGCTGTGCTGTCCGAGTCTGCCTTGCTGAAGTCATCATAAGCCGATTTAGCCATTGCAACGGTAAGTAGACAAACTAGATCGGTAGCCTGTCATATCATGTCCCTCCTTGATCAGCCTGTCTTACTCTCTTAACGACTGTCAGAAGGGAACCTCTGAGATGTGAGAATGGCTAGCAACATACAACACGATCGGTTAGATGGTTTCAGTGGCGTGGCTTCTATAATTAGCATTGGGATTAGGCTGCAGAAGCCATGTATCAATCTCACTGATCGGCTTCCGTCATTGGGCAAACCTTGAGTGCTTCATTGTTTGGATTGTCTCTTAGTGCCCGATCTAGTTCCCGGAAGCTTGAGCTAGATTATTGATTGGGGCAGCTAGAAGGAGGAATGTAAATCGTGCGCAGAAGTCACGGTCGGTATTCCTCGAGTCATGGTATAAGAGGTAGATCTATCAAAATGGCTATGGGTGAAGACATGAGCGTCGTAATTCATGGCACAAGTACAGTCTGAAGCTAAGCCAATCTCCTGGTGCGCCAACAAAGGCATCCAATCCTGGAGACACAGCAGTAGACGCAAAACTCATGAACCACCAGAACCGGCGTCGCTAGCCGACGAGACAGAAGACGCGCTGCTCACAGAGCTCCTACTGCTGGCACTGCTCCCCTCATGATGCTCGCCCCCTCCGTGCCCGCCTCCTCCATGCCCACCACCACCCATCGGGATCGGGATAAAGGCGAACCCCCCTCCTCCTCCGTGGCCCTTGTCCTTCTTCTTGTCCTTGTCCTTCTTGCTCTTCTTGCTGTACTTCTTCGCCATGGAGAAGGCCCCCGTGGCCAGCGCACCCAGACCGGCACCGCCCGCCAAGGCACCAAACGTGCCCTTGTCTTTCTTGTCCTTCTTATCCTTATCCTTCTTCTCCCCGTCCTTACCTTCCTTTCCTTCCTTGCCCTCTTTACCCTCCTTGCCCTCCTTGGGAGGTTTGGCGCCAAATGCCCCCATGGCCGCGCCGATGGGCAGGCCAGCGCTGGTCAGCTGCTGCGAGAACTTGCCGAACAATCCCCCGTCGTCCTTGCCCTTCTCCTTATCCTTCTTCTCCTCCTTCTTGTCCTCCTCGGCCGCGGGCGCCGGGGGAGCACCGCCGCCATAATAATTAGGCTGCTGCTGGCCACCGTACGCCTGCTGCTGGGGGTATGAGTGCTGGCCCGGGCTCTGGAAGCCCGGATAGGCCTGTTGCTGCTGGTGCTGCTGCGGTGGAGGCCCGCCGTACGCGCTGGCGCCGGTGCGCTCGTCCGCCTGGGGGGTGCCTGCGTACTGCTGCTGAGGCTGCTGGCCAGGGAAGTAGCCCTGCTGTTGCTGTGGTGGATAGGGGCTGCTGTTGGACTGCGGCGACATCGCTGGGGGGCCTGGCGGGGGACTGCCAGGGAACTCCCACTGCGACACACCCGATTGCGTGTTCACGTAGAACCTATTGCCTCCTGTTAGACGATCGTCTCTTTGCGATGATCTGGACTTGCGCACTCACGGTCGCTGGTACTGGTCATTCCACTGCGATATCCATCCTGTCGGCAGGGGCGGTGCCCCGGGAGGAGGGCCTGGAGGAAGGGCTTCCATCTTGCATGCAGCACGTTATGCAGGACCAAGACCGTCAGAAAGCTGGGCAAAGTACGTGGGCGCCTTTTTCTCTTCGTCTCCGGGATTTCCTCTTTCTTTCACTTTCCGTGTCTACGGTCGCTTACCGGTAGCGACAGACGACGGCTCCTTGTTGCCGTGATGAGGGGGAATGTGGGATGTGGGAGGTGGGAGAACGCTCGCCTCGGTTTTAGGCGGTGGGAGCGAACGGGAATTGACCTTAATTATTTAAACAATGGATTAGAGCTCTTTGGTTTTTCACGCCATTCGACCTCCCCACCTCTTTATTTGGAGTGACCAACCAGTTGCTGTTGCAGCGGGGAAAGGCCAAGAGCACATCCATCCCTCAGCCTCCCTTCGTCTCTGGCTGTGACCCCTCCTCCGTCTAAGCCTTCCTCTGGCGCTGCCCAACCGCCAGCTCTGGTTATGTGGGGGGAGGCAGATCCTTGGAGTGTCTACTCTAGCCCTGTCGGTGGGACCTCAGCTTCAGCTCGTCAGCTGGATCGTGAATAGTTGCTCATGAACCCTGGTTCTTCTTGCCGGTAGCCGATCGAGCTCGTGGCGTTTTGATAACGACAGTGCGTTGAGTCCATCGCCAGTTCTGTCTTCCTTGACGCAACCCACACGGATCGGGTGGAGGAGTAAAGTTGCAAGACAAGGGGCAGAAGAGAGGGGCAACAATGCCAAGTCTTACGACTAGACAGTCTTTCTCATCACAGTCACATGCAGATAGAGAAAAGAGACCGGCTGATCACGTACCAGATTCGAGGCTAGGCTCGTTAGATTCTAGTGAGAAAAGTGCTTTTATTTTATATTTTACTATTTTACTCTACGGCTCAGAACGATCTCTAAATCTATGCCCACAGCTGCTCCTCCAGCTTGCCCGCCTCGGCCATGACCTCCCGCACGGCCTTCTTGGCCGGCTCGGCTGGCTCTTCGTACGGGTGGCGCGGCCGCAGCTTCTCCTCGGCGCCGGCGATGCCAGCCAGCCTGCCCGAGTAGACGGAGACGGCGAACTTGGTGGAGGCGATGCCGCTCTTGCAGGGGCTCTCGGCCAGGGCGGCGCGCTGCTGCAGCCTCACGGCCTCGTCGATCTTGCCCGCCTTGTAGAGCTTGTATATCTCGGCGGAGAGCCTGGGGAAGACGTTGGCGAAGGCACCGATGGCGCCCGCGCTGCCGGCTGCGAGACCGCCGACGAGGAAGTCGATCTGGCCGCCGTAGGTGGAGAACTCCTCGGGGGAGAGAGTGGCGGCGAGGCGGGTGATCTTGCCGACGGAGGCGCAGGTCAGCTTGACGCCGACGACGTTGGAGACGCCGTTGGCGTTTGCGGCGGCGCTCTCGCGGACGATGGCGGTGATGGTCTCGGAGTCGATGTCGACGCCGTTGCAGACGCCTGGGAAGTTGTAGATGACGACGGGGAGGGGCGACTTGGCGGCAACCTGGGAGAAGAAGCGCTTGACGACGGCCATGGAGGTGGCCTTGCCGAAGTAGGCCGGGGGCAGGACGAGCAGGTAGTTGGCGCCGGCCTTGGCGGCGTCGTTGGCCAGCTCGAGGGTCTGCTTGGTGGAGTGGGCGCCGACGCCGGCCATGATGGGGAAGTTGGGGCCGACGGCCTCGCGAGCCGTCTGGATGAGCTGGAAGCGCTCCTCGCGCGTCAGCAGGAAGGCTTCCGAGTTGGTGCCCATGGCCACGAGCCCGGTCAGGCCCGACTTGGCCAGGTAGGAGAAGTACTGGGCCTGGGCGGCGAGGTCCAGCTCGTCCGTCTCATGATTGAAGAAGGAGATGGCGGGCACCCAGACGCCGGCCGCGGGGACGTGGGGGAAAGCTGACGATGAGCCGTTGACGGTCATAATGCTGGTCTGGTGTGGTCGAAGAGAGGTGCGATATACAGGCTCAATCAGGTGGGGCAGAAATCAATCATGTAGCAGGCTCGCGATGCTGTAGAAAATAATACCGTCGCCTTCACTCCATCCAGGGCGCAGTGAGCATCTTTATTATCGACGGATTGAGTTTCCGCTCGGATCTCTGCCCGTCGACTTGCCTCGTCTGCTGCGTGGCTCGGAGCTGATCCGAGGCGGGCGACCAGCCGAGCGAGGCAAATCAAACCTCAAGTCAGTCGTCTGGCCTCCGAGATACGGAGCCAGGCTGGGCTCAACCACTCAAACGCGCTGTTTCAGATGTTGGAGTGGAACAAGCTCCCGTAGCGCCCAGAGAGCGGCAGCGCATGAATCAAGTCATGTCGACTCTCGACACGATAGATACCCGGTACAGTGGCCGGGTCGTGCCTCTGCCTGGACTGGAGAAGAGCACGGCAATTCAAGCCAATGTCGAGCCAAAGAGTCGTCATTTCAGGACTTGATGCGTGTCTCCTCGTGAGGGGAAATGCCCCTTCGTTTTTGTTATTTCTGGCTGACTGATCTGGCGAACGAGCGGGGTAATTACGCTCACCAATCCACTGCCGCGTTTAAGTACCTACCCTATACAGCATGTGTGTCGGCGACCTAGGGCTCGCCATGTCAAATAATTCGAATAACTATTACCAGTTTAAGGCTTGGGTTATTGTTTGGGAAACTCTCTTCGAGGGCATAGGAATTTTGAAGGGATTAATACCATATTCCTGACTAACGAGTCTTGGGTATCATTGCCTGCTTCATTCCCTGTTGCTCACCAACAAGCCCACCTAGCATGACACTGACAACACACAAAAGAGAGATTCTAGTGAGTAGAAAACCTTCACGTATACGTCCGGGACTTAACTAAGCACAAGCCAAGAGAGAATGGCGAGAAGCAATGTAGCGATATGACTGAAGCTTACCATCTACTGATTTCCAGGTTGTCGAATGATTGCCCGCATATGTGCTGTAGCACCAAGAATCGTACTTGCAGGTGGGTCTTCACAGCAGTTTCCACCCTCACAAACAGGTGGTAATGCCTATTGGCTATAACTGCATGCACCATGACGAACACACACAAGCATATGCTCGTGTCAAGCATATGCTCGTGTCAAGCATATGCTCGTGTCATGCACAGCAATTTCAACCCGCGCAAAGAGGTGGCAATATCCTTTGGCTTTGATTTCCTAATTCTAAGCTGACTGGACTTTGCACAGCGATTTCAACCCTCACAAAGAGGTGGTAAACATCCACTGCACTAGAACCCACCTACCTGTGCAGACATTTTCACAAGCACAGCAATTTCCACCCTCACAGAGAGGTGGTAAACATCCGCTGTGCAAGCACAGCAATTTCAAACTGCACAAAGAGTTGGTTAGGCTGAAATTACCCGGTCGCAGGCCTGGTCGCCACCACTAGGTACCTTCTTCATTTCCTCGTTTGCGAACAGAAAATTTGTCTGCTCAATTGCCGTTTTATATTCTATCCTTTTGGACATAGAAGACCACGCCTCGCGCATGTGCTTGGGCATGGCTCATTCTCATGGTGACATTTGCACCCATAATGAGCCATTCTGGTTCAGATCGCCGCCATCCCAAAACGGACGGGCCCTGCTTAGTCCGCTTAGACAACATTATTCTTATTGACTCCTTGGTGGGAAAAAGGTTAAGATGAATAAATAAATAAACCGATATCAGTTCTTGACTTTTTAATCCATCATCTCCCTTCCTTGAGCTATATTTACTCTGTCCTCTTTTACTCTAATCCTATAACTAATATTCAAACTCACCAAGTTTGGAACCTACGCCCGGCCATTGCCCAATATACGTTTAGTTCATCAGTGTTCTCGAATCAGCGAAGCTCAAATGTCTGAAAGCAGCGATGTGGAGGCCGCGAGCAAGGCTGAAGCGAAACAGGCGGCCAGCATCACCGAGCCGTCAGTGGAAGACTACGAGCTGATCGGCTTGCCGCTCGTTTTGGTCATCGCTGGCCTGGGACTCGCCATATTCCTCATGTCCTTGGACTCATCCATCATTGCCACCGCTATTCCCCGTATCACGGCAGACTTCAACAGCACCAGTGATATGGGCTGGTACGGAAGCGCATACTCCTTCGCCATGTGCGCGCTCCAGCCTATGGCGGGCAAGTTGTTTTCAAAATTCCCTTTGAAGGTGACTTACGCTCCCATCAGACCCCCGGAATCTCTACTTACCAAACACGAAAGGCAACCTTCCTCGCCTGTCTCTCCGTCTTTGAGCTGGGGTCTCTGTTATGTGCCCTAGCTGTTAACAGCCCCATGCTCATTATTGGGCGCGCTATAGCTGGAGCTGGGGCGGCGGGATGCTTTACCGGTGCCTTTTGTATTGTCGCAGTCTCTCTGCCCTTGGAGAAGCGGCCATTCTTCGTTGGCATTCTCCAATCGACATTTGGCATTGCCACCATCATCGGTCCAATTTTGGGCGGCGCCTTCACACAGCATGTGACGTGGCGGTGGTGCTTCTGGATCAACTTGCCTCTGGGTGCTGCTACTATACTTGCTATTGTCTTCTGCTTCAAACCACCACAGGATAATTCCAAGGAAGTGCCACCTGTCCTGAAGAGATTACAAGGCTTGGATTTTGCTGGCGCTGCGCTCTTCGCTGGGGCCATTGTCATGGTGCTTCTGGCTCTTCAATGGGGAGGGACTGCTTACGCTTGGCGAAGTGCTATCATCATCGGCCTCTTCTTGGGAGGGGCAGGACTTAGCCTTGTGTTCGGCCTATGGCAATGGTACAAGGGCGATGATGCTATGATTCCTCCACGTCTCATGACGGAACGCACCCAGTTCTTCGCCTGCATGACTGAGTTCTTTGCTATGGGCTCAGTCTATATATCAATTTACTATCTTCCGACTTGGTTTCAAGTCGTCAAGGGCGCCTCGCCCACGAAATCGGGACTCATGTATCTGCCTTTAGCCTTGTCGGACGTCCTATCTGCCACGCTGACGGGCGCGTCGCTAAAATGGCTCGGGTATCCAAACCCTTATGCTATTCTTGGGACAGCCCTGATGTGTGTAGCATCAGGTCTGTTCTCCACGTTCAACCTTGACACCCCCCATCAGCAGTGGATCCCCTTTCAAGTTCTCCAAGGCCTCGGTATCGGAATGATGCTGTCGATGCCTTACGTCGCTATACAAACGGTTCTCGAGCCCGCAGATATCCCTGTCGGCACCTCGCTGCTGCAGTCCTTCCAATACTTTGGAGCTGCAGTCTATCTTGCCGTCGCCGAGTGTATTTTCGAGAACAAACTTGTCGAACAACTACGCAGTTCGGGGTTGGAGCAACGAGAGATCGACGCTCTTCTCAACGCAGGCTCTGCCGAGGTGAGGAATGTGACTTCTGAGGAGCAGCTCTCGGGTGTTCTCCACGCTTACAACTACGCAATGACAAACACGTTTTACGTTGCGACGAGCGTGGCTGGCGTTGCGTTTTTCTTGTCGTTCGGAATGCGCTGGAGGAGTGTTAAGTCGCCGAAGCCTTGAGTGATAGAATTTGGTCATAATCTAGCCTCCCGATTTTTCTCAAAATTAATTTCATGTCTCTAGCAACCATCATTAAATAGACCCGCCTCTTGGCACTTTGATAGATTAGAGATTCGAAAGATTTTACATTGGTTATTCCTAATCTAGCGAAAGAGAGAAATTAAATCTGTGATTGGATCCCCCCCCCCCCGGGGCAACTGGGAATCGTCCACGTCATGCTGAAACAACATAATGACATCGATTGGGCCGTGAATTGTGTTTTAATAGAATAATAAGAGGAAGGTCTCAGAATCCTAAACTTCTGAGACGAGAAGCTTGTCGCGAGGGGAGAAAAAGATATTTACACAACTTGTCCTCAAGGGCTTCATCCTCAATCGTCGTTGAGTATATCTCGACCATTGACAAAAACCAACTCTGATCCACAGATTTCTGAGTAGTCATGGCTGCGGTAACAAGGCACCAGAGACGCACCCCTTCATCGAATACGCCCTCCCAAAACCGGGCAGCTAGCAGGCTGGAACGAAGTCTTGGGAGCAGTGTTGCTGCTGAAACCTGGGCTCCGTGATACTCTGTCGCACTTAAAAGGAAAATCATCGCAGTCAGTCTGATTGAGCTGTTGATGTCGTCGAGGTTTGAAAGCAAGAGTAAGCGGTAGAGCAAGGCCTGGAGCCTGAGAAAAAGGTGGTGTTCGAGATGGTGAAATCTCCGCGTTCCTGCCCAGTAAGCTTCGGCGAAGTGGACGTAGTCCGTGATATCCTCAACAATCCGTTGCAGACTCCCGGTAATTGGGACGATTCTGAACCCAGTTCCTAAAGTTGGTATTGAGCTTGCTGAGTGTTCATAGTCAATCAGCCCCGTTGGCAAGGGCCCTAAATCCCATGTGAAGGGCAGAGTAGGAGCCTCCCAGTTGGTGATGGATATATATTTGTCTGCTAGAATCGTGCTCTCCAAAATGTAAGGGTCGAATTTCTTCCACCCGCCGGCTTCAGACACCAGATTGTTCATAATATCAAGATGGGGTCGAGCAGAGTTGGATGCCAAGGCGTCGACTTCAAGGATGGACAAGGCTCTCATTGGATATCGCGCCCAAATGCTTGGAGTGGTATTCCAGAATTGTGTAATAGCCAGGCTATAGATGGAGATCATAATCCAGTTATCGACCTTGAATCTTGATTGGCTAGCAAGGCGCATCCTCACGGCCTGGAGGGCTTTGCCTGTGAAATATTCTGGAGGCCGGCGTTCCGAGATGATCCCAGCCATCCACCCCTGGAGACTTGACCCGTAGGCCAGTGTTGAATACATCAGAGCTTCATCGGTGACGCATCGTCTCAGGCGCTCGTTGATGATGTCCTCATGCCTCATGTGTGTAATATCAGTGGACTTGGATGCTGGAGCGAATGCTTCGACCAAAAAGGTCAACTTTGTTCCTTTGCCAAACACAAGCTTGAGCATGCTGTGGTCTCCTGCGTCCAGGCCAGCTATAGTGCAGTGAAAAGGATCCGAGCCATTGTTGGAGAGAAGAGTGCAAAGGGTGGCTGTTTGGTTATGCTTCTCACGCTTCCTGGAGGCGCTTTTCCGTCTGCGTCTTTGTTGAACATGGCTGAGAATCATTGACTTTTCACCGCCCTCTGAGCTGCTCAAGGATACTGAGGCCGGCACTTTGTTAATGAACATGAGAGAAGACTTGCTCTGGCCCACAGCGCCCCCAGTGATCACCCGCCAATGGAGTCGCCTTTCCATGTTGTATGCCGGCTCCCACAATACTTTGCTTGTTCGTTCGGGCCGGCAGGGTATGAATGCGATCGGCTGAAGCGTTCGTTCAAGTCTTCCCGCTCTTGGCTCGCTGTTTTTTACCCAGTTCGGCCGTCTCTTGGACTATATTGGTAATCGGTTCACCAGATCGGATTCATCGGCATGGGCGAGAAGCAGGCCCAAGTGATGGAGAGTGGAAGATGACGTCGGCAGAAATTCACGGTCACAAAAAGCACTGCCCCAGTTGATCACCGCCACGTCTTAAATGGTAATACGCTACTGTTTTGGGAAGTGTGTCCAATTTCATGTCAGCGTGGCCTTACGGATAGCGCCAAGCCCAGGCGGCCGCCTCTCTGAGCCGAAAGATTGAACGTGAGATTTCCTAATTGAGTAGTGTAAGCTGGGGTAGTCGAAGCTGTGCATTGAAAGCGCATCACGAAGATATTTTGTATATAAGACTCGGTGACTTAATCTGTTTTCGCAACTCTCATAACCATCAATTCTCGGCTTCGATCAACAAGTACACTGAGAAATCTCTCCAGCAAGATGCATTTCAACAGCCTTATTCCTATATCTGTGCTACTGGCATCTGTTTCACATGCTTCGCCAACAAGAACTCCACAGCTTCCAGTAGTTGATCTTGGCTATGTGAGCTCTCTCGAAGATATGCTCGAGTCTAGGTATACTGACAATTGTAGGAACGTCACGAAGCCATATCATACAACTCCTCAACGGAAGTCTACCAATTTTCCAACATTCGTTATGCCCAGCCTCCTGTCGGAGACTTGCGTTTCAGGGCTCCTCGACCTCCACTGACGAACCGAAACGAGATCCAAAATGGCTCACAGCCGAGAACCTGCCCCCAAGGAGTTGCTGGATGGCAAGCCAGAGCATTCGGGCCAATTGGTGCCTTTACCAACGGGAAGCCATTTACTCTCGAAGCCTGGGAACAGGCGATCCAGAATTCTTCCATTCCCCCGATCGATTTCAACAAGGCTAGTTCAGAAGATTGCCTCTTTCTCGATGTCCACGTCCCTAAGAAAATCTTCAAGAGCAAGTGTGGTGCTCCTGTACTTGTCTGGGTTCGTGAATCCCAACTACAAATTGCTGTCTAAGTTGTTCTAACCTGACATTAGATTCATGGCGGAGGATACGCATTTGGTTCCAAAAACGGCTCTCCGACCCCAGGTTTTGTCCCTTCTGGGCTTCTTGAGCATGCTAAAGAATTCAGCGACAAGGGCATGATTTTCGTTGCTCTCAACTATCGACTTGGCGCTCTGGGCTTCCTTTCTGGGCAAGAGGTTCAGCAAGATGGAGACTTGAATGTAGGTCTACTAGACCAGCGACTTGCTTTACAATGGGTGCAAGATAACATCCATCTCTTTGGTGGCTCAAAGGACAAAGTCACCGTCATGGGTGAATCCGCTGGTGGAGGCTCTGTCCTTCTCCATATGACAGGCCCCTCCAACAGCACAAACATCAAAGCCCCGTTCGCACAAGCCATTGTTCAGTCTCCAGCTCTGGTTTCAAACCTTCAAGTTCCAGAGTCTGGATATGCCGACTTCCTTTCTCAGCTGAACGTCTCATCTTTGTCAGATGCGCGTAAACTTTCCTCGGAGGCTATCATCCGCGGCAACGCGGATCATCTTGCATCTGCACCAGACACGACCTACATTCACACCCCGGTACGAGATTCGAAGACAGCGCCCGATACTCTCTACCGATCATTCAAAAATGGAGCGTTCGATAAGTCTGTCCGGTTGTTGGCTGCCCATAACAGCTTCGAGGGAAGTTTCTTCTTTGACCCGAAGGTAAAGTCTGAGGAGCAGCTTGATTCCTGGATACAGAACTCGCTTCCTGGCTACACCAAGAATGACCGAGAACACCTGGTTAAAGATCTCTATCCTTTCAACCTCAGCCTGGGAGATGTTGCCCAAGGCTCAAGCCAAAGGGCCATTTGGGGCGACGCTATCTTTGACTGCGCGTTCCTTACCGCCCATGAAGCTTTTGGAGGAAATAGCTACGCATGTAAGTAAGTTCAAGACTTTGACAAGAAGATGACCTAACATTTTGCTACTAGACTTGTTTGATGTTTCGCCAGGATTCCACACTCAAGACTTGAAGTATACCTTCAACGACCCTGCCACTCCGGCTTTTCGACCAATTGCACAGGACATTTTGCAGCGAGCTATTGCTAGCTTTACGATAAACGGAGAGCCAGTAACGAAATCGAACGGAATCTATGAGACCTTTCCCACTTGGGGAAGTGGGAAATCACTGGTCAGGATTAACGGGGATGGCTTCTCGGTCGGAACAAGTGTGGTCAACGAGACTCGCTGCGCGTGGTGGCAGTCAGGCTACGAGTCTGCGAGAGTCAGACAGAACTATGTCTGATGAGACGGTTCTGAAATTGAGACGGTGCATTTGGCGCTACATATTTCCTAGAGTCGAGTTTGACTTTGGTGATTGGAGGTGATGATAGACCATAGACGGCAATAGCACACGATAGACGAGGAGATTTCTTTGTTTCTTTCTATGTAGACTATTCACAATTATGGAGGTATCTGGTTGCGGGATAATGATAATATAGAAGCTAATAATTTTGAATTTCTATTTGACAAACATAACTGTCTAACATTCGGCAGCTTCACACCTCTAACTAGTTACCCATCTCATTTATTTCCTCAATCTATTCATCTGATGTTGTCCGATTCTACAGACATTGGTACATGTATGAGTCGTGGGGATTAGATAGAATCACTTCAGGCGTTTCGTGAATTCGGCCTCGACCCATTTTGCTTGACAAAGGAAGTATCACATTTTCAGTGATCCACATTTCGCGTTTTGGAGAAGTCCCGTTTCGGTGAGCTGAGACGTTACAGCGTAGAGTAGCGTTGTATTGCATTAGATCTCGCATTTGCGCGCGCGATGGATGAACCGAACTCTTAGTCAAATTGAGTATTGAGCCAGCCACCAGAAATGAGCTACTAGAAATATGATTCTTATTATAGTAGGGATAAGAAGTCATGGACTGCATCTGCGTTGTTTTGGAAACGCGATCGTATATGCCCATTGATAATGTTTGATGCTACACTCTATAGTCATTTCAAGGAACACGAGTCGTACGAGTGCCGTGAGGTTTCAGCTCGGAGCTTGTTTGAGTGTTTGGGTGTGGGACATCGGCCTTCAGCTTTGAACTCTTTTGCAAGGATAGATCCAGGCGGCAGATGCATACCTTTTAGGAAATTTCCAAAAATCGCACAACTAGCTTGCGCAATGTCTAATACGATGGGGCTTGGTAAGGGTTAGGGTTGGTGGAGAGATAAAGACGCGCCATTTGGAGAGCCAATTGGTCGATGGCCGAATGCCTAGGACGATTCAGGTACTTTTTCCGTTGGAAACATTCATCCGGGAAGGCGTGCCGAATGTGTGGATAAAGAAAGGGCGGCTGAAAGGAGAATCAACAAGGCAGGGATGGTTGGTGTAATTTTGGTGCTCTCTCACAGTTGATGAGTTCCCATAGTTCGAGAGCTCGTGGCATATCCGATGGGGGGAACGATACGTGCGAGTTTTACGGAGTAATCCGCCTTGCAATGGTAATCATGTTGATGAAACGATCCGGCTTTGCTGCTATATCCGCTCGGCCCTACGCCTTGGTGGCTATTATCTTTATGCATTCTAATGAGCAGCAGTTCCTTCTGAGCTGAAGCGGATACGAGAATGTCACCACCGTTATCACCACCCTGTCGGTTCCACCACGAGGACGGCATCTAGGGTGTTCCGTCACCATTCGATCCAATGAACACCGGAAGCATGACTAGTGGTTTCATACTAAACGGCACTCGCTGTGTAACGAGGCTTGCGAGGCAACGTGCTAGAGTGGACCACCAACTTTAAGCCATCCCCATTTGACCTACCTATGTAGGACAGCTATCAAACTCCTTGGCCGGCAGATGGACTGTTATGGTCCGGAGTAACATATAGATCTTGTGTTAATTATCTCACTGACCCCTGAAAGCAGATCTTCCACCCTTTTGTGCACATACGGAGAGGATGGGCGATACCCACTGGGACAGCCGAACTGCTCTACGAGCTTTCTATCCAACACGTGGTATTTGGTCAAGTATATAGAGCCCACCAATCCCTCGTAGATATCACCTCACACTCTGTATTATTCGCAAGAAACATAGCCCTAGTTTTCGATATCTGTTCGTATTTCATCAAGTGTGCTGTTGCGAATTTCTCATCACGATGGCCCTTACCACTACAGCCCCCGTTATTACCACCACCGACACTCCACTCACTCTCCCAACTCGTTCAGAAATATTCCTCCCTCTTGTCCCTGAAGATGTTACAAAGGAGTGGCTTGCTTCAGTTCTTGGCTTGAAGATCAAATCTGTCCGCAAGAAGGATGAAATCCATGGCACCGCCAGTAAGCTGGTGTTCCTCATCACCTACGACGAGTCTGAGACGGCAACAGACAGACCAAACAGTGTGTTTGTCAAAGGAGGCTTCAACCCGGACTTGAAAGCCGCCATGCCCCTCTTCGTGGCCATGTATCGCCGCGAGGTCAGATTCTTCAATGAGATCGCCCCTAAACTCTCCAAGATGAACCTTCTTCGTTCCTGGTGGGCAGCTGAGAACTCCGACCAAGGAATCATTGTAATGGAAGATCTTGGGGAGAGGAACTATACTTTTAGTAAAGCTACTGAGCCCTGGGGCCCTTCACTTGTGAAGCGTGCCATTGCCGAACTTGCGATTCTACACGCCGCCACGTGGGGCCAAGGCCAGAAGGAGTATCCCTGGCTGACAGCGGACTACGACGAGATCATTATGGGCATGTTCTCTGGTCTACCTTACAGCGAATTCGTCAAGGATCCGGAGCATCCGCCTCTCCCTGAAAACCTGAGGGATTCGAAGCGCGTCGAGGCTTATATGGCCAAGTACTTTGCCACGCGGAACCCCAAATATCAATGTTTAGTACACGGCGATGCCCATCTCATGAACATTAGCATAGCGCCTGATGGTGCTGTGGGCATGATCGACTGGCAACTTATCCACAGTGGCTCGTGCTTCCATGACATTGCCTACCTCATCGCCGGTTCTATGAAGGTTGAGAGCCGCCGCGAACATGAAATGTCTCTGCTGGAATACTACTTCGAGTGCCTTCATAAGAACGGCGGGCCCAAGTTCTCGACTAGTGAGGAGGATACCATGATCGAGTACAAGAGATCTCATATCACCGGGTTTGGGTGGATCTGCACTACAACAGCGATGCACCCTCTCGAAAATATCTGGGCTATGGTCCCGCGATATATTGCTGCTATTGAGGATCACAAGGTTGTTGATCTTATTGAGAGCATGTAAAGAAAGGACAGTAGATCGTCTAGCGTTGGTTATTTAATTTTTGTACAGAGAATACGATGATCTACATAGGCAGTAGTAGATTTGATCGAGTTCATCTAATATTGCATCAAAATACCATGAACTCGCTTTACGGCTTCACGTGTGATGCCCAAAAAAACCGTGTTCGATATCCGATGCTTAGTGGAATTTAGCTTCTCGGAGAAGAGATGTATTTTCGAAGGTGTTACGCCAACAAATATCCGGATGCATTATGGCGGGCAGGGGCATCAATCCGCGGGCGCTGATTCAATGGCTAACCAAAGGATAGCCAAATGAATTCAATCAGCCTTCACCGTGAGACAAATACACGTAGGCGGCCTCGCGTAACGGAAGAAGTGGGAAGGAATGTCACGCTGGAATGTGATCTTCTTCTATATTTTCCACGAAAGAGCAGATGGTTCATCAATGCAAAAGCCTCACGTCAGTGGCGCTTGGTCGATGCTAATTCAGGTCAGAGCTGCCTATCAATTGACTCTTCGAGAGGAGGATTAGCAGGATGAGTTACTTCTTCACCTCGGCATTAGTGTAAGCATTCATTAATAGGCTCAATTTGATCTCGATCATCCAGTGACCCCACGGGTCAGCATTCCTGTTGAATTGTACTCTTTATATTCATAGTTTACGTTCTCAGTGTGCGCGTCATGTGGAGTTAGTTTTATTGAGCTATGAACGGGAATGTCAAGTTCTAACTTTGTCTCGGATCCACCTGTCATCGACACAGTATCCGAAACATTGTGAACCTTATCTGTGTTGGTAGAGTGATAAATCTCATGATACATTAACATCGGGTTGGTTGAGAGTGGAACGCGGTGTCATCTATCAAGAGTCACACATAGAGAACGGGTTGACGTCATTCAGTAATGAGCAAAACGGTTACAGTAACATCCTGTTAATTTCTATAGTGAGACACTTTCGATAGCCAGAGAATGAGTGGTATAGATCACATATACCGAGATGGATAATCCACAATCGTGTACGGTGCGGAGGAAATCTACCCACATGAGCTTACGGATACTAGAGCTTGGAGGTATAGCTAGATTTTGAGTTATGCGGCGGCTTACTGCGGGGAATTAACAACCAAGCTCAGACGCTCGTGGGGACTCGATATTTACGGCATCAGTGAAGAGCACATTCATCTATCTCATGTGCATGTCAACGGCTATAACCACTCTACTGGGAACTTCGTTTTCAGATCGAAGCCTACAACGGGTTACACTCTAATAAAATGGACCCTATGATACATTTCCATAATGAATAAGGAAGAGTTCTTGACTGGAGGAGCTTGGTTTCGTTGCAAACACACGTCATATCAGAAGGAGCCAAAGCTTGGCTCGGTCAAGCTTGCATTCAGAGTTAGCTTTCCATACCAGTTACAGAAAGCAAAACTCATAAGTCTTCCAGGTGCTCATGCAATAATAAAAGCTTCGTAGACTTGGCAAGCTGTTTCGGACTGACTAGACCCGACAAGGCATGCAGGCCGTGACGAAATAGTTTGAATTCGTAAAGAGGAGTCCGGCGATCCCGCGAGAAGGTGTAGTCTCAGCTCGCCACAAATCGTGAAGAAGATTTACCCCCTGCAAGATATGTGACATACTTCGTACTAGGCGATGGCGATGGGTATGACGATTTCAGAACACGATATCAGAAGCATATTTATTCATCACCGCCGCCACTTCTCAAACAAGCGCTCCTCATGTTTCCAAGAACAACTAACTCCGAGTGAAAATCGATCTCCCCAGTTTCTTAGTACTTGATTTCCGGATTCAAATGATCCCATACTCCATTCCATCCCACTTCCACCCAAGCTTTACCTGGGTATGATTCTACTATCTCATCGCGATAATAATCTTCATCAGCTAACCGATACAGGTGCCACAATTTCCGTCCGAAAACTAGTGCCTTTTCTGTATACTTATTCGGTGCTTCATAACTCAAGATGGCTCCCGGCATCGTCTCTCCCGCGCCGATCTCGACATCCCATTTTCCTATCAGTCCTCTCTTTCACGGCAGACGCATCTCGATCCCACAAGATGACGAAAATTACTCGGCCACCTCCATCACGAGATACACATCTCGTGCCAGTAGCAGGAAGATGAGCATGGTGGACACTTCCAACATATCCAATGTCGTCTATTCCCTGAGGCGCCGTAGCTCAGAGGAGCTTGGCTCTACGACTTCGTCCAAGCTTCTTGGTGCTTCTCATGAATCCATCTTGGACTGGATCAGTACCCAGCGTATGAGCCATCTGCCTCCAGAAGGAAGCAGCCACGACAAGGTGCTCGCTTGGGCACAGCTGTTTGTCGAGAGGTTGAATTCTTTTGACTTGGCAATTTCCGAGTTTGCTGGTGATAGTTACATTGCGACGCAGCTTGCTTATGGCTATTGTGCCATCTTACTTGAGGTATGAGCGTCCCCAAAATAGCTGAGCGTGAAGTGTCTTACTGACTTATTGTAGCTGGGAAAAGAAAATGCCCCAGCTCTGATGATTTCATTTGGCTTCTTCTACAACATGTCCGTGTCATTAGTGAACCTGCTGGAACGCACCGAGCTCTTCAGCGTCTCTCAAGAGATCCGTGAGCAGCTAGTTCTAGCTCTCTCAGATCTCGTTACGCTGGTTGCCAGTGTTTCCACGCATTTTCACAAAGCTATCCGTGGCTTGACATCCGCGTCTGTTTCGGTCAACATCTACAGTACTTTCACTTCACAGATCAAAGCTTTCATTGATCGATGTGACAAGACTGCTGAGGCGATGTGGCGTCATCAACTCGTCAAGGAAGGTCTAGACTTGAATAAGGGTGAGAGCGCCGTCTTCTCTCCCGTGCCGTTGGTATACTACAGTATATCACAATTGCTAACTATCACAATTCAGTATCTTCTGTGAAAGCCATCAAAGCTTGGGTCAGTCCTGAAGACCATGTTCTCGCCAATGTCGCCAACTCAATGTCGCATTTGGCTCATGATCGAGAGGAATTGACTTGCCTTTGGATTGGGCCTTACTTGACACGCTTCTTGAAGGGTTCCTGCAAAACTCTCTCGATCAGCGGCAAACAAGGTTCCGGAAAAACCGTCCTCTCGTCTGTCATCGTTGACTACCTGCAACACCCAGTCGGTGGTGTGGCATACAACACTTTGTTCATCCCCATCAGTAAGGCATTCCCCATAACTTAATCATATCTCCCTGGCTGTTTCTAACTCAGAGCGAACAGACAGCAGAATCCCTGCCGAGACTTCATCTCGAGCTATTGCCAAGACCATTCTTTCTCAACTCTTTGATAAACGAATCGGCAATGTCCAGCTGCTGGAGATTCTATCCGACGCTTGTGAGAAATGCAGCAAAGCAGCCAATGACGGCGACTATGACAATATTGTTTGGTCAGCTCTAGACCGAGCCCTGTCCGCTGCTCTACCTGGTGCCAAGGAACTCGTTATTGTTGTTGATGGTATCGATGAAGCCTCTTGCCGCGAGGCAACTCTTCTCCAAAAGCTCAACAATTCGGCCACCAAGGGGACAAACGTCAAGCTCATTACCCTCGGTGCTGAGAAGACAGCCTCTGCGGATGCCCACACAAGCATTCAGATCAATGAAGATCTGATCTTTGATGATATCATGGCTGTTGTCAGAGGTCACTTCGACCACACAAAGGCCTTCGCCTCCTTGTCTGAATTGGAGCAGGAGACGCTGGTCAATCGCATCACCACGGCTTCTAAAGGGTCGTTCCTTTGGGCCAAGCTTGCCACGAAGAGAGTTCGCAATGAGCCTGATTCTGAGTCTCTCAAGAAAGCGATCGACTCTATCATGCAGTCAGCGATTGTCGACTTCGTGACGCACACTCTGAGCGCTCCTAGCGTGACTCAAGAAGCGAAGAAGATGCTGCTCTGGCTCGCGACTGCCGAGCGCCCTCTTTCACTGAAAGAGCTAGCGTCTCTGCTTTCGATCCAACTTGATAAAACTATCCTGGATCAGCCTATCGACGTCCTGTCTCACTTGAGGCCTGTGAACTCGCTCGTCTTCTTGCAAGATGGCCTGGCGTACATTCGCCATGGTCTCACACGCAATGCCATCTTGGATCTTTTTGCCAAGGGGAAATTGGTGCCCGAGGTCAAGGATTACCAGACAGACTTTACCACAAGGCTTCTGTTCTATATCAAGACCACCATCACTCAGCAACACGAGCCTTCTCTTGATGTCCTTGATGCTCACGAGACGGCGCAGCTGGTGAACAAGTTCCCTCTGTTGGACTTTGCCATCCGTTACTGGCCCGTCCACTTCAGACGCACCCCAACTTATGTGAAGGAGGGCGACTCGGCTACCGTGAAGAAAATATCCAAGTACATCCCGAATTCCAGTACTTTTATCCTCCTTCAGGGTGCTCTTTGGGACAACAGACCTACCCCCCAGTTGCTTGCCTACCAGGCTATCGTGACAGATATTTGCCGCCAGGTATTGTCCACAAAGAGCACTGTGACTCTCCAGGCCGTTATTCTTATGGCCGTGCTCTACAGAAGGGTAGGGTACACAACTGAATCAGTTCACCTTTTCCACGAGGCGACTACGATGGCGAATACTCTTTTGTCGCCCCGCCACCCCGTCACCATGCAGACTGCCTCGGCATTCCTTGAACTGACATCTTCTATGGCAACAAACACTAAGACCGAGATCATGGTCAAGAGAGAAGATGCACTGCTGGTCTTGCTAGAATGTTACAAGGCTCAGTACGGCCAGAACTCCGAGATGGTCATGTCTACCTGGAATCGTCTTGTTGAGCATTACCAGTTAACAAAGGAAGATAGCAAAGCTCAGGAAATAATCTCATCAATCGGATCCTCAGTTAGCAATGGGGGGGTAGTTCTGCAACGTGAAGGAGATCTCCATGTGCATCTCAAAGGACACAAGCAGAAGGAAGTTCACAATGATAAGAGCGTCAATCTCCTCCTCGATGTCGAGGAACATGACGAGCTCA